AGGTCTAGTAAAAGAATAAAATAAAGTGCTTAAGGTTCTATTTTATCTAGGGGGGATAATATATATCTTAACTTTAAGTAAGGTACTTACTAGGTGCCTAACTAATGCTTAATATTAACTAATAGTTGCATGGTGTGCTTAGTCAGATGGCTTATAGGGCGGCGTCAGTGCCGGCCTTACACTTATTAGCGCTAGGCAACTATTAAAGGTGGCTTATAGGTATACTTAACTATAGGCTTATTAATATTAAATAATTAGTAAAGGTTAGGTAACTAGTAAAGGTGGCCTATAGATATATTTAACTAACTTATTAATATTAGGCAACTGGCGATAGGGGCCTATTAATATAGTTAAGTATAGGCTCACTAGCGCCAGGCAACTAGTAAAGGTGGCCTATAGATATACTTAATTATAAGCTTACTAGTATTAGGTAACTAATAATAAATTAGGATCTAGATAACTAGCTATAGAAACATCTAGGTAACTAGCTATAAGGGGAAGGGTTACTAGAGGGGCTAACTAATAAGGCACACCTAATATAGTTAACTAGTATTAGTTAATTTATATATATATATTCCTATAGTCCTAGTTACCGCCGCCTGGCCGTCGGCGACTCTAAAAGGGCCCTAAATAGGACCATATTAGAGGATAATGCAATACTCACTCACTCACTCACTCACTCACTATATTAAATTAAGATTACTTTAATTTAATATATAGAAGAAGTACTTTAAATTATAAGTAGTAATCTTATACTACTTATGGTTAATAAATAAGATATTAATATAATTAGGTAATAATAAGGTCTAGAGATATAAGAAGTCTATAATAAATCTAATAAAAGAATAAGATAAAGTACTTAAGGTCTTATTATCTATTTAGGGGGATAGTATATATCCTAACTCTAAGTAGGGTACTTAATAGGTGCCCAACTGATGCCCAACATTAACTAACAGTCATAAGTAGGGATGTTGAAATTTTGAAATTGAGATTATATTTCGGAAATTTGAAATTTCAGGCCTAAATTATATTTTATATGAAATTTTTGGGGGGTTTAACTCCTACTTAGTTATATCTAGTAGTAAGTAATTTAGACTAATTAGAGGCTTAGAATCCTAGATTCTATTATTTTTTTTAATAATCTAAGAAATCACCTAGTAATAATATTAAAATATATAATTAAATTTAATATTTAGTTTTTTTAGGTATATATTATAACTAAAATAGTATAAAAATTAGATTTTAAATACTCTAGATATATTCTTAACCTTAAAAAAGTTATTTAAAAGTAACTAGATAACTTAAAGATAATAATTTATATATTAAAATTAACTTTTTATATTTTTTATTACTTTTTTATTTTACTTATATAAGAATTATCTTAAACCCCTAGGGCCACCTACCTTAGATATTAAAATTCCTATATCTTTAATATAATATATCTTTAAGCTTATATTAAGTAATATAAAGGAGCTCTAGATATCCTAGATTATTTTAATAAAATAAAAAATTAGGTTTAGAAAAAGCTTAGCTTTATATAGTCTTTTAAAAAATAGCTTAATTATCTTATTATTAATATAATTTATCTAGAAGTAAGGCCTTTTTATCTTTTTAAATCCCTAAAATTTTAGTAATTTATTAAGTCTTTAAATCTCTTCTATAAACTACTTATTTATAGTTAAATCACTAATCTACTACTAAAATTATATATAATAATAAAGAATAAGGTAATAAAAAAGCTATAGAGAATCTAATATTTAAATATTATAATAAATAAGATATTAAATATCTTATTTTAATATATTATTATAATAATAGTAATAACTCCTATATACTTATAATTTTTATATCTTAAGGATATAAAGGATAAGAGTCTAAATATAAATATAATAATCTTTTAAATTATTAAGAAGCTTTAGGATCTTCTATAGAAAATCTTTACTTCTAAAGATAACTCTATTAATTAGAATTAAATTAATTCTATATTAATAGATACCTATAGTATAATAAAGGCTATTTAGGAAAAGCTTTAAGCTAAACTAAAGCTTTAATATATCTTTATAATCCCTTATAATTTATATAGTCTATAGCTAATTATTAAGGATCTTTTAGATAATATTAAGGATCTTTTAATAAAAGAGGTCTTTAAAGCTATAAATAAGATTATTAACTTTTTTTATTAATCTTTATTTAAATATATAAAGCTATAAACTTATTAGGTTTAATAATATATTAATTAAAGGGCTCTTATTACTTTAGTTATTATATATTAAGAAACTTAATATATACTTCTTAAATCTCTTAAAGATTTATATAAAGTACTTAAGGATTAGATATTAAATATAAATATTAAGACTTTATATTCTTAAATGATTATTAAGTTAATTTTTTCTTATTTATTTTAAAAATAGTTAAATAAGCTAATTAAGCTTCTTTATCTTCTTTATATAGTATAGAAGAAATTAAAAGCCTAAAACTTTAATATTATAAAAGTTATATAAAGATAAGTATCTTTAGAGCTTAAGATAAGAGAAGCTATATTTTATAACTTATTTAAAAAAGAGATTTTTATATATCTTAATAATTAAGCTTAAAAATTATAGATATAATATTAACTTATTAATATTTATTAAGTAGCTTATTTTTTATATTCTATATAAATCTTTAAGCCCCTTTATAACTATAATTATAATTAAATTAAGAAGATATTAGAGTCTATTTATAATAAAAAGATTATAATATAATAAGAGTTTCTTATCTTTAAATAATAAAATAGTATCTTTTATAATACCTCTTATTAGAATATAAAGAAAAACCTATAATTCTTTTAACTTAAAGTAGTAAGTTAAATAGCTTTAAATTAAAATCTTTATTAATCTCTTTCTCTTTTTCTCTTAGACTAAATATATCTCTTTTATCTCTTATTATATATTATAAATCTTTAATACTATTATTAACTCTATAGCTGCAGAATGAGCTTTTTTACTTATAAACTTATAATATATAAAGATATAGAATTATTTTAAGAATAAGAATATAAATATACTACTTTTTATATAAATTAATTAAAAGTAATTCTATAAGGAAATATAATCTTAAATAATAAATAAGATATTATTAGAGGTAAAGGAGGCTAAGATATAGTAGCTTCTATAATATAAATAAATATAAAACTATTTAAATAAAATATTTAAGACTTTTTAGATATCTAGCTCTAAAAGGCCCTATAAATAGGATTAAGAGGATATTAATAATACTTAGTATTATAATTAGTATCCTTATATTAAGGAGAATTAAATAATTATTCCTAGGCCAATAGTTTAAATCCTATATCCTTAAGATAATACTAATACTAGTGTGATATCGCGAATAAGCGATATCGCGAACCCCCGCGCGGTCACGAGCGGGATCACCTTGGCGTTCCGCCGAGGTGCCCGCTCACCGACGCACCAAGATCTCCTAACCTCTATGGGACAGTATATAGAGTTTTCACTCTATGCCATGGATTAATAGATTCTATAGAGTTCTATCACCACCGGGTCGCTCAGCTTTCGATAGCTAAGGGAAGATATATAGATACCTCCCCTTCAACCCATGGTAGCGATAGACAGAGATTTCTTAGAGACCGTTAGCTTTCGAATATCACACTAGGCTAATAGCCTAGATCCTATATTATTACTAGTGTCAACACCCCTAAGATAGTATTAATATTAGGCTAATAATATAAATCTCTAGGGCTAATAGCCTAGATCCTATATTATTAGCAGCATTAACGCCCCTAAGATGATATTAATACTAGGCTAATAATATAAATCTTTAGGGTTAATAACCTAGATCCTATATTATTAGCAGCATTAACGCCCCTAAGATGATATTAATACTAGGCTAATAATATAAATCTCTAGGGCTAATAGCCTAGATCTTATATTATTACTAGTATTAACCCCCCTAAGATGCCCCCTAAAGTACTAATTAATAACATTTAATATATTAATATATTAGTTAATAGCCCCTAGTGCCCCTGCTGATCCCCCTGCTCCCTCTATATATCTACTAGCCCTAATTAGGCCCTAATTATATAAATAAACACTCCTGGGCCTGGAGTCTGCTAGGGAGGAGCACTTTTTATATGGCGTGAGCCCACCTAGGTATTATTTGCCATATAAAGTGGGCCACCTAGACTTACCCACTTTCTACGCAGCTAGGGGCCTTAGCAGATTTAATGCTATAGGCAACTAGTAATGTCAAGCACCGGGGGCACTAGGGCACCTAGGCCACATCAAGATATGGGCAACTGGCGACGTTGAGCACCGGGGGCACTAGGGCATTAGACATATTAAGATATAGATATAGGATATAGGCCAACTGGCAAAGGAATTCCTTTTTTTACTATATTTATTACTTTTTTATTACTATTTTTATTATAATAAATTTTTTATGGCCCTAATACTTTTACTAAGCCATATAATTTATTAGTAATCTAAAAATTTCAACCCCCAAATTATATTTCAGATGACTAAGCCAAAAATCGTTGAAATTTCATGAAATGAAATTTCATCGACCCACCCCTAGTCATAAGGGGTGCTTAGTCAGGTGGGTTGTAGGGCGGCGTCAGTGCCGGCCTTACAAAGAGCTAGTAAGCTTATAGCTATAAATCTTATTCTTGTTTAGGATAATAATATTTACTTAAGCAGCTATTAATAGATTATTCTATTTAATTTAGGTCATCACACTCATCCAATGCCATGACTATACAGACACCTCGATTCCTTGGGTTAGGTTAGGGTTAGGGTTAGGGTTTCTAGATAACTATCTTATCTGCCATTCCGAGGTGCAATATGTATTCTTGTTTATTTCCCCTAACCCTAACCCTAACCCTAACCTAACCTCTCCTCAACTGTTTTCCCAGTGAACAGTAGGGGCTTCTATATCATGTTCCACTGGAAATGTAGACCGAACTAATACAGGAGGTAGTGATGATGCTATTGCCATGTGTTGGTTTAGACAACTACAGTCAAGAAAATGACACGGCTGTGATGGTCTCCCGTGAAGCCCAGCTGCATCCCCCCGTTCATCAGCGTCGAGCCCAGATACGCGCCCTTGCCGTCGACGGTATACCGCGCGGCAGGATCCAGTCCCTGCAGCCGGAGCACAGGAAAGGAGTGGTTGATGGTGGCGCGGATCTGAAAGGCAAAGAGCACCGCCTGCGTGTGATCCTTGGAGACGAAGATGGCGGCCGGGTAGTTGGAGTCTGGCAGTCTCAGACGCCAGAGATCACCATTGATGACGAGCGGGTTGATCTTCTCGGCGAGAGCAATCAGCGGCGGGATGGCGGCTCGTTCGGCCTCGTCGAGCGTGCGGCTGTCCAGCTCGAGGCCGAACGAGCCGCCCATCATGGCGACGTGGGCGCGGAAGGTCAAGGGAGTGGTGCGATGCGTGATCCCGTTGGGGACGGCGGAGATGTGCGCCCCCATGGACGAAGCGGGATAGACCAGCGAGGTGCCCAGCTGGATGGCGATGCGCTCGACGGCGTCGGTGTTGTCGGACGTCCAGCTCTGCGGGAAATAGAACAGCATGCCTGGATCGAAACGGCCACCACCCGACGCACATCCCTCCCACAGCACGGAGGGAAACCGCGTTGTCAGCACGTCCAGCACTCGATACAGACCGAGGAGGTAGGCGTGCGCCGTCGCCGGCGAGGGCAGCTCGTGCATGGCGCGGTTGTTGTCCCACTTGATGTAGCGGATGGGCAGCTCGCGCAGCAGCTTGGAGACAAAGTCGATGATGAACTCCTGCACCTCGGCCATTGCCAGGTTGAGCACCAGCTGGAACCGCGTCTCGGTGCGAGGATAGTCGCCGGCGTGCAGCACCCAGTCCGGGTGTGCGTCGTACAGCTCCGACGCCGGGCTCACCATCTCCGGCTCCAGCCAGAGCCCGAACTGGAGCGTCTCCTCTGCCGTCCCGGCGACGCGCAGCGCGGTGATCCTCTGCAGGAGCGGTTGCAGCCCGTCGGGGAAGCGTGCAGGGTTGGGCTCCCAGTCGCCCAGCCCGGCGTTGTCTGCCACTCGAGGGTACTTGACGCCGAACCAGCCGTCGTCGAGGACGAAGAGCTTTGCGCCCAGCTGCGCCGAATCGGCCGCCAGCTCGTAGACGGCCGTCTCGTCCAGGTCAAAGACCAGCCCCTCCCAGCTGTTGAGAAGCGGCGGGCGAGGCTGGTGGGCGTACACGCTGCGGATCAAGTGCTCGCGGTACAGCCCATGGAAGCGCTGCGACATGCCGTTGATGCCGTCGCGAGAGAACACAGCCACGCACTCCGGGGTGGTGAAGGACTCGCCCGGGGGCAGCGGCCACGCCAGATGCTCCCGGTTCAGGCCCAGCACGGCGCGGATCAGGCCCTGCGAGCTCTGGTCGACTTCGGCGCTGAACGAGCCCGAGTAGACGAGCGAGAAGCCCCAGGCGTCTCCGTGGGATTCGGTGGTTGTCGCCGACACGAGGCCGAGGAAGGGGTTGAAGATGTGCGACGAGTAGCCGGCGACGCTCCCGAATCTATGAATCAGTCCATATACTCTTCATAATCATGTAGAACATACTGGTGAACGCCGTATTCCACCTTCTGGCGCACCCGTTGCGCCTCCCTCGCCCATTCGCCGCGCAGGGAGAGAATGTCCATGTCGGCGACCGGCAGGTCGACCGAGAGACTGGCGACTTTCTGCAGAGTGACCTGCTTCTTGCCCCGGTTCTCGACCCGGACGCTTCTCACGATGGCGTCGTGCTGCGGGAAGATCGAGTACGACAGATGCACCGCGAGGGCGCCGAGGGCGTCGTACATCTCCACCACCAGCGTCGACACCTGGTCTGCATCGCCAAACGTCGCCGGCAGCCCTGCGAGCGCCGGTTTGCCCGCGAGAACCGTGTGCGAGCGGTATTTGAACTCGGTGACCGTGTGGCCGTCGTGTGCGATCTGGATCGCGGGCACGCGCAAGTCGCCGCGCCCGAGATCGGGCAGCTCACGGCGTGTGCGGCCATGAGGACCGGACCAGCCGCCAAACCCGGGCAGGATGTCATCTTTGTATAGCTCTTCTGCTGTGGTTGGACCGAAATGGCCCAGATGCAGATCGCCGGTGCTGTCGACGTGTAGGCGGTACGACACGTTGTTCCCGTTCAGGGCGAACGAGGTTCCGTCCACAGAAATTGCTGGAATGTTAGCCTTCATGAGTCACTGAGCCTTTGGCCTACTTACAAGCCCATGTTGTGATGAGATATCGTGGTGTTCAACTGGCTTATATACCAGCGAACCCCGCATGGAAGCTTCGGAATTCACCAATTCCGACTGGCCACATCGAGTGGAGGCACAAGATGAACAATGTCTAATATCTAATATCTAATATCTAATATCTAATGTCTCATGTCTAATATCTAATGTCTAATGTCTAATGTCTAATATCTAATGTCTAGAGATGTAGTTGTTAGTCTGTAGTGAATGATGGTATATCTTATAACATCTTGCACTTTATATACTTAAACTATATATGGTTTAGAATACCTATAACATTTTAATTAAACCACCTAATCTAAGCATAGAAGTACTAGAAAGATACTATAACCCTTAAAATAGACTAATTGCTGTATGCCAGTAATAGAATCATACTGTTACATCTCACCAGCTGCAGGGTATTAACCCTAACCCTAATAATTGCTTCTTCCTTGTTCAAGAGCATCTAATAGGCATATTTACTGATGATAGATCTATACTAATAATTACCCTAATATCAATAAGAAAAGAAGGGAGGTTGAGGATGAGAATAAAGTATCATATAAGCCGCTGGTTATACATCAGATGAATAAAGATTGTCAGTAAAATCCTATTATCTGACGTCGCCATTGACGGTTCTTATGGTCATTATAGGCTGGTGAAGTCTACAATCTGGGAAGATCTTAATATTAAAAGAATGACTTATAAGTAGTCTTATCCTATCCTCCCTTTTCTCTACCATTCTTTATCAGTGGATAGAACTGATCATCCAAAGTCGTCCACTGCGGTTGGACAACATCGACTGCTGTACTACATAAAGGACAATAAGAATCCCATCTTTCATTTGAATTGCAACTCTTCTTACATACACTATGATGACCTCCCTGCCAGTCCCGATGCCCATCTCAGTGAAGCCGAACATTCTCACAGTCTGCTGCTGTGCCGGCTAATGAAAAGGACCGAAAACTGCTTTGGCGGCTGGATTTGACTCTGATCCCATGGGTAGGACCCCAACCTACCCAACCTACCCATCCCTAACCCTATCTTAACATTGATCATAACCCTAAACCCTAAACCCTAAACCCTAACCCTAACATACCCTATACTATAGCTCTGTCTTCTCTACCTGCTGGCCTTCCTCGACCGCACCAATATCGGCAACGCAGCAATTGACGGCCTCAAGACGGATCTCTCGCTGAGTACAGGCCGGTAAAACGCCAGCCTCAGCGTCTTCTTCGTCTCGTACGCCGTCTTTGAGCCCGTGACGAACGTCCTGCTCAAGCGCTTCCGCCCCTCCATCTTCATCCCCACCATCATGATGCTCTGGGGCTGCTGCATGCTGGGCATGGGTTTTGTCACGGACTGGTCGGGGCTTATGGCTGCTCGCTGGTTCCTGGGTCTCTGTGAAGCCGGTCTGTACCCGGGCATCAACTATTACCTTTCCTGCTGGTATAAGCGCTCGGAATTCGGTGTGCGGGCTGTAAGTGTATAATGATTCATACTATGAATGCTATTGATACTATCAAAGGCAATCTTCTTTTCTGCAGCGGCGATTTCCGGCTCCTTCGGGGGTCTCCTGGCAGCAGCCATCGATCTGGATGGACGGCATCGGCAACCGGCCAGGCTGGGCATGGATCTTCATCCTAGAAGGCCTCTTGACGGTTGTCATCGGCGCGTTGTCCTTCGTCATGGTGCACGATTTCCCCGACCAGGCGCGGTTCCTGTCCGCAGAAGACCGCACACGGGTGATCCGCCGGCTGCGACTCGACCAGCAGGCCTCGGGCGGACACGAAGAGTTCTCAATCAGGTATTTTTGGGACGCCGTGCGCGACTGGAAGATGTGGCTCGGCATGGCCATCTACATGGGCTGCGACATGCCGCTGTATGCCTTCTCACTCTTCCTGCCCACCATCGTTAGCGATCTGGGCTGGTCCACTACTGTCGTACGCTCCCAACTGATGTCGGTGCCGCCCTACGCGGCGGCCACGGCTTTCACCGTGCTCATCGGCTTCGTGGCAGACCGGACACAGGCGCGTGGAATGTGCAATCTCCTGGTCTCGCTGCTCGGCGTGGCGGGCTTTGCGATGCTGCTGGGCAGCGCCACGCCCGCCGTGCAGTACGCGGGCACCTTTCTCGGCGCCCTGGGCATCTACCCGTGCATTGCCAACACCATCAGCTGGGTCGCCAATAATATCAAGGGCTCGTACAAGCGCGGCATCGTCTTGGGGTTTGTCATCGGGTGGGGGGAATCTCAACGGGGTCGTCTCCAGCAATATCTACTTTGACAGCCCGCGCTTCATCCATGGCCACGCCCTCATCATCGCATACATGACGGTCTTCCTGTTCGGCGGCTCGCTTCTAATGACAGTCCTCCTGCGTCGCGAAAATGCGAGACGGCGTCGAGGCGATTGTGATGGCTGGATCCAGGGCAAGACGGAAGAGGAAGTTGTGGCGCTGGGTGACAGACGCCCGGACTTTATCTATACGGTTTAGATAGTATTATAATCTGATAATAATATCCACATACCTGGTCTATCGACTTGGGTTATATTGTATTCGCCGCCTTTTAACCCACTTCTTAAACTGATCCGCTGCGTCCTCGGCAAACGGGACGCCCTCCATCTGTGATCCATTTCCACTCTCTTCACCGAGCTTCTCCATCAGACCTTGTGTGCAGGTACTGAATCAAGCAAAACCTGACGGAGCTGCGCCCTGTCGATTTCCGGAGCATCGCGGCCCCCCCCTGGAATCGAAACACGGTCTCGCCTGTCGACCTGGTGACGTGGAAACACGACGCCTCCCAGCGGGTCAGTTTGCTGAACGCCTTGAGCAGCCCGACGCGTCGCAGAGCAGACTGCCCAGACTCGGTATGGAGGTCGAAAGTGCCCCCCTGCTGGCCTTGTTGCGGGGTGGAAGACTCGTCTCGTTCGAAGACCAGGAGAATAGAGAGAAAACGTGGTTTGTGCTCGAGTCGTCCAGGATGGAAAAACGCGCGGTTTATATGACAACAATCGCTGCCTCAGGACTCCATGGCCAAAGTCTCTGATTGGCTGACTGCGGAACCCCCGGACTCAACCAATCAGAGTGCTTCATCCAGGCACTGCCTCTTCTTCTTCTCTTCTTCTCTTCTTCTCTTCTTCTCTTCTTCTCTTCTTCTCTTCTTCTCTTCTTCTCTTCTTCTCTTCTTCTTCTCTTCTCATTCGACTTCATCTCAGACGTCTCCTTGACACCCTCATCTAATCAAAAAATGGAAAATAAGGCTCGACTCTCAGTAAGATTCCTCCTCTCGATAAGATGCCTCCTTATCCAAAGAATGACGATCTGACAAACAGTGCGATTTTGTCGACGGAAGAAGCTGAGGCAGGCTTGCTCCCACGTCCAAAAACTCGCTGCTGACTAGCGACTAGGTGCTCTCGAGATCGTCCGAAATGCCCAACTTGCAAGCCGTGGCCGGGGGGATGCGAGTATTTGCGGGATTCGCCAGGCCGATCACGCAGCCCGGCAGAGAGGAGAGGAGAGCCTCGCCTGCATGCTGAGGACAGCGTCGAGGCACGCCTGCACTGCCTGGAACAAATGGTCAAAAGTCTGCGCAGGAGTCTCAATGCTTTGAGAGGAGACCAACCAGGCAGTCTGATTGTCGCCCAGAGTAAGGAGTCGAACCTTTATATTGGGCCGTCGCATTCCTTTTCTTTTCTGAGAGATACTGCCGGGATGGAGGGGATGTTAAGCACTGCGAATCGCCAGGCACATTCGGAGCTGCGACCTCTCTCCTCCATCCTGACGACTGCCGAAGTCCATCCGCCCTCTGAAACTGGAACGTCATTCCATGTACCGTCGCGACTGGTTGGTTACCGGTGGGTCAGTCTACATTTGGAGCGCAGATGATGATCAAAGGTATCGAAATTGCCAAGTTGACAGGATTGGTGTGGGACATATTGACGAGAGACAAGTCACCGGCATCGAAGAATGAACTGAAGAAGGAATTAGACGACAGGTTCGTCCACCAAATTCCACTACTTGCATGTCTTGATCCTCCTGCTCAAGGGAGACAAGTCAAACTCGCAGCTCCGTCTGTCCCTCGCGCGCTCACATGAGAGCGAACTACCGACGAAGACCACCCACGGCGTCGACATCGCGAGCCATGTCGAGTGGATGCCGGAACAAGACAGTGCCGGATCACGGAGGGTATTTGACGGCGTGTTTGACTGGTTCTCCTGGGATGCTTACTCTGGATCAGTGTTCTCCCGTTAATGACGAATCCGATTCAGCTATCATACAGGAGCAATCCACTTTAGAACAAGTGACAAGTGATTGATCGGCAGTTCATGCAGCTGTGAAGCTTATAATCCCGGGATCCATACACTACGTCATCACACCAAAACCCTTCTTAACACTCGGCCAGCCGAAAATATTCCTCTTATTCAACAGAAATTGACCATGTCCGACCGTGTTGACTCTGAAAAGGCTGAATACCATCGCGATGAGGATTTGACTGTGACAGATGAGCAGGCTCTGGCTAAGGCTCGCGAGTCTCCCGATGAAGCCCTCCCGCTTCTGATCACTTTTGCGCCCGAGGATCGGGAGCATCCTCGCAACTGGCCGCGATGGAGGAAATGGTACATTACATGCCTGGTCAGCATGCTTAATGTTTTTACGTAGGTGTTCTTTCCTTGTTCCTTTTCGAAAAAAAGAAATAACTGAAGAATAGGACGTGGTGTGCTGGTGGAATCTCCTCCGGAGCGAGTGAGATCGCGACTGAATTCGACGTCTCGTCCGAGGTGACGACCCTCGCTCTGTCGCTTTACGTGCTTGGATACGCCGTCGGGCCTGTCTTGCTGGCCCCGTTGTCTGAATACTTTGGTCGACAGCCTGTGTACGTCGTCTCGTGGTTCCTGCTGTTTCTGTTCCAGCTGCCGCTGGCGCTGGCACCGAATATCGGGACGATCCTCGTGTGTCGCTTCATCGCAGGCTGTGCAGGCGGTGCCCCCCTGACCAACACGGGGGGATCAATCAGTGATCTGTGGTCACGAAATGAGTGCGGCGGCCCAATGGCAGTCTACGGGCTCAGCAGTACGTTTGGCCCGCCGATGGCCCTGGTGGTGACCGGCTACATCGGGTTGAATGCCGGATGGAGGATGATCTTCTGGGTGCTCATGGCGATTACGGGGGGTGTTTGGATCCTGCTTGTCCTCACCGTCCCCGAAACGAGGCATTCGATCATTTTGCAGCGCAAGACGCGCCGGGTCCGCCGCCAGATGGAAGCAGAGCATCTCAGGTCCGCTGAATCGGTGGCGGATGTCTTCGCGGAGGATAGAAAGGGCCTCCATCAGCTCTTTGCCATCACGCTGACGCGCCCCTTTCGCTTCCTCTTCACCGAACCCATCACCACCTTTTCAGCCATCTACAATGGCTTTCTTTACGGACTGGTCTATCTCTTCAACGAGTCGTTCCCCCTGGTTTTCGGCGACGGCCATGGCTTCAACGGCGGGCAGCAGGGCCTTGCCTTTCTCGGGCTCGCCATCGGCCCTCTTCTCGCGTTCTGCTGCTACCCGTTGCAAGAACGATACTACCTCCGCCGCGTGGCCCAGAACGACGGCCGGGGAGTCCCCGAGGCACGCATGTGGATGGCCCGGGGAGGGGCTCTTCTGATCCCCATCTCACTGTTCTGGTTCGGCTGGACGTCGTACAGCAGCGTGCACTGGATCGTCCCCATCATCGCCTCCGCCTTCTTCGGGGCGGGCATCTACATCGTGATCCTCAGTATCCTGAACTACGTCGTAGACAGCTACCAGACCTACTCTGCCTCGGCGTTGGCGGGAGTCATCCTCGTGAGAAACACGGTGGGCGCCGGGTTCCCGCTCTTTGCCACGCAAATGTATACCAAGCTGGACTATGAATGGGCGTCGAGTCTCTTGGGCTTCATCTCTCTCCTCTTGGTGCCCATCCCGTTCCTCTTCTTCTACAAGGGGGAGGCCATTCGTTACAAGAGCCCCTGGGCTAGAGAACACTTTGACCAGACGGAAGATAGTTCTCATTAGTATCAGGTGTATTTATTCAGATTCGTAGAATTAAGTGCTTATGGTCATCATCGCCTATTCTCCTTGTATCCCTCGCTCTCGCACACCAGCAATGACAAATTAAGCATAATTTAAGCTCATTATTACTCCTACCATTGCTATTATTATTTATCATTCTAATAATCCACTGTCACAATAATTTGTCTTCTATTTTTATTTTTCCCTTTTATGGAGTCCAACTCGCTAATCTGGCGGTGAGCCGAAACTCGCAATCTGTCTTCTAAACAAACACTTCGTTTCTCCCTCCTCTCTCTCTCTCTCTCTCTCTCTCTCTCTCTGTCTCCCGTTGTCCATCCACTCCATCTGGTTCCTGCTGGTCATTCATTTGACCATTTCTCTCTCTCGCCACCATGGCCAAACCACTCAATGGCAAGCATCTTACGGCCGACATTGACTTCATCGCCACCCCGCCCCACGCGCCCGACTCCTTCGCGACTGGCGAAGACTGCGGAGTGAAGACGACGACTGTACCTCACTCTTGCCTGCCTTTGTGACCCCTCGTTTTGTGTAGCTCTGTTGGCTAATTGATGTGCCGCTGTGTGTGTGCGTTTTGCTTCTAGTCTCCCTCGATCAACAACCCTCCCCTGCCCGCTGACGGTCCCGGAAATGAGCACTTTTCCAACCTCGCACTGGGAGGTCTGCTCCTCGGCGTGCCCGTCACCCTCGCCTGGATGGTGGGCGGTGGCTTCAAGACCACCATCTTCTTTGCTCTCCTGACGGCGCTCCCGGTTCTGATTGCCTACTGGACGGTCATGTCGGCGTACAGCCCGCGGTTGAACGAGAAAGTCCGCCTCCCCGGTCGCCCCGTGGAGTACTACCTCACCTTCAAGAAGGACGTGGACCGTGCTCGGTGGAAGGGGTCGAACAAGATTCCCCTGCAGACCTTCTACGCGTTGTATCTGGCTGGCGAGGTGGACTTCAACGGGGATACGTTGAACGCCATGGAGTACCGCCACGACTGGGCGACCTTCAACTTCACCTGGGACACGTTCAAGTTCCTGCTGGGCACGTTCTTTGTGGACGTGATGTTCCATACCCGCTCGCAGGATGAGGACCAGGTGCGCCCGACGTACGACAGCGGCAACGACCACTACGCCTGGTTCCTGGGCCCGCGCATGATCTACACGTCGGGCATCATCGGGGACGCCAGCCGCGAAGAGACCCTGGAGGAGCTGCAGGACAACAAGATGGCGGTTGTGTGCGAGAAGATCGGGCTGAAGGAGGGCGAGAAGCTGCTGGATATCGGATGCGGATGGGGCACGCTGGCCCGGTTCGCGAGTCTCAACTACGGCGCCCGTTGCACGGGTGTCACGATTGCACGCAACCAGACGGAATGGGGCAACGACGCGCTCCGCAACGCCGGCATCTCCGAAGAGCAGTCCAAGATCCTCTGTCTCGACTACCGCGATATCCCCAAGCACGAGAAGTTCAACAAGATCACCCAGCTCGAGATGGGCGAGCATGTCGGCATCCGCAAGCTGACGGGCTTCTTCCGCCAGTGCTACGACATGCTCGAGGACGATGGCTCCATGTACGTCCAGCTTTCCGGTCTCAGACGCGCGTGGCAGTACGAGGATTTCATCTGGGGGCTGTATCTCAACGACCATATCTTCCGCGGCGCCGATGCCTCCACCCCCCTGGGCTACTACATCAGCTGTCTGGAGAGCGCTGGATTCGAAGTCAAGAGGTGAGAAACAAACTCTTTCCGAGCGGTTCTGCGGAAATTGCTAACCTTCCAGTGTCGATACTATTGGCGTCCACTATTCCGCCACTCTCTGGCGCTGGTACCGCAACTGGCTCGGCAACGCCGAACAGGTCAAGTCGACCTACGGCCAAAAATGGTTCAGAGTGAGCATGCCTTTATTTCCCCCCCCTCCTGTCGCAAAGACGAAATGCTAACGGAAAACAGACCTGGGAACTCTTCCTGGCGTACTCGACGATCGCCTCCCGGCAAGGCTCGGCGACCTGTTTCCAGATGGTGGTGGTCAAGAACCTCAACTCGACGCATCGCATCGATGGCTGGTCTACGCAGGCGGGCCTGGCGGGCCATCTGGCTGCCAGCAAGGCGGCTGGCAAGGCGACTTTGAAGCAGTAGTTTGTCAGTAGAGTTGTGTCGACGGATAGGAGTTCTTGCTGGACAGTGGTCCAGGGGAAGGTGTCATCGGTATCGGATAGAATATGCCCTCTACGGCGAGGGCCTTAATGGATTCTGACTTCCTCAATGTCTGTCCTGGATAAAACTATTCCATATAAGCATACGATATGGGTTTATACACGTAGTTATGCCCATCTATTTATGAAGCTTAGTAATTGCACTGTGCAGCTTCTGATTGGCTCCTTTCTTTGGGTAACCGGCCCCCCAGCAAACACAGCAAACAAGACAAACAGAACAAACACATACACGCCGTTCCTTCTCCTTCTCTCTCTCTCTCTCTCTCTCTCTCTCTCTCTCTCTCTCTGTCTCTGTCTCCTCCTGAATGGCGCTCATCTCTCGTCTGGCGACTCTCCTCACTCATGTCTCATGTCTTATGCCTCGAATGTCTCCATGGTGACTCTCAAACCGAAGAGCCACGTGAAAGTGGCATGTCTGGCTTGGTGAGGGCTCCACTCGCTTCAGCAAGGGATGATAACAATTGCTGACGATCGGCAGTCGTGCCGCCAAAATTCGGTGTAACGGGGAGAGCCCGTGTGCGAGTGTAAGCAGTTCTACGTGAAGAGGAAAAGAAAAAAAAAAAAAAGCTCATTCAATCAGTGTTCTGTGAACTCGCGCGAGTGCAGCTATCGTCCCAGCCGTCGGGGCGGAGCCCGTCGAGGCCTCAAGGCTCGCCAGCAGCTCCTCAAGCAGAGAATTGAATCTCAGCGGCTCTCGGAGGAGTTTCTGTTGAGCCAGAGCATTGCTTCAAATCATGCTCATCCTCCGTCGGAAGCGCTGGTGTCCGGCCTTGAACCTGAGCCTGAGCTTGAGCCTGAGCCTGAGCTTGAGCCTGAGACGGCGACCGTCAGGCTTCGGGCTTACCGGTGCGAGCAAGACTTGTAGGTCGCCGAAAGAGCGATATGGCGGACTTGTGAAGTTGCGCTTCAACTGGAACTCTCTTGTCTCCCTTCTGACTTCAACTCCAGAGTCAATGCATACTACATCTTTATCCATCGCTTCTTCCCGCTGCTCCCTCCCCCGGCCGCGCCTCAGTACAGGGATCAACCCTGGGCAATCGCCGTCTGCTCTGACACAGCGACTGTCGATCCCAGCGCATTGCCGGACTGGGCAGGAAACCCTCTCTGTCTTGCCTTGGCGGCCATGACGATGCTCATCCCGCTCGACGAGACCGGGCCGGCAACAGAGCCCTCCACGGCGGTGCTGCTGCGCCGCACCCACGCAGGTCATTATGCGCGATTGGCCTTGGAGCGCGTTGAGTCGATGGAGCTGCCTCGCCAGCAGTCGCCGACCTCGTCAAGTCCATTGCATCCCCATCTCCCGCGGCAGATCGAGCCGGTTCTAGCCTTGGCGCTGCTCAGCTTGTTTGAGTACTGCGATCGGGGAAACGCCGCCAGGATGCGGTTCCGCGCGAACCACGCCTTGACCACGGCGATGGACCTTGCTCTGTACTCGGAAATGTCTGAAGAGTGCTCTGATGCATCCCGCCGCGCTTGGTGGGTAACAGTGAGACCTTCTTGTGCAGATACTTCATTACTAGTATCACATATACTGACTACTTCCTAGATGTTTCTGTCTTACCTCTCGTCGGCATTGACTGCGACTGTAAGCAGATATCATAGATCCTGTTTGATCCCTGCTGATGGTCTGCTAGGTCCCTATTATCACTGCAGATGATCCACGCATTTCCACCCCGTTCCCTGAGTTCCGGGGCTGTCGTGAAGTACGTTTATTTCTTTCTGCCTTTTTTTTTCCTTCCTGCACAGTGCTGATCTACAGCCCTGGCCGTTGCTGGTTCAAGCCCAAGAGGTGTTGCTTCAAAGTTGCTCTATCGTCCGCCAACTCGTCCGCGATACACCCGTTGACCGTCTTCCCACCTTGATTAGAGATGAGATATACCAGCTGGATGCAAAAATTGTCGATCTCTCCGGGCAGGCCGACCGCTTCCGATGTGTGACCAACCAACAGGGCGTTGAAGCGGATGCTTCCCGCACGCTTTGGGCTATGGCGGCGACCTTTCTTCACACGTAAGTTTTTGATGACAGGAGAAATGGCAATACTAATCATGATCCAGGTCACGGCTGAGACTGCACCGGTTCCGAGCTTTCATGGACCATCCCATGTTTCTAGGAAGTTACTGTGACCTGGCACCTATCGACACAGTCGACTTCTCGTCGTCGTCGCGCCTGTCCCTCAACCAGATCACTAGAATCCATTCTCTATTTCCCTTTTCAGAAGATGAGTCTGCCCGTATTTGTCTACAGTCAGGTCTAGCCATCTCGCGCATCTTCCGTCGTCTTCCCGGTCCACAGTCTTACTCGGATGGACTGGAGATGTCCAACACGACGTTGCTATCATCGTCGTCATCATCATCATCATCATCTTCTATATTCTCTTCCTATTCCACCTCTATCGCGCTGCGAACCCCTCGCTCAATCCCCTACATGGTCTGCTGTGAGCTGCAAGCCTTCTACGCGCTGAACATGCTGTTCGCGCGGGTCCGCAGTGCTATCTGCGCAGGAGACGTTTCCCCCTGCTACCCAATTCTCGACCGACCCGATCCGGCTATGGATGTATGTGCTGCGGAACGGCTCGTCGAGGAGCTGCGGCTGGGCATGGACGCGCTGGCGTCCTCGATCCGCGCCGATGGATGTTTTGCGGGGGTGACGCCCATGGCAAGAGAGGTGGATGCGATCAGAGATGCAACAGCGGCTTTGATAACATGATGTCTTTACAACTGTCGCACTCCGGAAGTTTCCACGCCGGTAGGTTCTCTCCATGTGCTTATTCCAGCCACAATAATCATTCCCACCATACTAACGACTGCTTATGATAGTGGTCGCCTGGATTCATCTTATAGGCTATTACCTTAAATCTGACAGCCGAAATTGCATGCAGCTTACATGCAGATATGATTCGCCTCACAATATGGTGTGATAAGCTGATGTCAGCACTAAATAAGCCTTGCCATGGCTTGTAGGCTGGGGGTATATAAGAATAGTGAGCTGAGATGATGAGTGAATTGCAACTTACTGTTGTTCGCCATTCAGCAGGTTCACCTTTCCAAAATGCAGAACAAGGCAGCATTCATTGATCAGCCGCGGCAGACTCTCTCAGTCCGCGAGGCGCCATACACGCCTCCCACAGCGCACCAGATTGTGATCCGCAACCGGGCGATCGCCATCAACCACATCGACTGGAAGATCCAGGAAAACCCCGAGTTCGCACCGCTGCGGTACCCCGGCATTCTCGGCCACGAGTCTGCCGGGGAGGTGGTGGCCGTGGGAAGCGCAGTCACCCGATTCGCTGTCGGAGACCGAGTGCTCGCCGAGGGGACGGCGATGGCCACGTCCAGCCCGGCGGAGGGATCGTTCCAGCTGCTGACTGTCGTTCCGGAGCATGTCGTCTGCCGGATCCCCGATTCCCTATCATTTGCGCGGGCGACCGTTCTGCCGCTCGGCGTGTCGACGGCTGCGATGGGTCTGTACGCTGCGGGAACCCTTGAACTGGCGTATCCATCCTGTCCCAAGGCGGAATCTAGAGGGGAGACCATCATTGTATGGGGGGGCAGCTCCAGCGTGGGCAGCAATGTGATCCAACTGGCTGTTCAGGCCGGATACGAGGTTGTTGCGACTGCATCCCCACACAACTTTGACTACGTGCGAGGGCTGGGCGCGACGGCCGTGTTCGATTACCACGAGGAGAGTGTCGTGGAGGATCTTGTTGCTGCCGTGAGAGGGAAGACGGTGATTGGGGGGTTTGATGCCGTGGGATACGACGCTGCGGGCGTGTCTGCATCGACTCCCCTGTCGCAGGTTCTGTCAAGAACAGAAGACCAGTCTGTTGGAAAACAGCACACACGGTGTAAGCTGGTTTCTGTCCATCCAGCTCCCCGCGCCCTGCCGGAGGGAATCGAGTTCAAAATGGCGTGGGCGGTTGTGCCGCCCGAGCTGGGGCTGGCGATCTACCGAGACTTCCTGCCCGGCGCCCTCGAGCAGGGAACGTACCGGGCAGTGCCTGAGCCGGTGGTGGTTGGCCATGGGCTGGAGGCTATCCAGGGAGGGGTGGATGTGTTGAAGAGGGGTGTTTCTGCCCGCAAGATTGTCGTATTGGTTGATTGACATATACTATCAGCCTCGGATAATAGTGCTTACTGTTTATCTGACATTGATCAACCCCGCGTCTTACTCATAATCATTACATTAAATCAGTACACTATCTCACTTATTTTCATCAACTTGATCTGCTTGATTGACCAAAATGAAGACCCCTCTTATTGTCAATGCTCCCATGTACGGCACTGCCACGGCTGCTCTGGCAGTTGCCGTGACCCAAGCGGGGGGATTAGGTATATCCAACTATCTGTCTGTCTATTCATGTACTGATAATAAGGATTCATCGTGGCGGGCTTCGATTTCACCACGTCGAGCACGCAACTCCTCGCGCTGGAAAAAGAGCTCGTCCATGCCCGAGAGCTGCTGGGAATAGAAGAGGACGAAGAAGGAAGAAAGCTGCCCATTGGAATCGGCTTTCTGACCTTCCACAACGACGATGCCAGCGGTCTTCTCCCTCTGCTACGTCGGTACCGACCGCTTGCAGTGTGGCTGTTTGCCCCGGCGGAACGACAGCACACGAGACTGATCGAGAGCATCCGACGGCTAGACGATGACCGGCCGATTCAGGTGTTTGTGCAGGTTGGATGTGTGCGGGCGGCGGTTGAGGCTGTGGCGGACGAGGCGGACGTGCTGGTCGTGCAGGGGAGTGATGCGGGGGGACACCAGTTTGCGCGGAATGCGAGCATCATCAGTCTTGTTCCTGAAGTTGCTGATGCGGTGTCTTTATTGAAGGAGAAAGAAGGACGAGAGATCACCATCCTTGCTGCGGGGGGGATTATGGATGGGCGTGGGATTGCCGCTGCCCTGGCGCTTGGTAAGTGATATACAGTATATCTTTCCCATAATCTAACAGAACAGGAGCCAGTGGTGTGGGGATGGGAACGAGGGTATTCTCTTTCCACTTAACATGATTGATATTATGATTGATTCTTACAGTTCGTCGCTACGACCGAGTCTGCCGCGTCGGCCGCCACAAAGTCGATCTTGATATCGACGACAGACGGGGGAGTGACTACAGCCAAGTGAGGAGATATGTACTTTTATGCACTGGGTAGATCCACGCTGCATGACTCCCTCCAGGGCCGTGGAGAGTGATGGCAGCAGGCAATAGCCTATAATAGATGGTTATTATATACTATATACATACTATACATACTATATGCTATGGATCTCGATGGTCCCCCTGTGCATCCACTCGGACCAGCTGCCATCATACAACCGGATGGGATTGGGATAGCCCGCCAGTCGCAAGGCGAGAGCCAACGCCGCCGCCGTGACGCCCGAGTTGCAGGTGACGACCAATGGGAGCGTCTTGTCGACGCCGCTGCGCTCGAACAACTGCCGCAGCTGCGTGGGCGAGAGGAAGCTCTGGTCCGGGTCGAGGAGGGAGGGCAGGGGGATGTTGCGTGCCCGGGGCATGTGGCCTTGGATGAAGCGAGTCTCGGGGCGCGAGTCGAGGATCTGCACGTTTTGGTTTTGCTGGATGATGGTTTCGAGCTCTTCACAAGTGATCACTTGGTCCGATTGGACCGATTGGACCAGATACTCGATCGGAGACGGATCTTGCAGAGAGAAGGCTGTCTGCAGAGGGAACCCGGCTGCGACGTATTGTCGGAAGGTGTTCAGCACATGGACATGCTCATGGCCGAAATGGCGACAGGTCCAGGCGACCCGCGGCGAGGAATACAGCCCGACAGCCAGAGTGTCGTAGACGACCAGGATGTCATCGCGGCGGATGCCCAGTTCGGTCATGTACGCCGCGAACTGGGCTGCCGAGGGGAGCATCTGGGGGTATGGCGAGGCGGGATCTTTGATGCGGTCCATATTGAGGAAGCTACATAACCGTCAACAGTTGACAGTTCATTCATATCATCGTCACAAGCATAGTTTATAGTCAGTCATACATGGAGCCCGGAATGGAGTGGGCAAAGTCATCGAGGCGGCGGCCTGCAGCGACGGGGATAATGCGGCCATGGCCTCTGGACAGGACGGAGTGAAGCTCGTCGGGGGAGACAATAGGAGAGTTGAAGGGGGACATTGGGTTGATTCATATTATTCTCAAGAGAAAATATTCAGTGACAGACATCCTCTCCCTACTTTAATAATCTAGATGGCGTGATGGCGTGATTGTGTGATTATTAAGAAGTTAGTAATCTAGTCTAAAGTCTAGTAGCTATTAGTCTATAAGAAGAGTCAATATATCCATAGTATAAGATACAGATTACTATAGTATCATAGTATTGATATTGTCTAGATATTGTCTATAGAGATATGTATAAGATATAAGTATGGCAAGGCAAGATGGATAAATATTTATCACTAAATCACCTGTTATACTATGACTGACTAGCTAGTGTTATCAGCTAACCAGTATTGACCAGTTATTGACCAGTTCTTACCTAGTCATTGACTAGTAACTAATGAGCAACTGGTATTAACTATGCAGTACATGACGCGGTCATCCGATAAATGCCCGTCCATACACCGCCACTGAAGCATTATCTAGAGTAGAGAGAGTATAAATAGTAGAAAGAGTACCTCATAAAGGATATTGCCAGTCAAGAGCTCTTTCTTTACTTATTCCTCCTCATCACAATATGTTCCTCCTCCTTACTCTTCCTGCCCTGGTGGCCGCCTACACTGGTAAGACATACTGATACTGATACTGATACTTATACTCTATATACTTATACTTATACTTACACTCATATACAGCCCTCCCCTCCGGCAGCGTGGTGAATCTGGACCTGGTCACGGCGCGCAATGCGACGTATACGGTGACGGCGAACGACACGCTGCCCCTGATTGCCGCGCGGTATGGCGTCGGCGAGTGCGATCTGGCCCGGTTGAACCGCCTCGCAGACCCGAACTACATCTACGCCGGCGAGGAGCTGCTGATCCCGACGCGGGCGACGTTTCCCGACGACTACAGCTGCTACAGCACGAACAACACGGAGACGACCAATGTGTGCATCGACGCCGGCCCGCACGTGTACACGATCATGCCGGGCGACACGATCCAGAAGATCGCCAACGAGCGGTACAACATCACGGTCGAGTCGGTGCTGAACCAGACGGCGCAGACGGGGTACATTGCGGCGCTGGCGCCGGGGCCGTACGACGTGCTGGAGACTGGCGAGACGGTCAAGATCCCCATCTGCAACAGCACGGCCTGCACCATGACGCAGTTCACGCTCGGGTATGGCACGTTGCAGGACTTTGCCACGCTGTACGACGTGACGGTTGGGCAGATCATGAGCTTGAACCTGGGCTATAACCATTCCACGGGGGCTGTTCCATTGGGTGTTTTGTACAACTGCGAGAGTGTAGCTTAGCTTCTAACCTAACCCTACCCTATAGTAATATAATATACTATACTCATAACCCTAAACCCTAAACCCTAGAACCCTAACTATACTTACTATACTTACTATACTTACTATACTACCTGTACTTGCAGTAAATATATACTTACTATACTATATAGTATACACTTGATACTATATACTCATACTTATAGTCTACTATATACTCATATAGTATACTCTATATACTCATACTTATACTAGAAATAAGGCAATCCACTGAACCAGGCAGTAAACAAGTCCAGACTGGACGGAAGAGGAATCCCCCCCCATCCATTGCCAACCTGCTGCACCGTCTCACTGGCATTGGTCGCCGCCCACTCGACCAGACCGTCGCCATTGGGATCCCCCGTCTTGATGAAGTTGACCCAGTACGCGTTCATCTGGGCGGCAATCGCATAGTCGGCGTGCGTCCACGGCAGGTCCGTGTCGTACAGGTTGTTCATCACATAGTTGATCTCCGATTCATGGTACGCGCCCTGGTCCTGGCCCGGCGGCGCATGGTCCCAGAAATAAGTGTAGACCGGGCTCGAGCGAGCGGTGGCCCACAGCTGCGCCCATAACCAGGTGCCTACGATCGACCGGTCGGTCCATTGCGCGTTGAACGAGGCCCGGGTGTCTGCCTCGTAGCGAGAAACAGGATAGTAGTCCAGGAAGCGGTCCAGCCAGGAGCCCGAGAAGGTCGCGTTCATGTCCGCCAGGTACTCGGCCGCCGTGATGTTCAGCCCAAACACCGCGCCGTTCTCGTCCTTGGTGTTGCCAGTGAGCACGGGCACGTCGGCCGCCAGCCCATCCCGCAGCGTGTCGTAGTATGTCGCTGGCATGGCGTAGTAGTCGAGCGTCGCGGTGAACTGCCATTCCGCCGTGGCCGTGAGGCCGGCGCTGACCGTGATGAGATCGTCCATGGGCAGAGCCCGCAGCTCGGCGACGCTGCTCACGTTGAGATACTCCATGTAGCGTTCGCCCTGGGCTTCGGCGTCGGCGAGCGTGAGATACGCCTCGGCCACTTCGTCGCAGATCGGATCCTGCACATCGCGCACGCCGCTCTCAATGATCGCCCCGACGATGAGCCCGCGAGTCAGTGGGCTGTTGAGGATGTGCTGGCTGGCGGCCGAGCCCATCGACTGGCCCATCACCGTGATCCGGTCTGGATCGCCCCCGAACGCGGCGATGTTCTCGTGGATCCAGCGCAGCGCGGCGAACTGGTCGAACATGGCCCAGTTGCCCGACGCATTCTTGCCGTCGGGATAGTCTGCTCGCAGCTCGGGATGCGCCAGCCAGCCAAACGACCCGGTGCGGTAGTTGTAACTGACAAACACGACGCCCTTGTCGGCCATCCCGCCGCCGTCGAACAACGCGTCGGCAGCCGTGGACTGCGCGGGATAACTCCACATCACCACCGGCAGCTTCGCATCGGTGGAATTGGCCGCACTCCAGATGTTCAGGTTCAAACAGTCCTCGGCGATGGTGTAGTTGTTCGGGTTGGTCGAGACCGCCGACGGACACACATTCCCCCAGTCAGCAGCGTCGAGAACAGTCCCCGTCCATGGCTGCGCAGGGCGTGGTGGTTTGAAGCGGTGCTCGCCGGCGGTGGTGGCTCCGTACGGGATCCCCTTCCACACGGCGATGTCCTGCCAGTGCGTCAGGTTGCCGCTGGGCTCGCTGGTGAAGGCCGGATAGCCTTGCACGCCGCCGTAGGGTGTCTCGATGACGGTCGAGTAGAGGGCGGCGTGTGCCTGGCTTGCCAGGGGAAGCAGAGCTAGAAGCAGAGCCATATTGCTTACTCGAACGCTTCCAACTTCTCTCCCATCACTGTATGCTTAAGTAGTCTCTGTTCTTCCATGTCGATCATTTCTCGTTTGGCGGCGGGCCAATGTCGGCATCCTGCAGCGTCATACGAGGTTTCCATGGAAATCTGATGATCCGGGCAAATATCGGCTTCACAGCCAATGTCTTCCTCCGCGTCTTACCGTTTGGGGCATCCCGTCGATGCGGGGGCGGGGCGGGGGCGGGTGCGGGGATTGTATAACTTGAGTAATATCAAACCCTATAAATATCGGTTTATATAATATCGGAGTATAGATAATCGGTCAAGATCTGAGTATCTCTATCTTATCTTCTATTCTCTATCATGCTCTTTCTTACCCTTCTGGCCCTGGCAAGCGGCATCTCTGCCCTGCCCGGCCTGGCCCCCCGTTCAAGTGAGTTCTATCCTTATTCCATAGTGACAGTATTTCATACTGTTCCATAGTGACAGTATTTCATACTGTTCCATACAATCTGACCATCCGCCAGCCGACTACCCCGTCGTCAACGCCAACATCAGCATTGGCCAAACCATCTACGTCAAAGAAGGCGACACCGTCTGGTCGCTGGCCGCCACGTACCGCGTCGGCGTGTGCGATCTGGCCCGTATGAACGGCCTCACCGACCCGGACTTCATCTACCCCGGCGAGAAGTTCCTCATCCCCGCCGTGCCCGCCCACCCGGACGACTTCTCCTGTCTGGACGTGAACAACACCGAGACCACCAACACCTGCATCGTGGGCGGGCCGCACGTCTACACCACCATGCCCGGCGACACGATCCAGAAGATCGCCAACGTGCGCTACAACATCACCGTCGACGCCATCATGAACTACGCCGCCCAGACGGCGTACATCGTCGATCTGGCCCCGGGCCCGTACACCGAGCTCGAGGCAGACCAGCTGGTCAAGATCCCCCTGTGCGAAAACACGGAATGCATCCTCCGCACCTTTGAGTTCCATTACGGCACCATGGTCGATGTCGCCCGATACTTTGGCGTCCAGACCGGCCAGATCATGTCGCTCAACCAGGGCTTCAACCATTCCGACGGGGGGGCTGCTGCCAATGCCGCCTTGATGGTCACCACCAACTGCACCTATTTTGACGATTCATGGTATTAGCATGCATGCTTAGCCATAGCTAAGCATAGCCATAGCGATAGCCATGGCTATAGCTATCTATATAGCTATAATATAGCTATAATATAGCTATCCATAATATAGAGCTATGTCTATATTAGTGTCAGTTCGATACGTCTATTTCCAATACAAGAAGATTCGAGATATTGTAACACCATTTCTTCTATTCTAGGTTACAATAGACTACATACTAATATCCTGTTACACCTCCCTCATTACCACCTTGTAGACATACTTCTCCCCCGTCAACAGCCAGACTCCCTCGCCCCGATCGAGGTTGAAGACGATATCCCCCGCCGTATTGATCCTCCCCAGCAGCACGCCCGACTGCGCATCCAACACGTCCACGCCGCCATACACGGCGACAAAGAGAAAGCCGCCGCGCGACACCTGCAGTCCATCCGGCCAGCCGCTCTCCGTCTGATGGATGAGCCGTGGGTTCGCCAACAAGGAATGCTCCAGCACATCAAACGCCCACACGTTCCGCAGACTGTCTCCGTGCTGCTGGAGGGGACGGCCCGAGGTCGAGTTCGAGTCGGCGACGTACAGCGTTTTCTCGTCTGGCGAGAGCGCAAGTCCGTTCGGCATGAGAGCGACATTGTTCGAGGCCACTCGGAGAGCCCTCGTCGTCCGATTGAAGAAATAGATGCTGCTCGGCACCTCTGGGGGCTGCACGTCGGTCAACGCCTGCGCCCAGCCGTACGGCGGATCGGTGAACCACATGTTCCCGGCTGAGTCGAAGATCAGATCGTTGGGACTGTTGAGATGGCGGCCCCGGTAGTTGTTCACCATCGCCGTCACGCTGTGGTCGGCCATGTCGAGCTCGTAGATGCCTCGACGGGCGCCTCCGTTGGTCGCTAGATATACCTTTCCTGCGTGGTACCGGGCGCCGTTCACATTATACAGTGGAGGTGAAGTATAGATGTGGCGGGTCTGGAATTAGTATATATAGCTAGTATATATAGGATAGAATACCTCGTGAGTATCGACATTGATAGCCCATAGCCAGCCTACAGCAGAAGTGTCGGAATAGACCAGTTCGTTGGTCTCGGGGACAAACGCCGGGGCTTCATGCACGCCTGGCTTATCAAACGACTGGATGCGCTCGAGACGGGCCTGCGGACCCATCAGGTCGAAGAACGAGGCATCCCAGGCGATGAAGTCTGCTTCTCGCACGGCGGCCAGCACAGACGAGACGATAGGGTCGGTGGTCTCGATCTCGTAGAAGGAGGATTCTTCTCATTAGACGAATGCACTGCAACAGACGATACTTCCACATACTGATCCCAGGACTGTTCCATTCGGGCAGAACAGGCATGCTCTGCAGGAACACAGCCGAGACATTGTCAAACCCGGGGGGGAGAGCGTTCAGGGCTTGGTTCAAGGCGACGTTCTCTACGGGGGTCTGGAACAGCCATGAGATGTCCATGATAGAATAACAAGTCAGTAGTACTTGGTAGAATGTAATAGACATGGTAAGATGCCGTGGAAATATGCTCGTGGGGCGGAAGAACGAATGTCCGATCTAGTAATTTATAATTATAAATACAGTATAGAAATACAGTATAATACAGTATAGAAATACTAAGAGCATAAAGTGGTGGGGACTATATAAGGTATAGATGATTACTCACTTCTTATAGCAGTTGTAATATGGTCAATTCCTTTTATACAGACTTATAATGATGAATCTAGATGGATAATAAACTTGTATTAGGTGATTCTAAAGTTGTGAAGCAAATAAATACCCTAATATAGCCATCTGCCTAGCTGTTTATAAACCAACTCAAGCGGCGACTCTCTTCCTGATTGAAGTTCATTGGATACCAGATATAAAAAATGACCATGATCAAGATCATCAAGGCACCATCAAAGACGTAAAGCGGCCACTCTGTAGTAAGGAGATAGCTGTTCGGGTCCGCGGATTGCATCACAAACTCCACCACACGGTAGATGTTGCGGACGAGAGTAGCGGACGATGTCACATACAGCATATTGAGACAGGACTGCCAGGGGACATGGGTTGGGATCGAGACGCCAGCTTGTATTCTGATTCTCCGATGGAAAATTGCACAGCAGCCGATGAAGAAGACAAAGACGATGATCTGCAGAACAAGGCCGACAATGATGATGTAGTCGGCGATCTGCGTCAGATCCTGCTTCCCCAATAGACCAGCCGCATTGCCCTGGATCATGAAGCAGCCAAAGTCTCCGATGATAAAGATCCGGCTGGCCCATCGCACAGGCACGGGGGAAAGGGAAGGAGAAAGGAACCGGCGCTCTCCTCCCTCAATGACAGCACAGACGAGGCGAGAGTAGAGCATATACAGAGTGGCTGCAAACATGATCGGAGGCACCACAAGGAAAACGGATGTGAGCAAATACAGGCTCAAGTTGTCAGTATAGAATGTAGCTGCCGCTTAAGCCATATATCCAATTATTTTATAGAAGCCACCAATAACAAAGGGAAGTATAAACTATACTTAAGTCCTGTATAATCTCCAGCCATGACAGAGTTGCAATTGTGAATAAGGCAAGAAAGATAAGGGAGAGCACTAGGTTGGGAATATATTTCCACAGGTAAACACCATGATAGGTCTCTAGCATATTGGCACAGTTAGGAGTATAAAGAAGAGAATAAATAAGTATATTTAGTAAGGAACAGAGGGCTATATGTATCCTTTTATATCAATAAGTATGGCAGTATCATATAGGTTAGGGTTAGGGTTATGATTATACGCGTATTAGCATCACACTAAATATTTAGTAGTTAGTCAATCAATGACTAATTAGTTAACTACTGCGTCATCTGATGGATCTTACATCAACCTGCGTATTTAGAGAGGGAATGATTATCTCTAGATTCATGTCGCATTCACTGTCACTTTTTTAGATATTCCTCGGCTTTATTCTAAATGCTACGGCGCAGCCACAAGAAGTCGCGCGGCGGTTGCCTCCCATGGTAAGAGTCTTGTCTCCTATAGTAGCGGCAGCGCAGCTCTTGGCTGATTGTGTTATACCAGCAAGCAACGCCATGTCAAGGTAATGGATTGGATATCGTACTAATCTTTATGCTGATGGGTGTCAGTGTGATGAAGGACGTCCAGGGTGCCTCCTCTGCGCCATGTCAGATCGCGAATGCACATATGCAATGCCCCAGACTTCACCGCAGCCTGTCGTGTCCAACCGCAGGGCCCTCGAGTCGGAGATCAACATCGATGATATGGAGCTCCTGGTTCACTTGACCGTTGCCGGCGATGAGATCTTCAGTCTCCGCCTTGGGGACAAGGCATTCACCAACCCTGCCACCATGTCTCTCGCGCTGAAGCTAGGGCTTAAGTTCCTATATCCTCTTTCCTAACTCCTGGCCTTTTCCTCTCTTTATCTGGCATCCCAGACACCATCTTGCTCTCCGATGCGAGACCAGAATCCTATCCACAACGGGTATTGGATGCATATGAATGATAGTGATATTGAGATTGGAATAAACTAAACATGGTCGTTTCTTCTGACATTGACGACTGGACCTCTGATGAAGTAACTCTTTCACACCACCAGCATGTTCAGTCTTTTTCCGACAAAATAAAGCACCCATAGAACCTGGGTCAGCGTGGTACTATTGTCTGGATACCCGATCCAGTTGTGAACGGCAACTGCTAGGATCCAGTCCGAGTAGAGTGCCCCAAAGGCAACCACTATACCAAAGGCAACCATGGAAGTCTCACCACAAGAATCACTACTATCACAACAAAGCATCAGAAGCGCCACCAGAACGCAGAGTGCGGGAATACCAAAAAAGACAGCCGTTATGATGACTGTATCCTTCTGAGTGTCTGGTGTATTCCACAGTATATGCGTCAAGCCTAGGGATCCGGCTAGCCCAGTGAGAGCGCCAGGGATGTAGAGAAAAGTCCAGTATCCGCTAGGAAAGATGGTATTCAGACCAGAGGAGAGAGAAAGGGTGAGTTTCATTGCAGCAATTGCCTCGAACTGCCTATACCATACATTTCAGAGAAGAATCATGTAGAGATAGATCAGGTATACTTACCAGGCATGAGAACATCGTACCATGGTCACAATTGAAGAGATATGGGTAAGCACCAATTTCAAAAGGCCTAGGGTTGTATTCCAGGTCGAGTGGCCGTCTCTCATTTCCGTCCCAGGCATCAGGGGTCGATGTTTATCCATGATCATATTGCTTGAATAATAAGTAAGGAGGTGAGAGACAAAACCCAAGGTTCCATATGGTAGAGAATAGCACTTTGCTTCCTCCCGGAACAGAGATGTCGCATTCTGGCTTGAACTGGAGGTTGCAGTACTGGTACTATTCTCCGAGCGGACGAGTCGTGGATGAAAAGCAAGAGTCACAAGGAGATAAAAGAAAAGGTAGACAAGGGCTTTTGGTGCCATTATAGTGCACAGTGAGGTAGAGAATAGATAGAAGTAATGTATAAATGAATGTTCTGAATAGACTAACTAAAGATGTAAAAAGATAATGAGAACTCACCCTCTTTATATCTTTCAGTCTCAAGGCCTTGAGGTGAGAAAGAGCCTCGTATAGAGACAGCACCAAAGATGGTCGGCGCTACGACGGTTCATAGTTTTCATTTGTTGGAATCTAAAGATATATGGCGGCTGGATAGATCGATGACTGTCAACCCTTGATCATACAATGAGGCGGTTTCATGTAATGCAGGGGAAGAGGGTGAGGGCTATAACTTTCATCTTTACAGGAATATTCGGCAGGTAGAATGGTTTTACCGGATGAGAAAAAGCAAACGAGCGCTTACGAGGCAGTACATATCAATAGCCTTGTGTATATGCATTCAGTAGTTCAGCCTTATTGAGGGGATGAATCGAGTCAATGGACAGCAAGGCTATTCAGATGATATACTCTGCCCTAACTAGGGAACTGATTGGCTCTGTAAACGCAATAATTATATAGATATATGGTACTATTGGCCCTGAATATATATAGGATTTGTTAAATGTTCTATATATAAAGAGTAGTACCTAGGTGATATATAGTATCTCTTGAGAAGGCTGAAGATTCATTTTAACCTCTAGCCAGTTATAATTAGATATCTAAATACTTAGGTCAGTTTCATCTATTTAATATTTAGTAAATGATTACTGTCTACTATAATTATCTATAATTGTCACTATAACTGTCACTATAATTGTCTATAATTGTCACTATAATTACTATAATTGTCACTATAATTAGTAATTACTATAAGTAATCATGTGACGCCTGAATCCAGCTAGCGTGCTGACTCAGCAGCCCACAAAAGATTCTTTCCAGCAGATATTCGACATTCTTCATCCCTTCATCGTCAAAATGGCTGCCAATGAAGGGGTCGACGCCCAGATCAACACGGCCGCATCGATAGAGTACTGGAACAATGTGCCAGCGACGGCCAACGGGATGCTGGCCATGCTGGGGGCGTACCCGTGGTACACACGCATCGACCTGAGGGGATCGCGGTCCTTTCTCGCCCGCGTCCGCCGCCTGATCCCCGGCTGCACGACAGAGGGCCGTCTGGCGCGCGCGGTGGACTGCGGCGCAGGCGTTGGTCGCGTCACGGAGGGCTTTCTCGGTCTGGTGAGCGAGGCAGTCGACGCCGTGGAGCCCGTGGCCAAGTTCACGCAGGTGCTGCAGGCGAGCGCGCTGAAACGCGAGCAGAAGATCATCCAAGACGTGTACACGATGGGGCTCGAGGACTGGCAGCCCGACAAGGCGTACGATCTGGTCTGGATCCAGTTCTGTCTCGGCCACCTGAAGGACCAGCAGCTGTGCGAGCTGCTGCAGCGCTGCCGGGCCGCCCTGACGGCCACGGGGGTCATCGTCGTCAAGGAGAACCTGTCGACGCATCCGCAGGGCCAGGACATGTACGACGAGCTCGACAGCAGCGTCACTCGCACCGACGACAAGTTCAGGGCTCTCTTCGACCAGGCGGGCCTGCGACTCATTGCGTCGGAGCTGCAGCTGGGCTTTCCCAAGACATTCAAGCTTCTTCCCGTGCGTTTCTATGCATTACGCAAGATTAACTGAAAGAATAGTAATATATCAATATCATTAATAATCTCATGTAGTTAGCCCACTAGGAGGTTACATCTTATCTTATCTTACTCAGGCAACAATATTACTTCTCTCTCTCACTCTCCTCTCTCTCTCCTCTAGCACTCTCTCCTATTCCTTCTATTATATCTCTATCTCTACTATCTCTATCATGCTGGTCTCTACTCTTCTTCTGTGTGGCATCGCGCAGGCGGCAATTGTCCCCCCCCAGGTCGTCTTTGCGCCGTTTCCGCACGATCTGACGGCAGAAGGTAGATACGCTGTCGACGAGGCCATTCTGACGGTTCTGCAGACTCACTCCGATCCTGTGGCCGCCATGGTGGCGCTGGATCCCGACAGTGAAGCGCTTCTTGCAGAACCTCGTCTGTTGCACGTCCGCGGCGAAGAAACGGCGCAATGGCGGACGGAGGGCGACAAGCTGCGCCTCCGCAGACAGGGCAGGAAATTCGTCGACATCACCGACCACGCCGAGTTCTACGCGCTGCACAAAGACGACCATGATGAGCCTAGTAAGTTCGATTGTCCATATGCTTGTTTGGCAGTAGATAATGTTAGACCTCCCTGAGCTGGCACACCAGCGCCTCGTGAAGCCTCTCTTCGCCCACGTCGAAACGCAGCGCATGGAACATGTTCTCCGGCATATGACAAGCTACTATAACCGATACTACGCGGATATCCATGGCGAACGCAGCTCCGAGTGGCTGCATGACCATATCGCAGAGGTATGTTTCGGAGGGGAGGCAGAGAGAAAGAAGGATACTGATTCGTAAGATCATCGCCAGCTCTCCCTTTGGAACGCACATCTCGCTCGAATACTTCCCCCATCCGTTCCGGCAATCGTCCATCATCGCCCGCTTCGAACCCAAGACCCGCAACTTCTCCCTCCCGCTGACCGTCATCGGCGCCCACCAGGACTCGGCCAACTATCTCTTCCCGCTGCTGCCGGCACCAGGGGCAGACGACGACTGTTCCGGCACGGTCAGTAACCTGGAGGCCTTCCGTATCCTGGCAGAGAGCGGCTACACCCCGAAGAACGGGCCGGTCGAGTTCCACTGGTATGCGGCCGAGGAGGGGGGGGAACTGGGCAGTCAGGATGTCGCCCGGTACAAGAAGGAACAGGGAGCGCATATCGGCGCCATGATCCAGTTTGTAAGTTCTCTCTCTCTCTCTCTCTCTCTCTACAGTAGTATCCCGCTGATCTCTAGGATATGACGGCGTTTATTGCCCGGAATGCCACTGAAATCATCGCCGTGATCTCTACCGAGACAAACGAGGCCCTCACCAACTGGACTCTGAATCTCAGCAAGGAGTACATCTCCATTCCTTCCGAGATGCATCCTTTTGGAGCGTAGGTGCCTAGATTCTTGGTGATAGATGTATTGCTAATGGGGTAGAGCTGGGAGTTCGGATCACGCCCAGTATACACGACTCGGGTATCCAGCCACCTTTGCGTGCGAGGGAAACCCGATGGCCGGCGTCTTTCCCGGCGACTTTGATCCATACATCCACGGCGTTCACGACACGATGGACATTGACGACCAGGCCGGCTATTTCTCTCTTGACGTGAGTTTTATCTGTGTCTTCTTGTTCTCTCTTCTTGCTGACTGGCTAGCACATGGCACGATTCACAGAGCTGGCAATTGCTTTTGCGGTGGAACAGGCTGGATGGGACAATACTTGGAGATGATACTTTAATATCTCGTCGCAGTACGGAGTACTCATTACATCATCGGTATTACTCCGTATCAGTACAGGATGTGGGGCCCCACAGTGGCGTGCCGATCCGGACTTTACTTGTGCCCCGGCCGATAAATGCCCGAGTAGAGTGGTATACAGAGCATAGAGTTCCAGAATGACGGTATAAATGCGATTGCTTTCTGAAAAGAAATGTCACTGTGTTGATCAAGTGTATGTCTGAATATGTATGGCCTATTGACCATCCTCGGCCTGACGGGCGCCCTGGCCCTGAACCCCCCGTACTATGCGAACCTCACCTGGGAGGGCGCCCGCACGCTGTCCAACTGGAGCAATCTGACCGTCGAGACACGCACGGGCACGTTTATTGGGTTTTTGAACGATACGTATCCTGATGTCCGGCAGTTCTTGAGAGTTCCATTCGCAAAGGTACTACCTCCTATACTATACTACTAGTTATATACGATGTGCTAATGAGTAGCCCCCCATTGGTGACCTGCGATGGCTCCCCCCACAACCGCTTGACAAATCATCCAAAAGAATTGATTCGACGCGATTCGGGCCAGGTAGATGATCAACTATTGCGAGAAATACTGATTCATGCTAATGGTTGCAGCCTGCCCTCAATACGTGGCTACAAGCGACGCCCTGTGGTCCGAATACGAACCGCCCAGTCTACTGCTCAACATCGGAGAAGCAGACAACCAAGGCGCCGTCGCCTGGTCGTCTGCCGAAGACTGTCTCTCGCTCGCCGTGTGGACGCCCGCGTACGCGAACAAGACCTCCAGCTTACCTGTCGCTCTCTTTGTGACGGGTGGGGGGGGAGTGTCGGGGGGGATTGAAGTGCCCTCGCAGCTGCCTTCGAATTGGGTGTCGAGAACACAGGAACATATCGTTGTGACTATCAACTACCGGCTGAACATCTTTGGCAGTGAGTGGGATCGTCTTGGTCCTCTTTGAATATAATGCCATACTGACTGATTAGACCCCAAGTCGAAAGCGTTGGATGAAACGTCGCTGTCCCTGCTGGACGTCAGAGCGGCGGTGGAATGGGTGTATGAGAATATTGAAGCGTTTGGTGGAGACAAGGAAAATATAATGGTACATTCCTATCTCCTCTTGATACCCTAAACTCCTATACTCACTGTTCAGCTATGGGGTCAATCCCAAGGAGCGGCGTTAACCCATCTATACACCCTGGCGTTCCCTGAAGACCCCCTCGCCGCCAAATTCGGGGTGATTTCTCAACCGCCATCAGTGACGATCAACATGTCGGATACCACCGACGTGTACGCCGACTTCCACATCGTGGCCGAGGGGCTTGGGTGTAACTACGGCGACGATGTTGATGCCGAGCTGGAGTGTATGCGACAGGTCTCCTGGGTGCAGATTGAGGAGTATATCAATCGGTACAACAGTTCGCCATCCATTGCATTCACCAACTACATCCGTAAGATATCCCATCAATGTACGACTATAATACTATGAGATGCTAATGATTTAGCTGACGAACGATACATCTTTGCCGACGAGGAAGCCCGCTATCAGGCCGGAAAGGTGGCCCGCGGCCCTGCCATCCGATCGGATACCTCGCGCGAAGAGTCCGTGGTCAACGAAACCAAGACGATGGAGGTGGAAGAGCAATGGGTGTGTACTGCCTTCCAGGACTCGGTGCGTCGCGCCCGCCTGGGTCTGGACACGTACCGGTATGAATGGTCCGGCAACTTCAGCAACATCAGCCCGGTCTCGTACCTGGGTGCCTTCCACTGGTCGGATCTGATGATGATCTTCGGCACGTACATGACGGATGCGGGCGAGATCACAGACCTGGAGGTCACCACGTCACACACCATGCAGGACTTTATCCTTGCCTTTCTCAAGGATCCGCAGACGGTCGGCGCCACGGTTGGATGGCCTCTGTTTGATGCCGAGGCGCCGCATGGGGGGCTTATTCTGGAATTCGGCAATAACACCGCGGTCAAGAACATCACCGGCGACTTTCTCGAGGCCGGCTGCTGGAATTCTTCTTACTCATTCCCTATCTATGAGCCGAGAGTGTCCTCTTAGCTTAGGAGATGATCGATAGAGATATTCTATAATCATATGGGATGCATTGCGTTGACACATGAAGACAGAAATAATCAACCTCGGTAGACACAGAATAACTAATTATGTCTTTAGTAACAGTATCCAGATCAATGCTGAACTAATCTATATCTAGACCAATGTTGAGCAATACTAATCTATTTACGAGATAACATGTGCTTAACCCTAATCTAACCAGTTTCTTTCATCAAACTGCCATCTATTGTATATTATAAAGATATGGAGTTGGGAAAACCAATACGGAATCAATACGGAATCAAGTGATACTCTTCAATCTTCAATCCTGTCAGTCATTCAATATAGCCCAAATCACGGAATGCCCTTTCGAGGATCTCACGGATCGTCTGGTCTTTGCGTTGGGTATACTCCACCATCGAATCTCCAGCCATGACCGTCTGTGCAGCCGCCTCGCGTTTCACGTTGGCATACAGTTCTCGATCCGCTGGCGATTTGAGCAGCCAGTCGCGAAAGATCCGATGTCGAGCAGCTTCGGGCGAGTCGGGACCCCAGACGTGCAGGTTAACGTGGTAGGCTTTGGGCCAATCCTCCACAAAGAAGCGGTGTTGGTGCCATTGCGGCTCGCGCAAGAGGAAGCGGAATCCGGCGTCTTCCAGAGGCGGCACATACGATGCTTCATCCGTCACATCTTTCAGTGTCAGATCGACATCAATGATGTCTTTGGCGGGTAGGCCGGGGACACTGGTGGAGCCGGCATGGGCGATGTCCACGATCAAACCCCCAAGCGCTTTTTGAATCCGCTCCTTGACGTCTTCGAACCGCCGCGGCCATTCTGGGTTGGGCTCAATGATGGTAATGGGCGGCTTGACCGTTCGCGAGGCTATCCGTTCCACCAGCGCCGGGTTGTCCTCCAAAGGCGTTAGAATCTGTGCAACTGTAGGGGACATTATGGCAATAGTAGTTGGCTCTATGGGAAGGTGAAAGAAAGAAGATTAAAGACTTGACCAATCTGACTTGGACATGAGGTTACATCGCAGAATCCTGTTTGACTTGTTTGCATCATGGAATATTCTAGTAACAGCATAGAGTTATTTCTATACTATTGATTTGCATTTTTATATATATAAAATAATAAAGAGTCTGGCATCAGTTTAAGATACTGTAATGGGTCTGCTATATAAACTTATATTACTATATTACTATGGAAATTCTTCACTTAATATAGATCAAAATATTGCATTCATTGCCATCTAACACTATAGAATCTATGAATCTAGAACCGAATCCCGGAAGTCCAATAAATGCTTCAAGAGCATGGATACTATTCCACCAACCACTTGATCAACGGCTCCTGCGCAAAACAAGCCATTGCCTCCTTCTGCAAAGGAACACGCACATCCCACGCCGCCCCCCGTGCCACAGCAGGCATCACGGCGCAGATGCTATCGCCCAGGGCGGCGCTGAGGTGGAAGCTGTCGATAGAAGCCAGCCCCGATCCAAAGTCGAGGCTGTATACCTTCAGATGCCGCCAGGAGGTGATGGTGATGTCTCCGTAGCGCAGATCCGCTCTGCTCCAGTCTGGACGGGCAGTCAGGAAGCCTATACAGCGACGGAGCCAGGCGTCGTCGTGGGTTTGGATACTTGAGCGTGTCTGCCGGGCGAGAGCTGTGATCGCCGCCAGTTGGTGACCGTCAATGGGTAGATTCTTGGGTGAATCGATCTCAAGGCTGCCAGCTCCCATTCCAGCTCCCATGCCAGCACCCATGCCCAGCAAGGGAATACGTAAAAAGGTAAAGGCATTGCCCAGGAAATGCTCCGGTAGATCGAGGAGCCGGTTGCGGAAATTAAAGGCAAACACCACATCGCGAGTCTTGAGACTGGCTGCCCGGCGTGCCTTTCCAATGGCGACTGCCAACACGCCAGTGAGCACATCGTTGGTCGAGAGAGATCCGATGCTGCTGTCGATCTTGGGCAAGATAGCCATGCAAGCCAGCCGCAGCCGCTCCATCTTGTCGGCTGAAAACACAAACGGGCGGTTCTCGAGGTTCTCGACGAGAAACATGTCCAAATCGGGCTCCATATCGCCTACCAAATAGCACTCTTTGATCTCTTCCATACAGGCATCATCCACTTGTGAGTCTTTGCCCGCCGCTGCCAGGCAGCGGCGCAAGGCCTGTTCGCCTTCGCTGGTGATCTCAGCACATCCCTCTCGGCAGCACTCGGCCAACACCTCGTAGAGATGGCCGGCTCCAGTGCCATCAAAGACCTGGTGGTTGAATACCATGCACAGGGCGAGGCCGTCTGCGACGAGATTTGCCTGGAAGCGTACCACAGGGCGTGGCTCGTCGGGGGGGAGGAAGAGAGGCAGAGGCATGAACTCTTGATTCAGACTGGCGACCTCCTTCTCCGCAGCCTTTTCTGTGCTCTTCACAGGAAGAATGACGCCTGGGAAGTCTTTGACAATCAATACAGAGTCAATGTCAGATTCCCTGCTCGGCTGGACGCTCATCTGTCCGTGTTTCGCATCCGGAGCAGGCCAGGGGACAACCTCGCCTGTCAGAAAGGGGAGCCGAGAAAGGAGGACATCAATCCCGGCTTTCAGGGCCGACAGGCTGCGCTGAGGATCAGACGAGCGGAAGCAGAGGAACTGCGGGATGAAGATGGGAACCAGCGAGTGGTCTACGGACGTGAGAGCAAAGGGGGGGAATGGGGGCCTCATAGTGTAGTATAGAGGAGAGTGGAGGATAGGATTGTATAGGTGCTGGGGACGAGTCTTATATCAGAGGAATAGAGACAAACTTTCCACCTGTGGTACAAGGGCATTGTGAGATATCACTAGGCATTGCTCATCAGCAAAGAGATGCGTAGTCGAAGGGGCATGCAAGGGTAAAGATTCCACATCTGGTATAAAGTAACTACCAGGTAGAGGTGGTTTACTATAAGCAGTTTCTAATAACATAATTGTATTATTGATGGATGTACCTGAGAGCTATTCTTTTACCTGACTATATATTTCCTTCCTTCTCCTTGAGAATATAATAATGTTTTTCTTGATATCACTGGAATATATGAAGAAGCCCTGTTCAACACTAAAAGTATAAACTATATCATGTTGTGGTAATTCACATAGTAGATCCTTCATTCTATAGATCTTCTGCTCTTAGTTGGTTACACATGGTTTTATCTATCCTCTCTCATAGGTCAATAAGCTTGATGATTGTCCCAGCTGAATGTTCTCATCTTGCATGCTTCTTCAGACTAACTTGCTTTAGCTGTAACATATGTTTTTCTATCACTGTCCTTGGCTTTGAATGTCCCTTGCATCTTCCTGACGAACAACTCTCGCTCTGGAAGGAGACAAGATGGGCCAAACTGGCCTTTCATCCATCAATGCTATCTTTAGATCAAGACAAGGGAGACTATCAGTAGAAATCTTCAGGCATTGTGGACAGATCCTCAGGCTATAACTACCACATTAGATCGTTGTAAAGACCCTTGCTTGAGCCAGAGCACGAGCCCTCGGGCCACTGTTTGGCAGGTCTTCAGGAAGCGGGATGCTTACAGGGTCACTTAATACACAAGGAAGACTCCAGGCTTCGAATTTCCACTTCCCAGGAGGAGAGCGTACTGCATGAGGTAGCTTTAGTATTGCGTCGTATGAACCAGCATTAGGAGTCAATTGTGTAACTGAATATTCGCTTATGAATGATAAGTTAAAATATTCAAGAAATAGCATACTGATCTAGTTTCTACCGTAAAGGACTTTTCGTACTCCTAGATGAAGATGTTCCAGTTACTGTTGGTCTAAAACATACCCAACACTCATCACTTGGCAGCTGACGTGGCAGAGTCGAGGGAGCCTTGAACAATGACTCCATCCTGAACGGCCTAGTACGCTGACCGATTTATTTCCTATTGATCCTTCCTTTCATCAGTGTACTTTTCAAGCCAAAGCTTATGATCGCACATCTTGACTACATAGTGAAGTCATTATTCAGCCCTAAAGACTGTCCAGTTATCTAGTTCAATATTTTGCTATACTGGCTGCATAAAGCTCGCTGCAAAGAACAATAATAAGATGAAAGAGATATTTTTCTTCCTTTAGTATGATCTCACCAAGCCTGCTACAGTACTTTACGGAATATATATCTTCTATATTACATAAGGCTCACCTACGGTTGGTAGAAGCCAACTGGAGATGGTATCCGCAGATCTCGGTCCACTTAGCGCAGCCCCACCACGGAACGGCCCGGTTCTGACTTCGGGAGCAGTGCGTATTGACTTGGTTATAAAGCTTTGGATCAAGGTGAGAACTGATTTTATCTCTTTTTAGAATATCTCTGAGCAGACTTCCAGCTCAAAGCCTGCAACAACCCCGGTTTGCTTCCTCACTGTCCAACGCCACATCTCTCCCCTCGGGCGGCACACCGCGAATCAGACATCCAGGCCGTCGACCAGAATCAGCAGGTCAATTAATTCATGACATCACTCCGGGTGGGCTGTGTCGACATGCAGTTTATTCTTCCTTTTAGGGAAGTGGGCATCGGTTGTGCTTTCTGATAGGGTATTATAGGAGCATGATCCCTGTGCAACCATTACATATATTTGCGCCTTTCGTTGGCTTGAAGGAAGCCAAACGAGCGGGGTATTACGATGGATGAGATTGTATGAGGGTTTTTCGATTATCTTCTCTTCTGTTGAGGGAGGATGGAGAAGTCTAATAAGACCATTACAAATCACAAGACCGAAGATTAAGATAATAGAAACTAATCTTATTCTCCCGATTGGTCTATCAAGGCCTTGATCTGCATATCCTGCCTGATGTGATTCATCAATCTTATCAAGGCTAGAGAATTAGTTTTGCTCGTATATTTATATGATATATGTAGCCATATCCCCGATCTATGTGGCACACCCTTCTTTTCTATTTCTCTCTACACTTCCATCACAAGATGTTTCTCCTCTATAGCATTTTGGCCATTGTTGGCTATTTCGCTTTTTTCCATAAGAAAAGGAGACTGCGCCTGCCTCCCGGTCCCCCAGGGAAGTTCCTATTTGGGAATCTGGGAGATCTTCCTGGACGAGATGAACTAGAGGGTAAATACTGGCTTCAACATAAGAAAATATACGGTATTCTCTTTCCTTTCCTTTCCTTTCCCTTCTTTTCCTTGGGAAACTAATTTATAGGCCCCATCAGCTCTGTCAATGCCCTGGGTAAATGTATTATCATCCTGAATGAGGCCCGATTGGCTGTGCAACTCTTGGATAAGAGATCTGCTCTTTATTCCTCCCGGCCGCAACTCAACTTTATCGATATGTGAGCTTCCTCTCTATCCTTGATGAACGGGTGTATTCATGTTGATGATCAGGTCCGGCTGGGGGGAGAATCTCGCGACCGCACGGAGCCCGGAGCGCGTTAGACAGATGCGCAAATATATCTCGCAGGAGATCGGCTCAAATCGGTCTTTGTCGCGGTTCAATGAAATGCAGACCAAAGAGGCGGCGTGGTTCTTGTTGCGAGTCTTGAAGTCGCCAGACAATCTACAGCAGCATATCCGCAAGGAAGCCGGAGCGGTGATCGTCAAGATCGGGTATGGCTATACCGTCGATCCGCATTCCTCGGACCCCCTCGTGAACATAGCTGATCGAGCCATGGCGGATTTCGGGGTTGCCTTTATTGCGTCCTCGTGGGCTGTCAACTTCTTCCCAGTGTGTAGGTTCTATCTACCCATCTCTCTCTCTCTATCTTGAGTGATGCTGACATATGTATGAGTGAAATACATGCCTGCCTGGATGCCTGGAGCGGGATTCGTCAAAGTGGCGCAGGCCCATAGAAAGTCAGCAGGAGCACTGAACAATGTGCCGTATGAGTTTGTGAAACGCCAGATGGCTGAAGGAAAGAGTGGCAATTCTTTTGTCTCGAATATTCTGCAGAACAGTCCATCTATCTCGGCTGGAGAGGAAGATGTGCTCAAATATGCTGCAGGATCTTTATATGCGGGGGGGGCAGACACAGTAAGTAACCCTAACCCTAACCCTAACCCTAACCCTAACCAACTATAACCATAACCACCTCAGACAGTCTCCTCCCTTGCCAACTTCTTCCTTGCCATGGCCCTGCTCCCCGAGATACAAGACAAAGCGCAGCAGGAACTCGACACGGTCATCGGAGAGAACCAACTCCCCCAGCTGATCGACCAAGAAAGACTGCCGTATATCAATGCGGTTGTGAAAGAGGTGCTGCGATGGCAGCCTGTGGTACCAATGGGGCTTCCCCATGTCTCGATACAAGACGACACCTGCGAGGGATACGATATTCCCAAGGGAGCAATCGTGTTGGCTAATATATGGTATTCATCAAGCTTGAGCAGTGTGTGTGTGTTTTTCCATATTCTGATTTATGATAGGGCCTTCACACACGACGAGACAGTCTACCATGACCCAATGCAGTTCAAGCCAGAGCGATTCTTGTCTTCTGATTCTTCCGGCCCTGAACAAGATCCGCATTCGCTGGTGTTTGGATTCGGCCGGCGCGTCTGTCCTGGACGAGCATTGGCGGACGCAAATATCTTCCTTGCCATCGCTCAGTCGCTGGCTGTCTTTAGGATCTCAAAGCCTGTACGTGACGGCAACGAAGAAGAGATCAATCCCCGCTGGCTGCCGGGTCTTCTGTGCCATCTTGCGCCTTACAAGGTGTCTGTCCAGCCGCGGAGTGAGGTCCATCGTGAGATCGTTCTCTCTCTTGAACGCGAGTATCCATGGGAGAAGAGTGATGCAGAGGGTTTGCAGGAGAGTGATATATCTGTTTAAGAGTTTATAAGTACATCAACTTATCTATCACTCGAATCAATGAATGCAAAGAATACTCGTACTCCGTACGTATCCCTGTCAAGACATGCCATCCCATTCGTCGACATGATTCATGCGTCTCAACACGTCGCTCTGAGTTGTCATGACACGTCATGGACAGGGGTATTCCTATTATATCTGCTTCATCGAGAAAGAAATCGACCGTCGATCAAACGACAGGAGATGGGGGGAAAAAGTAAGAAAAACGCGAAAAAAGGGATCAAATCTGAGGGGACACAGGAAAGCCACGAACGCCACGACCACGAAACCCAGATGGTTCATACAGGCGAATTGACGGAGAGTCTGAAGGGGTATGTAAGCAAGAAACCTACGAATGCTGTCGTTAACTGGATATGATAGGTTCTTCGTGTCCGGCCAATTCTCCGATCTGACGATCCATTCTACAGACCAGGAATTCAAAGTGCATAGATTGGTCGTGTGTGGGCAGTCGGAATATTTTTCTCTTCTCTTCTCGAAGAAGTGGGCAGTAAGTATTGTAGTCTATCAATTGTTCTATAGTACTCTTCTATGATCGATTCTAAGTGCCAGGAAACGATCGAGAATGAAGTATATCTCAAAGAAGACGACCCCCGGGCCGTCGAGGCAATGATTCATTTCATGTACGGGTTCGAGTACGACAGCAGCGGCAGCGAACACGGCCGCATGTCGCCCATGCTCTTCAACATCAAGGTGTACCAGGTGGCCGACAAATACGCCGTCCCGCTGCTGAAGCAGGATGCCAAGGAGAAGTTCGAACGCATCATCCAGACGTGCTGGGCGATGGATGATTTCCCGGCCGCCATCACGGAGGCGTACAAGTGTACGGTTAAACAGGACCGGGGGCTGCGCGGGCCCCTGGTGAAGATCTCGCGCGAGCATCTTGCCGAGCTGCGCAAGGGAGACGCCTTCCAGGATGTGCTGGAGGAGACGCTCGGGTTTGCCGCCGAGCTGGTGCAGGATCTGGACTTGGTCGGTCCCAGTCGGACTGACGAGAAAGCATACCGTTGTCCCAGCTGTGGCTCGGAATGGAGGCACAGTGCGTTGAATGGGAGGTCAATGGCTTACTGCCCGTCCTGTGCCTCGCAAAGGTCCAACTGGTCCTCGTATGTAATCCAGAAATAGAAGGGAGATTGAAGAATATAGTTGATTAGGCAATGGAAGAACACCAAGAAAAAGATATCTAATTGCGTATAGATACAGTATATGGGATAGATACAAGGACATCATCATGCACAGGTGGCGGCATTGGCCGTCTCGTAAATGCTGACCGATTCGATATAGAGGGTTGCTGTGCCGGTTGTAGTAAGCAGCTCAAGGAGGAAAACGGTCGAATCAGAGGTAGCCGTGGCGGTGGTCGAGTAGGTAGCCCATGCATTCACCGTGAGCGCTGAAAACAGCGAGGACTTGGTGGTTGAGCCGAAGCTAGACACAATATAATCGTACTTCTCGCCGGTGGTGCTGGGGGGGACAGCATAATAGGTGAATTCAATGGTATACTCAGTCCCTGAAACGGTATCGATGGTCTGGTATATCTTGAAATTACCACCTTTGCTGGAAGTCACTTCCATCTCCAGCGCGTAAACGGCGCCTTCGTCGACGAGCGCGTAGGCGCCCGTGGCGGTCGAGTAAGACAGGGTCCAGCCAGTGGTGGAACCGTCTTCAAAGTCCCCGTTGGTGAGCAGGTTGCAGCTGACGCTTGAAGTGGGAGTCGTGGTGATTGTCGTTGTCGTTGTGGTGGTCGTCGAGGTGGTCACAGTGACAGTCACGTCCACCACACTTGTGGTCTCAACGGTGTTGGTGATGGTCGTGCTGTCGACAACAACGGTTTCCAGAGTAGTTGGCAGGGCCACCGTCGCCGTCACCGACACGGTCGACGTGATCGTCGCGGTGACGGTCGTGTCGACGGTGGTGCTGGCTGTGCTGGTGGTGGTCGTCGAGGCCGTGGCGGTCACCGTGATATCCGTGGTCTGGGTGGTGGTGTCGTACACGGTGGCATCCGATGTAACCAGATCAGTCTGGGTCGTCGTGAGCTCCACGGTCGACGTGGCCGGAAGATCGGTGGTCACGTCCTGTGTCGTGGTGCTGGTCTGCCAGACCGTGCTGTCGACCGTGGTCACGGAGTCGATGTCCACAGTGGTCACGGAGGTGACAGTGTCCGTCTCGGCGGCCCATTCATCGTCTGTGACGGTAACAGAGACAAGATCCGTGGCCGTGACCGTGTCCCAGACAACGGTCGACGAGGTCAGATCCACGACCCGCACGGACGAGGCATCCACGACGACGGTGACCGTCGTAGCAGCGACCGTCACCGTCTCAGTTTCGCCGGCGACGGTCGTTGTTGTCCAGGCAGTCGCCGTCGAGGGACCAAAGTCCAGCTCCCAGCAAGCCTCCGACAGAACATCTGCTGGGAAGGTTGCCAGCGCGGCCGGGGTCGACACAGCGGTTCGTCGTTCGAGGAGATCGCGCTTATCTGCCGCCGCGGCAGCAGTGGTAGTGGTGGTGGCGGTGACGGTGACGCCGTCGGTCAACACGGAGGTGATGGTGGACGTCAGGTAGTCCACATCGGTGGTCTCGACGGTACTCGTCACACTGCTCAGCTCCGTCTGCAGAACAGTTGTAGGCACCGTCTCGGTATTGGTGACGGTGACGTCCTGTGTCGTGGATTCAGAAACCGTATCGGTCGCCGTCTCGGTCTCGGTCTCGGTGACCGACAGGGTGACGGTCTCGGTATGGAGGCTGGGGACGGTGATGGTCACCGGGTCGGTGACGGTGACAACGACGACGCTCGACGCGACGGCAGAGGCATAGTCGGTCACGACGGTCGTAGTGTAGCTGGTGATGGTGTTGAGATAGGTCTGGGTGGTGATTTCGGTCACCGCGCCGAAGACGGTCGCCTCGAGGACATCGGTGACGGTCTCCTGCGCGGTCTCGATGACCGTGCTGGTCAGCGAGTCGACGGCGGTGTACGAGAGCACATGCGAGGAAGAGAGCGTGGTGGTCTTGGTGACGGCGGCCAGGTAGACGCTGCTGCTGGCCCAGGGGGGGAAACGAGAGGTGGTCGTGACAAAGTCCGTGTGGGAGTCGGTGAGGGTCACTGTTGTGGCGGCGGCGGCTGTGGCGGTGCTGGTCTCTGTGGCGGTGACGGTGTCGTGCAGCAGTTCCTGGCAGAAGACAGCGGCATCGGCCAGCTGCTCGAGCTGGTAGATGGCCTCGTCGATTTCGTCCCAGGAACAGGTTCCCTCATCTGCCTCGTCCTCCGCGGGAGTCGGCAGGGCAGTGGCCAGGCGCACGGCCAGGGAGAGGAAGAGACCGGCAGCCCACCGCATGCTGGTAAGTGGTAACGATCGTGGGTGCAGAGTCAAGCTTTGCTGGGGCCGAGGGCGAAATGGGCGGGAGGAGGCCGTTATTATTATTATTATAGGGGTGAGGCTGGCCTCTGGTTAGTGACTAGCTCCTTGTAGTTAGCGATGGCAACGGATCGGCTATTTTGCCTTGACTTCACCATGGGGCGTTGACTAGAGGGAATTGGGCAGAAATACCCGAGCAAAGACGGTCTATTTACCAATGAAGAGATTTTTTATATCATTAAGGTACAGAGTAAGTTGTAATTGTTCACACATTCATTCCAGTTGAAGATACTGACAGGTGGGAGTGAAGAACGGGACCAGGGATTATACCAGTAGAAGTCTTGAGGCTATCATATTTGTGGAGATTGAGAGAAGAGAGAATACATGAGTAAGGAGTAATCCTCCTATAGAGCTCCATGACTTAGTAAATAGTTAGATAATGGTGGGCCTCAAGGCCACGCAATTGCACATGGCTCTCCGCCAAGATGTCGTCGTAAGTCCAAGGTCTCATTGACTATGGAGGACAAAGTACTTTTCAACATGGTTGAGTCAATAGCTGGATGGTGAATCAACTTGAAAGAGGTTATGCAAGACCAGCAGTTCGAGTAAGATTTGCCCTAAAGACATATAAGTTGAGCTAAAGCAATCGATCGCCTTGATGGCTTGGAAGTTGACAGATCTTGGTGGAGACGGAAATAGGTTATGGGGAAACCTTCCGAGGCATCCATAACCGACGATATTATAGATCAATAAGAAAGATCTAGAAGCCGAAATTGTTTCCACAACCACGCCTGCTATATCTGGTGTGTATAGATTAGGACCTTAGGAATACACCGAGCGTATAGTTAGAGACAATATTCAATATACTATACCGTCAGGTAGTCTCTATGACTACTGTAGCATGTGATAGCTAACCCACCTCTCAAGAACGAGGCATACGAATGGATTGGTTGTTCATGTCTGGTTCATGACTCGTAAATACTAAATATAATCAGTTGGAAACAAGTTGGAACACTACGGCGCTTATCTTGCGGCGCAGCACTTACCCCGCTCCATGAATCGCGTGAACTCTTTAGGTCTTCCAATTCCCCGATTCAGTCTTGCAATTCAAAATATTAGAACTCACAGAAGCCCAGAATGTCTCGTTCGTTCGTCTTTGGACAGCAGGCCGCTGCAGTCCCACCGTTTGACTTTGCCGTCCCCTCCGTTGAAGAGAACAACAATACCAACACCCACAATGCAGGGAGCAGAACATCTTCCAATTCCACTCCGCTGACCCCCGACCGCAATACGGTTTCCAGCGTTACAGGCCGGCTGCAAGGTTTCAACATGCAGAGTGGCAGTCCACGAACCCCGCGTGCAGCGAACATCGGCTTATCGCCTGGTCAGTTGACATCCACGTTCGGGCATCTCTTCAACGCCACGCCAGAGCCGGCTAGAGACACTTCCGAGAATACCGAAAGCTACAACAGTGACGACGGCGGAAGTAACGACAGCAATAGTGAAGGAGAAGGTGAAGAAGAAGAAGAAGAAGTGTACAGTCTCCGCGATGAACAGCTGCCGCCAGCACGAGTCTACAACAACGAGCTGCAAACCGTCCTCGGGCAGGTGAAAGCTGGGTTGGCAGGATTGCATCAAGACATGGAGGGTTCTTCTCTGTCGCATGAAGACGATAGCACGCTCTCTGCGCTGAAAGAGGATGCGCTGCGACTCAGCAAGTTCGACTTTCCGGTGACTCGCACGGTGGGATTTATCGGCGACTCCGGAGCAGGTATTCTTTCTGAGTGATGATAACTGAGTAATGAGTGACCGTTAACGATTGATAGGGAAAAGCGCGGTGATCAATTCCGTGATGGATATCAAAGGACTCGTTCAATCGGTAAGAGATCTTGACTACCGACAATATTCTTATATTGAACCGTGCAGAGCAACCAAGGCAGCGCGTGTACCTCTGTCGTCACGGAACTGCGCCATACAGACGACTCTCACCCGCCGTACACTGTCGAGGTCGACTATATGGACTCGGATGCCATCAAGGAGCTGCTGGAGGAGCTGGTCCAGAGCTTCAGGATGTACCATACCGACAATGTCTTCCGGGAGGTGGAGAGCGTGCACGAACAGCAACGCGTGCGAGAACAGGCAACCCGCGCCTGGTCTACTTTGACGTCTTTATTCCGTGGTCACGATGAACTGACGCACGAGTTCCTCGCCGAGCAGGGGGAAGGCGCCTATCGGAGGATTCTCGATCAGCTCTGTCGCTGGACGGAGGCTTCTTTTACTAGTCGGCCGGGCGGAGAGGCGTCGAGGTACTGTGTCGTCACAGGCAATCTGGAAGCATGTCGACGGCAGGTGGAAATCCTCACTCGGGATCCAGAGGATGGGGTTGCCTGGTGGCCATTCATCAACATCATCAGGTATATTTGTCTTTCTCAGAACTGACGGTGCTAAAACTATGACAGGCTGTATATCCGCTCGCCTGTTCTCCGCAACGGACTGATCCTTGCAGACCTGCCTGGTCAGTATATGAGCAATAGAAATGATAAGTATACTAACTTACTGACAGGCTTCCGTGATCTCAATTATGCCCGGGTGCGAGCGACAGAACGGTATCTTAAGCACACCTGCAACGAGGTGTTCATCGTCACCCAGATCGCCCGCTGTCTGACCGATCCGAGTATCCCCGAGATCAAGAAGAGATGCGACCCAGATCAGCCGTTGCGGATAGTGTGTACTCGCAGCGAGGTATTCCTCCCTAGTAAACTTGGCCTGGAATGGTTTATTGATACCTTCCAGGAAGTCAATGCCGATGAAGCGCCTACCGACTATCCCCATCTGGCTGGCCAGATCCGACGGTTGCACTCGACAGTCGAGGATCTGGAAAGACGGATCCGTCGACTCAGACAGCGTCGTCGACAGGGAAGAGCGAGGAACGGAGAGGATGGAGAACGGCTAAGGTATTGACCTAATGATATTGAGGAGAAAGAATTACTGGTTAGCAGAAGCTCACTTCAACAGAGACGAACTGGAGACGGCGAAATTCAACCTTGAATCGTTCCTGATCCAGACCCGGAACCAGAAAATCACCAGCCAGCTCACGGCCGGCAACGAGATCCGCGTCTTCTGCGTGAGCAACACGATGTACCGCGATCGCCGCAACGAGGAGCCTCCCATGGCCGAGAAATACATTGGTCTGAGCGGCATCCGCGAGCTGCGTCGGTACTGCCAGCTGGTGCCTGCCGATGCGCAGTTCCGCGCCGTGGAAGCCTTCCTGAAGGGCCCTGCGCCGGCGTTTGTCCGTTCAGTGCAGCAGTGGACACTGACTGACGCAGACAGCATCACCGTCGAGCGGGCAAACTCCCTTCGACGCGTGCTGGGGGAGGTTGAAACTGTTTTGTGTGGTGTAAGCGTTCACTCATCCCCGATCGGGGGGGGTGTCCTTCCCGTTCGGGTCGGGACTAGGGCCTAGGGCCTAGGGCTAGGGCTGGGGCTAAGACTTACGAGTAGCGCCTTGCCTCCGACTCAGACCTTCGCACACTCCCACGACGACTCACTCGTCAATTCAACGCTGTTTTGACTGCGAACAGTACGTACTCACAGATCAAGTTTCGTGATTCTCTTGTTCCATTCCTACTAACCACCAGACCGTCGAAACGCGTGGAAAGAATCTGCTCTCGCCGCGAGCCGGGAATGGGCAGGAGTAGGTCTCATTGTTTACAATGGCATGCAGAAAAAGGAACCATTGCTAACTCTTTAGTGGCACTGGTCCAGCTATGCAGCCTTTTGTCGGAATTACGGGACGTGGGACACCAAAGCTGTAGGGTCGAGATGTTGGAACAACGAGGTGTTGGAGGGAATACGGGGAGACCTTGAACAGCCGTGGAATTCTACCCTCGACTGGGCGCTGCAGCAGAAAGAACACGTCGCTTCCATTATCGAAGAGATATTCCAGTCTGCCAGTGAGATATTAGCCGGTGAGTTTGACCGACGCTCAATTGAATCGGAGATCTTTTACTCATGGCAGATAACACCAACCTCGCCCCGATCGCGCTGGAGAATTTCATCGACAATATGGACTTCTGGGAACAATCTTTGACGGACAGCCTGGACCGGGGACTCGAAGAGCTTTTCCACGCATCAACGTGAGTTTCCGCATTGTAAGCTGTGACAAACGACGGCTAAGAGGCTAGACGCATCCAACGAGACACCCTCTGGGGCCATGACAGTTCCTATATAGCTGGGTTGATGCGCCCGGTATATATCCAGTGCAGCCAGGATTCAGGTGTGTGGGATCACAATGAGAACAGGGCCAATACTAATGGCATAACAATCATATCAGGAACCGGCTCTTACGCCCGCAGAAAGGCGTATATGGACGCTCATCTCCGCCACGGAAACATCTTCCCCCAGCTACTGGGTATAGTCGAATCCAGCAATCGCGAACTCTTCCGAGCGTATCAGACTCAGCTCAAACGGGTGGTGGAGGCAGAACTGGGCAATATTCTGCGCGATCTACGTGGGATTGTGCCGGAAGAAGGGGAACTGTCTGAAGCCGCGAGATTCCCGGATCTGGCGAAGAAACTTGAGGAGCAGACGGACAGTGCACGGCAGACTTTAGATAGAGCTGAGGCTATCCTCAGTAGATTGTGTCTTAGTGACTAGTGCGGTAGTATGTTGTATTCTATAGAGCTAAATATAAAGCAGGCGAGGCTGAGCTAAATGTGTCCTGCCAGGTTCATATAATAAAGAATAACCGCCCGTTTTACATTAGACGTATCTATTGGACGGTCGAAGAGGCTGAGCACGCAGCGTCAAAGCAAACACTTTCTGATTTAACAGCGCTTTACCCCGCTTCTATTTCCTACGGCTTGAACAGACATGAAATTCATCCACAGTACAAGACAGTTATGGCTCATGGACGATTGAAAAATCTCTTCCATCGATCTGACAAACGCCAGTCCAAACAAAACCCATCTACCCAAAATCAATTGTTGCCGCCTAGCAGTTCTTCCGCCCAGAATACGCCCACCCAGCCTGCAAAGCCCGACTTATGGCAACGAGCGTTTGACGGCCTCGACTCCCGTCAGCAGGAGCTGCTCAAGTCAATTCCCATCCCCAAGTCGCAGGGAACTGCCAATCCAAGTGTTGAAGACCGTTTGAAGGCGTTGAACGGGGTGGTCGACGATGTGCAGAAGCAGTACGAGATCGACCGAGAGAAATCGAGAATCAGAGAATCGGCACAGAAAGTCATCAAGGCAATCCTCACCTTCAGCGATGTCGTTGAGGGAGTCGCAGCATTTGATCCAACCGGGCACGCAACTGGTGTCTGGGCAATTGTCTCGTTGGGACTGACGGTGCGTTTTGTTCCTCCTGTGTCTAAGGAAAGAGTCACTTTGGACTGACGACTGCAACTAGATAACACAAAACTACCATTGCCAGAAAATGGCCTGGCTGAACTCCTCTGCGACTCTTGCTGACGTCCTGGCTGAATATAGCCTGGTGGAGGGGGAATACCATAGGGACCCAAAGACTGACAAACACGTCGAAACAGCTCTGGTCCGAGTCTATAGTGCAGTTCTCACCTTTGCTGCTGAAGTGTGGTCTCGTCAGAAGCATGGTAAAGTCACTTTGATCTGGCAGAGCGTCACCGATGGTCCTCTGTCCGAGATGCAGAAATCCATCGAGAAGGAGCAGGCCCATTTCGATCGATGGCTGCGCATATGTCATCGACGGGAACAAAGACAGCGCGAAGAGCAGATTCTCAAGCAGGCAGATGAAATGCTGACCGGGATCGACCGAGTGATGGTCTCGATTAACGAACTCGGCGGTAATATTCTGTTCAGCCAGTTGAAAATTGCAGAGGAGGCGTCATACAATGCAGACACCGGGGAGGAGTATCAGGAATGCCTGAAAGACACACGAACTGAACTTCTCAAGGATATCAAAAGCTGGGTGGCCGATCCTAACAAGGAGGCCGTCTTCTGGCTCCAGGGAATGGCGGGAACGGGCAAGTCTACTGTCTCCCGCACCGTGGCGAGGTGGTTAGATAATGAAGGCCTGCTGGGAGGCAGTTTCTTCTTCAAGAAGGGCGGGACAGACCGAGAAGATGCGAGGAGACTCTTCACCACTATTACGAAACAGATGATGGATCGATTGCCTCAGCTGCGGGAACCGGTCAAGAAGGTTATCGAAGAAACTTCCAGTATTGGAAGTGTCAACCCACGAGAACAATTCAATAAGCTACTTTTCCAGCCCCTCCAGAGCCTCAAACTGGGATTGAATTCCCCATTGCTGCTGGTTGTCGTCGTCGATGCCTTGGACGAGTGTCAAGTAGCCGCCCACGTCGAGGCTTTTCTATCCACGTTGCCTGAACTGAAGAACCTCAGCGATATCCGACTGCGGTTCTTCATCACCAGCAGACCAGAGCCACCCGTCATCAGGGGGTTTCGGCCTGTCGAGAATAATGAGGTTATTCTCCATCAGATTGCAAAACCCATCATCGAACACGACATCGCGATTTTTCTCCGTCAAAGGCTGGACGCGATAAGACAGCAGCATCTTATTCTAGATGATAATTGGCCTGGAGAAGGGAACTTTCAAGCCCTGGTTGAGATGGCCGTTCCGCTTTTCATCTACGCTGCAACGATATATCGATTTATTAATGCTGACGGAGAGCTGCCTGACGAACGATTGCAAACAGTTCTGTCCTCGCGCTCAAAGCACGGAACGAAGAATATCGACAGCGAATATGCCAGGTTAGCGGACATCTACGCTCCAATCTTGAAGCATACCATATCTCAAAAGAAGACGAACGAATTGAAAAGCTGGATGGATGACTTTCGACGGATTGTGGGCACCATTATTCTTCTCTACAGCCCGCTCTCCTCGTCCTCCCTGGCCGAGCTGATTGATTTGAAGAAGGAAAAGGTCTGGATCCGACTAAGTTCTCTCCAATCTGTTCTCTCAGTGCCAAAACAGAATGAGGAAACGGTCCCCGTTCGGCTTCTTCATCTCTCGTTTCGAGAATTCCTGGTAGACCGTGAAGCCTCTGATGCATTTTGGATCGACGAACAAATGCATCATACCCGCCTTGCCGAGAGGTGTCTACAATGTATGAACCGAGAATTGAAGAGGGATATCTGCCGTCTATCTAGGCCCGGAGTTAAGCTGAACGAGATTGAACATACAACAATTGAGGGACACATTTCCCCAGAGCTTCGATATGCGTGTCGCTACTGGATCCGCCATTTAGAAAACAGCGGCCCATCAGACATCAACTGGGAACTGATAGACACCTTTCTCAAAGCACATTTCCTCCATTGGCTCGAGGCAATGAGCCTTCTTGGATGGTGCTCGGAGACTACTGGAAATATCCTTAGTATAGAGTCCCTGGCCAAGGTGAGTAGCCTGAAATTTGCCGTCTATTTACCAACTCACCTTGACTTAGGACCATGGCAACTCGGAATTGTCAGCGTTTCTGTATGACGCGCGTCGGTTCATTCTACGACATCGAGGCATTCTCGAGGACGCTCCTCTCCAGCTTTACTACTCTGTTCTCTTGTTCACCCCAAAATCTAGTATTGTGCGAACCGTCTTCAGAAAGCAAATACCGACATTCGTCCATTTTGATCCAGCGGATGATGACTGGGGTCCAGTGCTGCAAACTCTGGAAGGTTATTCAAGAAGAGTCAGTAGTATAGCTCTCTCGCCGGATGAGAAGATCCTGGCATCTGCATCGGTTGATGGAACCATTTTCTTCCGAGATTTCCATACAGGCAGACTGCTTAACGTAATGGATGACCACCAGGAATGGATCCGAAGCATTGAATTCTCCCATGATGGGCAATTTCTGGCCTCTGGTTCGGAAGACCATACAGTGAAAGTATGGGAAACAAAGACAGGCCAACTCTTGAAAACCCTCAATGGACACTCACAGGCCGTGCAATGTGTTGCTTTCGCCCCAAAGCAAGATAGCCTCCTGCTAGCCTCTGGCTCAGAGGACGGAACCATTCGAGTTTGGGATCTCTCTACACCTCAAGACGAGCCAATTATTGTACTCCAAGGCCAGGATGAGGGGGTTCGGGTCCACAGTGTCTGTTTCATGAAGGGTGATCGTCAACTCGCGTCTGCTACCGATACCGGAATCGCGGTTTGGGATCTACAGAGTCACAGAAAGCGAGAGTTCTTTACGGGTGATTGGGCTTTTGTGCACAGCCTCGCCTATTCCCCCAATGGTCACCTTTTAGCCTCGATATCGCTTAATGACAGTCCCATCAGGATCTGGAATCCAGACACAGGCACTTTACTGGCCACATTGGAGCATTCCGAGCTTCCAAACTCCATTTCCTTCAGTCCTGATGGCAGCCAGCTCGCCTCTGGCTCGTCGAACTGCAAGATCCTTATCTGGGACATGGAATCGCGCACCGTGGCCCGAGTGCTCCATGGCCATGCATCTGGAATCTGTGACTTGACTTTCTCCAAGGATGCTGGGCTACTGGTGAGTGGCTCGTATGACCGTACAGTCAAAGTCTGGGACCTCAATCATAAGTCATCGGGATCAAAACGACGTGACGGTATGTCGATTTTGACATGCTCATCCAACAATGAGATTTTGGCAACGCATTCAGGCTCGTCCGACACCATCACTTTATGGAATGCAAAGTCCGGAGCTCTACTCAAGGAAACGACAGGCCATCATACGGATGTGCAGATGGTTGTATTCTCGCCAGATGAGAAACAACTCATATCTTGTGGAAACGATATAGTCCAGATTCTGGATATTGATTCCGGTACTGTCCCAGCAACACTCAAAGCAAAGGATGTTCGAGTTGTCAGTGTTTCGTCGAACGGCAGGTGGCTGGCAGCTGGCGCTCAATCCTGTACCATGCTATGGAGTATGGACTCATCTGGCTTGAGTTCCAATACAGCCGCACCGCAAATACTGAACTGTGCAGGTTACTGGACGAGATGTCTGGCCTTCTCTCACGATGGGAACTTGCTGGCCTCTGCCACAAAGGAATCTATAACCATCTGGAAATTGAGCTTAGGCTCGGCTACTCGCCTCCATGACTTGGCCGGCTTCTCTTCCTCACCCAGAGATCTAACATTCAAGCCAAATGGAGACCAGCTTGTAGTTTTAACTGATGAGATGATTTGCCTGTGGGACACACACACGGGAACACAGACTCATCATATCAAGGTTGACGAATCTCTCAGATACTTGGATTATGCGGAGGACGGAACATCCTTGGAGACAGAGAAGGGAATTCTGCATATTCAGTCTGCACCGATGGATCTTGCCCAGCCAGCCCCAGAGGCAACGTTCCAAACCTCAAATCGGATCATTCTTGAGGAGCCTTGGATTTATTTCAACGACGAGGCCATTCTGCAACTCCCTCAGGAATTTTTCTTATTTCGTCCAATGTTCATACTTCACAAGGGGACCTTCATTATTGCCAACCACAATGGCAATTTCCTGTCCCTGCCTAGCACCAACATAAATATTTAATGCGTGCTTGCGCTAGATTTCAATTCCAGCTACTCTAGGTGAAGAGCTATACTAAATGAAATATAGAGCATAAAATAAGAGTATTATCTCTATAACATCCACACATCAATGGAAGGGGTGAAAATAAAAGAAGAGATAATAAGAAAGGAAAATAATCAAGAAAAAAGAAAAAGAAAAAAATTGACCTACGCAGGATTCGAACCTGCAATCTCTTGATCCGTAGTCAAGCGCCTTACCATTGGGCCAGCAGGCCTTGTTGAGACCGCTTTCCGGAATTGACATGATAACCCGTGAATAGAGAAAAGATAATTTAATTGAAGAAAGTATGCTCCCATATTGCACTTACAACTGTATTAAGGATTAATCCAGCTAGATATTATATAAAGGAAGAAAAAGTAAGTGATCTGGCGGCTAACAGAGACAGTCCTGCAGGAACTAAATGAGGATGGCATAGTTATATATATCTAGCACAGCAAAAAGACACAAGATATAGATGATAAGCAGGTAGAGCTAGAATAGTAGATAGTGAATAGGGTCTATATAATAAGGACAATAAAGCCACTGTCTGCTAAGATGCTAATATCAGTGCTTATATAACTTACAGGATAGCCTGCATGTATTTCTAGTCATCACGGAACTCCAGATAATAGAGATAAGGAGGAACAGGGCCAGATGGCAGAAAGCGACTTGCCATCAGCGAGGATTCCCAGACGAGCGAATGGCCATGTCGTTTTGTAGAAAGGGGCGAGGCCATCCTCCGTGAGTCTATATATTCTGGGCTTCTGGTAATCTTTCAGTTAGAAACAGGATGCAAATATATTCTTATAACCCTAACCCTAACCCTAGGAGTAGTAAATAAGTATTTAGCAGCTACCTGCTATCTCGGCATAACCTAACTCTAACCCTAAGAAAGAGAACTGGTCAAGAAATGAATCTAAGACCGTAAGCTATCTAATTACTGTCCATATCCTGTATATCGGGTAAAAGGCAGGGGCTGCCATAACGCCGCCCGTCCGAAATGCCAAAATGCATCCTGCCAAGTATTCCAGAAATGATACCCCCACGGAATGAAGCGAGAGACATACGTGACATTCAGCGCGTCCAGGGCTTCTTGCATGCGCCGGGCATCTGTATACAGCACGTCATACTGGCCGTACGAGACAAAGATGCCTCGATCGAGCAGATCGGGATTCGCCGCCGCCATGCTGGCATTGACATATTCGGACAAGGGAGGGGCTTCATTCTCGCTGTTTGTCGCTGCTGCGCCCGAAAGAAAGCCAAAGTAGCCGAAATACGAGGTGTACGCGGTATAGAACTCATAAGTGACGAATGCACCCTGCGAGAGACCGGCAAAGGCTCTCCTGCTGGACTCATTGCTGACCCGGTAATTGTCCTCGATGTACGGGAACAGATAGCGGGAATACAGCTCTGCGATGACAGGCGGAGTCGGATAGTTGCGTTGTTCGAGAGCCTGCGGGTTGGTCGTGTTGGGTAAGATGCCATACCAGGTCGGCATCACCACGACAGTCGGCTCGAGATGGCCCTCTCCGATCAACCGGTCGAGCAGGTTGGAGATGTACCCCTGGTTCTGCCAGTCGGCGGCTGCTCCATTGCCGCCATGCGAGAGATACAGCAGGGGATACACCGTGCTGGAGTTGGAGGCATCATCGTCATACCCTGCCGGCAGGTAGACGACATAATCGTGAATCCCATCGGAGGGACTGATAGAGCCCGGCGACGGATACGTGCCGATTTCAATACGGCCCTTGCTGGCGTTGTTCCCGTACGGCAACGCATAGTCCTGGTTCAATGGCAGATCGGGATAATACTGGAATTCCGGATCGTACGGAACCTGGAACGAGGAGACCAGCTCAGAGCCTGCGACGGTCTCAAAGGGCGGGTTGGTCGGATCGGTGATCTCCTGGCCTGTCGTGGTGTTGCAGAGGCTGGCGTTGGCGCAGTTCAACAGAAACGAATACTGATATGTCCCGCTGGGGAAGGGCCGCGTCCAGGTGAACTCGCCAGGGCTGGTCTGCTCCATGGGATAGTATGAGCCCACTTGGGGATCGCGCTGGAAGTCTCCAGGCTTGTACTCGGCCAGATCGAAGTTGGCGTACGACCAGAAGCTGGTCGAGTACTGGTCTGTCAGATGGGGGAGGCTGGAGATGATGACGCTGTCCACGCTTGCATTCTGATAGCTGATGGTCACCTCATATCCGGTAGGGCCTTGACTGGTCTTTGTGACAGTCACTGCTGCCGAGGCGAGGCCGATAAAGAAGAGTATCTCCATATTATATGACAGGATTTAATAGAGAGACATCTATAGCAGAGTCATATAGTGAGTTATTTCTGATGCACATGCTTATATATTCGTTGATGGCGTGACAATACGAGAATAGCCGATAAATCACCGAGGACCAGAAACTTGGATGCTCAGACAATTGCAGATCGCAGGATTGTGGGTGGGTGAGGGGAAGAATGGGGATCGCTAAATGAATCGTCGCAGAAATGGATGATCTCTAGGCTGCTAAACAGGATGATTTATAACAACATTTATAATATTACTGAACTTATTAAGCCTAATAGAATTAGCTTTATATACTGACTTTTATCTATGCAATATATTGAGTTTAATGAATATTAGGTATGCTGTATAGTGGATAAATTATAGAGGGACATAGTGATATATATATGATTTATTAAATGCATCCAAGTAAATGTATTATAGAGACTGCGATACTTTTAAGGCAGTCTGGTTCATTACTAGAGATGACTAGCTATATAACCTAAGCTGATTATATACTCTATACTCTCTATTTAAATTCAGTGTTAAAAAGTGATAAATCTTACTAAAAGATAGAAGAACATTGAATTAGACATAGAGCTTAGCTATCTCTATCATTCCATCCAATTGATGTAAAGATCACAACAATACTGTTGATATCCTCCAGACTCCCAATGAAAGAAACATGCTGGTCTGGGCGTAAAAGAACAACACATCCCTCCTCGCCTACTCCATAGAACCGATATGCTTCTCCCGGTCCATGACTAGAAACAGACGGCTGCCTGTCTGCAAACACCTTCCAATAGTCGTATCCATGCGAGGCATCAAAAGGGCGGAAGAGAGCAGGCAGATCCATCAAGTCCACCTCCTGTCGGGACGCACAATGGATGAGATACGCGGATAATATACCTAGATGATGGTCTGCCACGGCAGCTGCCAACCGTTCCACCCTTTTCATCTGTGAGACAGCAGAAAGATTGCCGCCAAAGACGAGGAGATGCCATGCTCCCGTGCTCTGCAACAGCTGCTGGAGATGCCATGGCCGGGCATCACTCTGACAGAAGACTGGGGTGCTGGGGAAACGCATCCCGACAGTCAGATTCGCCGCCAGATCCCCCCGACTATAGGGTAACAGCCCAGGGGAGAGTCTCTTGGACGAGACGGACGGGACAGTGAGCAGACTGGGACAATACCGAGCCGTCAGCCCCGACGCCGAGCTATTCTCCTCCTGCAGGATGCTATTCCTGGTGTGTGCGTTGAGCGTCCTCCCACACACGGCTTGGACCATGCGTTTGTCGAACTCGACCAGCCGGACGGCAACAGCCAGACGTTCCACCTCGTAGGTACGCAGGATCCGGGCGCTGGCTTGGCCTTTGAGCACCGCTGCGAGCTTCCAGCCGAGATTGAACGTGTCTTGCATGCTGACGTTCATCCCCTGGCCGGCTTTGGGCGAGTGCGTGTGGATGGCGTCGCCGGCGAGGAAGACGCGGTTGTGCATTGACAGTGTTTGGCAGAGACGTTGTCCGACGGTGTAGATGGTCGACCATTCCAACTGGGAGGCTTCGAAGCGATACGGCTGGAGAATGGTGGCAACCAGCTTGACAAGGATATCTGCATGGTAATTCTTCTTGAACTCGGCTGCAGTGCGACAGTCCAGCTGGACGTAGCAGCGGACCAGACGGGCTTCGCGAGGAATGACCATGAGATGGCCAACAGGGGATCTGACGATGCATCGTTTACGAATGTCGGCTGTTCATTAGTTTGTTCATTTCGCTCTCAGGTTATTCTTATTCAAGATCTTCTTACGGAAATCTGTGATTGGAATGGCATCAAAAACACCCCAGTGTTCGTCCATCTTGTCTCCTTCGAGACGCAGGCCAAGTCGTTCTCTCACCCAGCTATGTGCGCCATCGCAGCCCAGCAGGTATTTTGCGTGAATTGTCTTGATCTCAACCTATTCATTTAGCGTTATTCATCCGTTTTGGGCTCCTACTACCTCTTGGACCGTTTGGATCTGCATCTCAATCCGGTATTCCCCAGGGATGTTCACCCTCAAATCCACCGGTGAGGTGTTCCATTGCACCTCTACACAGTCGTGAGCATGGATCAGGTCTAAAAGTCGCTGTTCGATCTTCCCCTGACCCAGCGTGCATTCCTGGTATCGAGAGAGCCCGGGGTTGCAGTTCTGCATGACGGCCTCTCGTTGCAGGACGCCTTGTTGTTGATACTGGACAGCATTAGCATCATCATCACTTGAGGGCAAGAAAAGCATAACCCATAAAGACAACTCGATGGTCCGGTTCGAGTCTCTCCAGACCCCCTCGCCGATCCCGAAACTGTCGAGGATCTCCAGCGTGCGGCTTTCGATGCCATCAGCATGGCCGGACTGGGTGCGACACGGCTTCTGGTCGATTATCAGAGTCTTCACACCGGTCCTGGCCATCCAGGCCCCTGCCATGAGTCTATATCAGTAGGGTTAGTGGTGGGCGAGGGTTAGGGTTATGTTAGGGTTAGGGTTTGCACACCCTGCAGGACCAGCGCCCACGATAAGAACATCAACCTTCATATTCACTTGTGACATCATGAATGTGATTGAGTATCAGAGAGGTGATTGCCATTATATTATAATTAAATATGTGAATCTAGTCAAGGTTTATGTATGACTTGCTCAGTGTAACCCTAAATTCTATAGGAACCTTAAGTAATACTTCTTTATAACAACGTTGGACTCTTCATCTTCTATAAGTCAAGTGAATTCAACATGGCGCATCTTGCAGAGCTCAAGGAAAGCTGGAGATTCCTCCACGACCAGAATATCACGCTGGACGGGGAAAACGATTCCCTCAAGCCAGAGCATGTGGTGGCGGTATCCAGGTGTGTGGAAGCAGTACATTCAAGAAGCTATACTGACATGCCAGGCTCTGGACCAAAGTGTCCATTTCTCAGTCGGATCCCATCCGGAAGCGAGTGCAGGAGAGCATCAAGACCCTGGAGCTGCATCTGGCACGCCATGAAAATGTCTACGGTATTGTACATGTCTTGCATACTGTATATTGATATTGACTGTCCAGGCGTCAATACAGGATGCGGCGGCAATGCGACCACCCGGACAAAGAAGCTGGAGGAGCTGCAACAGGCCTTTTTGCAGCATCACCAAGCCGGCATCTTACCTGCTCACCGCGAGTCTCATGCCCTTCCCCTCGACGTCGCTCGCGGCGCGATGCTCCTCCGCTGCAACTCGCTGCTCCGCGGCCATTCCGCCGTTCGGATGGAGGTCATGGAGCTGCTCTGCCGCTGTCTGAACAAACACATCACGCCGTTGATCCCCCTCCGGGGCAGCATCTCCGCCTCTGGCGATCTGTCTCCCCTGGCATACGTGGGGGGGCTTGTGGAAGGCAACCCCGACGTGTATGTGCAGCTGGGAACAGACAACAGAACAGTCGTCTCCGCTGCCGATGCGATGAGACAAGCTGGCATCTCCCCGTTGGTCCTACAAGCCAAGGAAGCCCTCGGGGTGATGAATGGCACTGCTCCCAGTGCCGCCTCGGGGGCGCTGGTGGTGCACGACACCGACCAGCTGGCGGTGTTGACGCAGCTGCTCACGGCGATGGCGACTGAAGCCCTGCTGGGCACGGTGGACAACTACCACGAGTTCATCTCGCAGTGTCGCCCGCACCCTGGCCAGCTGGAGGTCGCCAGGAACATCCGCTCCTTTCTGGCGGGATCGCGACTGAGCCATGCGATGGATGCCAACCAGCAGGGGCTGGTCCAGGACCGCTACGCCCTACGCACGGCGCCGCAGTGGTTGGGCCCTGTACTGGAGGATCTGGCGCAGGCGAGGCGCCAGATCACCGTCGAGCTGAATGCGTCGACGGATAACCCACTCATCGACGTCGGCGGCGACAGGTTCCACCACGGGGGCAACTTCCAGGCGGCGGCGGTGACGTCGGCGATGGAGAAGACGCGGACGGCGCTGGTGATGCTGGGCCGGCTGGTCTCGGCGCAGTGCCAGGAGATGGTCAATCCGGGGCTGAACAAGGGACTGCCGCCCAATCTGTGCTTCGACAACCCCAGCGTCTCGTTCACCTGCAAGGGCATCGACATCAACATGGCCGCGTACTTCTCCGAGCTGGCCTTTCTCACCGGCTCCGTCGCCAGCCATGTGCACGTCGCCGAGATGAACAACCAGTCGGTCAACTCGCTCGCCCTGATTGCCGCCCGGTATGCGGCCCAGTCGGTGGATCTTGTCTCCATGATGTGTGCAGCCCATCTCTACGTGCTCTGCCAGGCGCTGGATCTCCGGGCGCTGGACCAGGAGCTGTGGCAGACATGGCAGCCTCGGCTTCTGGCCGTGTATACGGAGATTCTTGGTACTTCCGCCAATTTCGACGCGATCTGGCAGGGGATTCTCCTCTCGTGGCATGCCCACACCACGCTGGACATCGAACCACGGTGTCAGGCCGTTGCAGCGGATTCCGTCCACCAGATGATGGATGACCTCATGGATGAACACTCGGGGAATGACGTGCGAACAGTCTCCAGATGGAAGACTGCAGTGGCAAAGACCCTGATCGAGACAAACAAGACAGTGCGCCATCGATTCAGCCGCGAACAGTCGACGGCATCATATCTCGCCCATGCAACAGGCAAGATGTACGGCTGGGTGCGGCACACCCTGCAAGTGCCTCTCCATCACGGGCTGGTCGACCATCCAGGCATCGATCCTGAGGATCGAACCAAACGGACCATCGGGTCCAACGTGACGAAGATCTACTCTGCCATTCGCAATGGGGAACTGGTGGATATTCTCGCGACTTGATTACTTCTAGTCTAGTGAATGCATTCATACGTTACTCACACACCCCTACAATAATGTGTTCCAGTACTACGTCTCTGGATTGATGACTTCATTGTACGACGCAGACTGGCATGTTGTCAGCCACCGTCTCAATAGAGTAAGTTGAAATCGCTCGGAGAAGTCTTCCGAGACACGGGGCCAATCGGCTGTTCTGCTTTCTGACGTATGCAAGATAAGGTTTGAATAAGCTTTGATACAGCCTCATCCGTAGCCTCATCCGTAGCCTCATCCGTAGCCTCGTCCGTTTGCGGCGTCTGGCTGTTTGCTGTTTGCTGTTTGCTGTTTGCTGTTTGCTGTTTGCTGTTTGCCGTCATATTATATGCTTCTATCAATTGCATGTCGAATCAATCAACTGTGATCATGGAGCAGAATCGGTTCTACAAGCCCGAGGAGGCGATCTTTGTAAGTCAATACACCAACTGAATGTACTCGTTAACAATATCCAGCACAACGATGGACGCGAGGAAGCACTGCTCGACTTCGTCCAGTCGCACACCGACTACCGCCAGATGCACGGCAGCCCGCAGCGCATTCTGGACGCGATTGACGAGTACGGGCGCACGAAAGCGTTCCTGATGAACGTGGGCAAGGAAAAGGGCCGGATCGTGGCCGAGGAGCTGATTCCTGCCCTGGAGCCGGACCTGATGGTCGAGCTGGGCGGGTACGTGGGATACTCTGCTCTGCTGTTCGGGAGTGCCTGCAAGCGCCTCGGCACGCGCAAGTATCTCAGTCTCGAGGCCAGCCCCAAGTTCGCCCAGGTGTCGGCCCAACTCATCGATCTGGCCGGTCTGGATGACACGGTGGAGATCCAGGTTGGGCCATGTCGGGACTCCCTCCGCCAGCTGCGCCAGGATTACCCTCACGGTGTGGTGGATGTGATCTTCATCGACCACGCCAAGCGGGAGTATGTCAATGACCTCAAGCTGTGTGAGGAATTAGGGCTCGTCGGCCTTGGAACGACCATCATCGCCGACAATGTCATCTCCCCGGGGGTTCCGGATTATCTACAGTATGTCGCCATGTCGACCAGCGAGAAGCTTCAGGCAATCCAGCAGCAGATGGATCCGAATAAAGACATTTCTCTGGGTAATCCATATCTGGTCTATCAGAATACCCGGATTGACAGCTTTGAGCCCACTGGAGAGCCAGTAAGTACTTGACATTGTTCTTGTATATGTGTTAATTCTATCTAGGACAGTCTCCAGGTCTCCCGGTGCATTGAAAACAGGGTATTATCAAAGTAGCATCATAGAGAGTTAAGATACGAGTTACCAAACTTAATAAACATGCTTTTAATAAACATGCTTTTAATAAACATGCTTATGATGTACTCTATTATCCTAATATATAGTGATATACTTTCATAATTATACTTTAACCCATGCAACATATGATGTTTGTTCCATTAAGATGCATAGACTGGACTCATTAAGCCTCCCATCCTGTCTCTCTTACTCTTGCACTTTTCCCCCTCTATTCTGTTCTCCAACTACAGCTGTGCTTATCCTACAATGCCCAAATACGTGTTGACCGGCGTGGGTGGTAATATCGGGGGCATTGCGGCCTCGTATGCCCTGGAAATCGCCCAGAAAGACACCGTCCTCTCCTTCACCTCCTCCGATCTCGACAAGATCCCAGCCCACACGCTCGAGGAGTGGAAGACCAAGGGCGTGACGGTCTCTGCCGCCAGCTACGATGACATCGACAGTCTGATCCGCGTATTCCACGGCGCTGACGCCGTCGCGTTCATTTCCACCTGGGCATTTGGCCGCCGTCCTCAACAGGCGCAGAATGTCATCGACGCCGCCAAAGCCTGCGGTGTGCGGCGCATCTGCTATACCTCGTTTGTGGGCGCCGATGATCCCGCCCCAGTGCATGCGATGCCTTTCCTACCCCGAGACCATAAGCAGACGGAAGCCCTCATCCGTGCCTCGGGCCTGGAATACAACATCCAGCGCAACTGTCTCTATCTAGATAACATCCCGACACTCTTTGCTCCGTCGTGGAACTTCTGCGGCGGCCGCTGGCTCTCCAACTCGCATCATGTCCCTGGCGCGTATGTCGCTCGGGAAGACTGTGGTCGAGTGCTCGCTGCCCTTCTTCTGGGCCGCGGTGAGCCGAACAAAGTATATCAAGTTACAGGCCCTGAGGCTGTGACAGACGAGCAGATTCTGCATTCGATCTGTGAAAATCTCGCTGGAGACGACAAGATCCAGTTTGTCGATCTGCCTGATGAAGAGCTAAAAGACTATTGGGTTCGACGGGGGCTGCCCACTGATGTCGGAGAAGTCTCGAAGCTGCCCATGAAGCTCTGCGTGGATGATCTCCTGTGCTGTGGCGAGATGGTGGCCAAGGGATACATGGCCAAGACTAGTAATGCGGTCGAGATACTCACAGGCAGGAAGCCTCTCTCGGTGCAGGATGTTTTGAACAAGTATCAAGGACTACTGCGTGAAGTACTCTAGATTATTTGACTGCCTATTATACTGTCCTACTTGTGAATGGTATCATTGATTAAAATGAGGATAATATATACTATTATCCATGCAGTTCACTCTTCCTGGGAAGAGTGGCAAAGCCGAGCTCATTCCATTTGTCTCCCAATAAAGCATCAAGATCCCCTTGTATAGCTTCAAGCGCAGCTTTCAATTTATACCGCTGTTCCTCCTCCTTGATACTGATCTTCCAGGAACGTTCAGTGGTAGTGATATAAATATAGTCTCTGTCTTTCGAACAGAGTAACCCTTCAAGAGGTTGGAAAAAAAAGGCTCTGAATAACCCGACCCAAAAGTGCGAATTCCACCGTGGTACTTGTTTTTCCAAATCCGCGTGCTTCATCAATATTCTTGCGGCATTATAATTGACTTTGAATTTCCCTGAGCTGAGCAAAGCTACTGCTGAGTCCAAAATCTTGGAAGGCAGACTCGTCTGTTGGCATAGAAGGTCGGATGCTGGATCTCCATTCCAAAGACTATCATCCCCTACAAGAACGATTAGAGCCTCTAAAACGTTCTCGGGTAATTCGGTGTGAGTGTGAAGAGCTGGGATTATCCATGATTTCAGGGTTTGATCGCCTTCCCCCGCAATTCGACTGCACAGACTCGTCATAATATCATGGGGCAGGGCTTTTTGGTTTTGGAGAATTCCGAGGATATTGACTTTGATATTTTGACTCAACTGGTCGAACTGACCAAACAAAGTCCTCAAGACATCGACAGGCAGGGATTTAGACTGCATCAAAGCGCGACACGCATCTCTTTGAAGATCTTGGGGTGCATCAGGCTCTATCAGGGATACGCAGTGCCGAAAGATCTCTTCTGGTGGTGGGAGCTCATATTGAAACAATTTATATGTTGCGGCAATAGCAAAACGATCTGGGGATTTTAATATTTTGAATCTGGCCAAGCATTCCTGCGGGGAGACAAGACCATGTTTATGCAGAATATCGAATCCTTTCTGCCAGGCGTCATGGCTATCTCCAGGTACACGCCATACCTGTTCCAAGGTGCTTTCAGGTAAAGTATTCTGGTGTTCTAGAACGCTACCTGCCATGTAAACGATATAGTCACTTGCCGATGTCTCAAACTGTGATGCCACTTTCTTGATGATGTCCTGAGGTAAATTGCAATGTTCCTGGAGAACCCAAAGGCAAGCGCCCTGAATTTCTTCATCTTGATCATCAAGGAGGTCGACGATGTGATTGAAAACAGTCTGAGAAAGTAAGAACTGCCTCTTCAATGCATGGACGGCATTTTCACGAATCTTCCCATTTTTGTCTTGCAGAAGCGAGAGTAGATCATCAATAATAGATTCAGGGAGATTGGCTTGGCTTGCAACGACAGAAGATGCATCGTCGCCATGTTCGCCGTTAAATACAGATACCACCTCACGAAGTATATTCTCCGGTAAGCTTGTTTGATTTCGCAGCTTGATGAGGGCATTATAAGAGACATATCGAGATGAATGGCGTATGCAATCGATGGCAGATTGTTGGGAAAGGTTTGGATTCTGACAAATAACCCGGGCAGCCAGCCCTTTCAGCTTCTCCTCGTCGTCGAGATGGCTGGAGTTGAAGATATCCCGGACACAACGGAAAAGACCTGGGGATATATGAGAGCGATTACTAATCGCTCCTAGAGCAGCCTTTTTCTGGGCAGTTGATCCTTTCTGGATGAGGGTTGATAGGATATGCTCGGGGAATTCCATCTCTGAAGCTAACAGATTTCTGATAAAATATTGACTTTGAACAATCAAAAGTTGAGCGAGTTCGCTCTCAAGGATCTTGCTCAAATGCATCAAACGAGGAGAATCGTCCACTGGTAGAATCTCGGAGAAGCAATGCATAAGAAGCCGAGAATGCACTTGGCCAAACAAGTCCCTCGGTTCGTTGTTTATCGTCTCGAGGAATGAGACCAGGTAGTCTTTATCTTCTGAGTGCAGAATCCCAGTCACGAATCGCCACATGATATCGAAGCGGCCATTGTATTTCTCCCTGGCGAGGAAGTCTGTTGGTCGTATTGATATCAGTTTGCCTGATCTGTGATCTAGAGTCTCAAGATCTTGGCCATGAATCCACCGGTGGACGAAATATTGCGCGGCAAAGTATTCTTGGAAGGTGAGATGGAGGAAATAGTAGTCTTGATTATGGTGTCCCTCGGACGCGTCAGAGCTTCGTAAGAAGGAAGTTTTCCGCAGGTTGTCTTCTGAGGGTTTCCCAAAGTGATTGTCAATCGAATGGCGCGTCCGCACATTGAACTCGGTGATGTTGTGGTACATGCCGAAGAAGGCGATAAATTCAACCATCTCCAGATCCTCCCGCGCCTGGGCTTTTATGAGCTGTCGACTGCGAAAAAGCCTGGCCCTCTCCTCTGTCAAGAGGGTTTCGTTAACCCTAGTGTCTAGTCGGAGCAGATCCTTATTCCATAACTTGATTTCAATCGCCTGGTAAAGAGCTGTCATGGTGGTCAAGCTTTCGGTCTCCTCTGGTGATTGTTCTAATCCTTCTCCCCATGTAAAGCAGACGGCATCCAATTGAATGGGAATCTGAACAAGGCTCTTGATGATCCAATGACGGTTGATAAAGTCTTTGATCTGATCCCTTATCGTACCATTACTCACGACGTTATGAACGTAGGAAGTGATCTGATGATCATGGAACCCGATTGTCTCAATCTCAAGATGATATTTCTCCAGGCCAGCAGGAAATACGGCGTATGGTCGGGAGGTGATGATCACATTGCTCCGGTTCAATAGCGACTCAAAAGCTTCACTCACACTCCCTCCTGGCCTCTGGTCGTGGATAATTTCATCCAGGCCATCAAGCACGAACAGAGTCCGGGTGTGGTTCAAGTCTTGAAGCTCACGACACAAAGCATCGGCTTCTGGCGTGCCGTCGAAATACTCCTTCTTGAGGAACTGGTCGAGGGAATATTCCTCCCGGAGTTTACGCAGTGGAAGCCACAGGATGCGATCATAATCCGATGCCCAAAGCTGGTTTGTATAGAAATCGTGGGTGATCTTCTTGCACAGCGTCGTCTTTCCGACCCCAGCACGCCCGCGAATGAGTATGCGATTTGGTCGGCCATAGCTGCCACCAGGCAGCTTACGAGGTTTGAAGAGGTCGACTAAGAGGACCTCCTTCTTGTCTGCGCTAGGTGTCTCCTGCTTCATTCGTTGCAAGAGCGAGAGCGCGCCTTGACGATCCTGTTGGTCCTTGCCCATAGGCTTCTCAACAAGGGAAAGATTGATATAGCAGCTGTCTATAGGAATGGTTGCTCCCGAGAGACGTTTGATATCCAGCCGACTCTGACGGGTGTAGTACTGCCGAAGCTTGATATCGGCAAAGAACAACAAGGCGTCAGGACATTGTAGTTTAGCTGCTTGAAGCAGATTGCAGTCGTCCTTAAGACGAGTCTGTTTCTGGTATTCGTGAGGCAGCGCCTTCATCTGGAAATCATACTGCTTCTTGTCCGAGAGAAAACACAAGGGAAATTTGCGTTTCAGGGTGGGCAGATTCTTCTTCCAGTGAGGCTGTTTCATCGTGTCGGCGACAATGTGAATCCAGCAGGGGAGAAGGGCGTTGCTCTTTACCAGCATGGCTTGTAAGAAAGGCTGCTGCAAGGTCCAGTTGATAAAGCTCTGCACCTGGTCTCTGGCAGGTGAATCACTAGTGATCCATCGCCGTTCAAGCTGGCTGTACAGCCCACACCAGAACAGGCCGTCCTGCTGCCATTTGGATGGACAGACGAAGGCTTGCAATGCGGCAAGCGCCCCTGACTGGACAAAGGCATCAGAGATGCGCAGGGCATCATACCAACCCTTCCGCTCCGAGACGCCTCGCAGCAAAGCAATAAAGTCCTTGACACCTTCGCTCTCCCTCCACCGTTCGGTCCATTTGTCTGCAACATCGGCAAAGAAGGCGTACAGCTCCCGCAGATCGGGTACGGCTTTGAGAAGGGTCTCGAAGTCGAGGTTGAGAGCGGCCGTCGAGACCTTCGCCGCGGCGGAGATGGCCGTGCCCCCCTGCTGGCAGAACACTTGCCAAGGGCTATCGTTGTCCGGAATGCGATCTAAAGCCTGGAGGGCATACCGGGCTGCCAAAGCAGTGCGTGGTTCGTGGTGGCCTTTAAGGGCCTCGAGTCTGTTCTTGATCGGGGTTTGGACTGTCTGCTTGTCGATGCCAGACACTTTGATATCCACCATCGCATCGAGAACCGTTCCGATCGTGTGGAGGAGGCAGTACTGGGTTTCGAGCTCGTTGAAGCTGGTTGCATGGGTGAGGAAGCCGAGAAGGGTGTTCAATGGAGCCCCTAGCCCGGAGATGGCGTCCTTGCTCTGGCGAAGACAGGCAGCAAAGCACCGCAAAAGCTCCAGGTCTGGAGGCGACTGAGCTGCGCTGATTGCTTGATAGAAGGCAAGCAGTAGAGCATGATAGTCCTCTGGGGAGGTGACTTCGCATATCGTTGATGCCTCTTCCCAGTACGAAGGTCGCGGGTCATCCCTGAACAGCTTCACCATCTGTGTCACCAGCGCCTGCAGCGCTTGTTTCTCGCGCCCATCTGTCGTGTCTTTCTTCAGCTGTTCGACCAGCAAGTCCGTTCGCAGGTTCTCCGAAGTGTAGTTCATGTTTCCAGATGGTGTTTGGATGGAAAGTCGGGCATTTCGATTGCTGAGGGAGAGGTGACGGTGTAAGACAGCAGTGGAAGCGGGGGAATTTCAGCCTCGTCAGGCTGGATTCAGCCCTCAAACAATCCATGGCGGTCAATGGGGCAGACAAGAGTCGATTTGCCAACTGCAAGCGCCCTGGGCGGCGGCTGTGAACGTGAACTGTGAGACTGGCCAGTCATGATCAAACACGCATGGAGGGTTAACAGGGGTATATGAGGTATAGACAGCAGTGGCTAAGATGGCTGGTCTATACGAAGTAAGGATGTTTATAGAATCTGGGCCTAATGATTTTCTTTGGAAGTAGAAGATTAAAGACGAAAGACGAAAGACGAAAGATGGAGAGACAAAGATTAGAGATGAAAAAGGAAGGAGAGTTAATATACTGGGCTAACCAGAAAGAGGTATACAGCCTCAGGCAGTCACTTCAGCCTTGTGGAGGGAATCCTGATTTTACAGCTTATTGCTTTAAGTATCGATTATTCCGGAGCCAATTTCCCATAAATACGTCTCCGTGGCGCAATAGGTTAGCGCGTTCGACTGTTATGCAGTCTATCGAGAGGTTGGAAGTTCGAGCCTTCCCGGGGACGTTTTTTTATCTTTTGCATACAGAACATTATACATGGAAAAGAATATGTAGTAGTCTTTTTACATATGCAAAAAATATCGTCGTTTTATATAGAAAAGAAATACTATAGTATATGCTGCTGGTTTAGTGAATATATAGTGAGCTAATATATATAGCAGAAAGCAGGCAGGCTCACAAGGACTTAGACCTCAAAAGTATAAGACTAACTAAGACATCTTCTTCTTGACGCTGCGTCGCTCTACCGCCAGACTGCCGAGAACACTAAAAATCGCTAAACCAACAGGAATATACAACGTCTAGACAATAGCAGAGTTGTATCCAAGCAGCACCGTATAGATGGGCGAAGAAGAAGGCAAAGCTGCTGAACATGACCGAGTATGCGGCCGAATACCAGCCGATGTTCGCGACTGTGTGGAAGGAGTCGGTGATGGCCGGCACAGAGACTGCCACGATCGTCATGTCCAGGCCGACCAGCATCGTGCTCAGCATGGTGGCAGCCACAGACACCCACAGCTTGAGGCCAGTTGGATAGACGATGCTCTCATTTTCATGCGACTCTTCCAGCTGCTCCTGGGGCTTCCCAGGAATGGGTGGTATTTCTTCGGTGAGGAGTTCCATTTTAGAGGCGTCAGATAGAGAGAGTAGTCAATGAGAGAGATAAAGTGAATAGAAGATGGTGGTAACTGATGAAGTATTTAGCTATGCTTGTATTCTGCTGCCTGGTCAGGCTGGAATATTCCCTCCCTATACTGGCTAAAGTACCGGGTAAATACACTGCTGACTATCATAATATAAGAATGAGTGCAGCAAAGATGGTAGTAAATTTAGTTAGAAATTAAATAGCATAAATATAAGGAGATGTAAGGCTACTAGATATTAAATTCAATAAGATATTAGTAGTTCTTATAGTCTATCTTATAGTCTTTTATCTAAACTTTATCTACTCTATATTAACCTACCCTTCAATATAAAGGCCCTACAGTTAGTTATTCTATCAATGTTTTTACTTAAGTATATGATAATATAGTAGATCAGAATATTATTTCAGTATAAAGACAACATGAGGCAGTAACCTAAACCTGAGATACACCCTTGTCCTAAATAGACCAGAATACTCTCACTCTGCAATCTCAACTACCAACTTTGTACAACTCACCCCCTGGCGCAGGTTATCCAACCCGGCATTAATAGCCTCTAAACCCTTTCCCACAACGCTCGGCTCCGGACTAGGCTTGATGGTCCCCTTGGCCAGATTCTCCCTGAGCCACGTCCCAAGCCAGTATTGGAACTGCTCCAGCCTCTCCTCTTCCACCATCGAGGGCATAATGAATATTGTTTCCACCCCGTTCACATCTTCCGCTTCCGGAGGAATCACTGGCGCTGATGCAATCTTCGCCGTCTTTGTCTTCCCTTCTTCACCAAGGAATGTCTTAAGCACAGCCTGGCAAAGAGCCAGCTCGCCGGTAGCCAGAAAACAATGCTGGATGAGCAGCCCGTCCTCCCTGGCCGCCGAAACAATTGCATCTACGACCTGTGAGTCTTTGTAGTCGAACACACGGTCTGCACCCAGCGAAACCACATAACTCTTATTTGATGATCCGGCTGTGGCATATACGGCTGCAAAAGTAGAGTTGGGGTCGTCTCGTAGAAGCCGGGCTGTTTGTACACCCATGCTGCCGACGCTGGAGGAGGCACCCCAGATCAGAAGAGCCTCTCTTTTCTGTATATTCTTCTTCTCCTTTCCTCTCTTAGTGGCTTCTCCAATCCGGGAAATCCCCATGGCATCCCATGCACTCAGGGGTACTTGGACAGCGACAGGTAGAGTTGCTGCATGGTTCCAAGACATGCTCTTGTCCGGGAGAGGCACAGCATGCTGCCAGGGGACGAGACATCGCTCTTGAAATGCGCCGTAGTCTGGATTGAAGGATCTCCAGAATGAACCGGCGTAGGCCGCAGCACGGGTGATACCCGGTCGAAAGCAGGGAGATGTGTCATTGTCTGTATCCCCCGTGGGGACGTTGTCGCCGACCTCAAGGACCAATCCCGCCATGTCGAAGCCGATAACCGTGGGGTAGGTTGGTATGAAGAGTCCCTGGTCTCGCATGATGGCGTCTGCCGGATTGAGGGCTATGGATTTCACAGCGATGAGGAGCTCATCCGGTCCTGGCTTGGGGGTTGGGCGGGATTGGATCTCAAAGGGTTGGCCTTTGGCCGGGGAGACGGCGGCGAGGTGGGTGGCCATTGTTTCATACACAAGAAGTGGTGGGTGTTAATAGACTAGTATTGAAGATGAGGTATATGTGAACAGAGACTGGTATTTAAATCAATAAGGGCTTGTTATTTTAACTCTTGATATTGAGGAATAACATCCTTATATAGATCATTTTCAGGCACTTAATATACTACATAACAACTCAGCCAATCACAAGCCTCTACACCCGAAAAATAGCTAGCGTGGAAGACGTGTTCTAAAATAGGTTAGCGTATGACTGTGACTGCCAGAAAATCCCTCATAGACACTGCACAAAGCATTGGAAAAGCCAAGTATGGCCTCAAATTGTACAAAAACTCGTGAGAATAGGACTCTGCAGAGGTCGAGATTTGGCTGCCGGAATTGCAAGCTCAGAAAAGTCAAGGTAGGCTGGCTGGCTTTCCTAGACTGGGACTGGGGCTCACTAAATCAACTCCTTGGCCTCTTAGTGTGACGAAGGCAAACCGCAGTGCAAGAGATGTAGTTCGTTCGGCGTATTATGCAACTTTATGTCTAATATTGCTGACCTACAACCCATTGCCGCTGACAAGGGGAAGCCGTTAGTTGTGGGAAGAAAGATAGAGCTTCAACTCCCTGTTTCTAGTGCTGTCTGGACGTCTGACAGATCTACCTTCTATCAATTGAATACAAAATGTCAGGACTTCGTCACCCGGTATTTTGGACGGAGTCTCCTGACTCCAGATGACCCTAATATGAAACACGTCAATCGGAAGCTCCTAAGACTAGCCTTTGCAGTAAGTCTTATTATACTTGTCTAAGCTCAGCTAACATATCACTTACAGTACCCCTTTTTGATGCATGCTTCTCTAGCCGTGGCGCTTACATATGACCGCCACCTGAATAATTCTTTAGGATGTCGTCGCAGTCTGGAAGAGTGCTTTCACTGGTCTCAAAGCACGGCTCTTCTCAACAAACGGTTAGGGGAGACGATTGCAGAGAAGGATAAGGATCCAATCTGGGGCACTGCAGCTGCTCTGGCTATCCTGAGCTTCTCGTCCCCTGATGCATGCAACCCGGAAGAAGCATGGCCTCTAAAGTCCTCTGACCACTCCGATCTGGACTGGATACGGATGAGCAAGGCTAAAATGTCGCTGTGGCACATAATAAACCCGCTTCGACCGGCCAGTCTTTTCTGTGTGATGGCGGACACTTTTGCTGAGATGGATTCTCCCTTGCCAGAGAGGGGCATTGATGGTATGCCAAGTGCATTGGCCTCTGTGTGTCTCCTTGAGGACTCATCTACGGCGAAGGACAACCCGTATTTTCATGCTGCCCACGCTGTATCCCAGATCCTGCACCTCCCGGATAGCAAGGTTTCAACAGGCCAAACTCAAGTCTTCATGCGCAGTATCCATGGCCCCTTTGAAGACTTACTTCGGAAAAAGGACCCTGTAGCACTTTTGTTGCTGTATCTATGGTACCGGAAGACAAGTCGCAGTATATGGTGGATTGAACTTCGAGCCAGAGTGGAATGTCCTTCCATATGCTTGTACCTGCGGTTATATCACAAAGAGAACCTTGCAGTACATGCATTACTTAGAAGATGCTCTTTTGACATGTGGGATTAGTTAGGTTTTAATTGTCCCAAATTCTAGATTTTCAATATATAGTAGTAGGCTTCTGATAAATTCCTGTCAAACACCTTTCGTTTTTATTACTGATGAGAGTATATATAATATCTAATACTGTTAAATTTTAAAAAGCTATTTTCTTATTATTGCCATAAATAAGCATATGCTCACATGGTGAAAAGCATTACCTAATTACTTTATAAAGGAAGAGTATTTAGATTATGCCCAACTTTAGACACTGCCAGATCTTCAATAAAAATGGCCTCGCTGGGTGAGTTATAGCTCGTGTGGCTCCCTACCCCTGTTAATGTCAGCTCTTATGATATTAGATTATAGGTTTAGAGATGCTTTATCAAATGTGAACAGTAGTAACATTTACCACATATCCATATGGCCAGCTTTCAATGTGAGGATTATATACTTATCTACCTTGGTAGACTACTGTTATATTCTTCTTACTGGATGAGGGGTGTCAATATATAAGAGAGTGATACAGCGACACCCCTAGGAATTCTATATGACAATGCTGATCAAGTAATGCCAAGTGGCATACTAAAATTAAGATATTACTACCTATTTCTAGGAAGATGGGATTATGCCTATAAAAGAGGCTTTAAGTACATATAAAGCATTAGACTATTCTTTAACGCCAACAGATTTAATGGCACCTTCCCTTCTATAAAAAGCAACTTGCTATATAGCCCAGCTATTGAGTATTGAGGCACCTAAAAGAGCTATATAATCATATGTTAATTAATTCTAAATATGGATGCCTATGCTGTTACTATATAGAGCCCTATAACTACTATATTAATTCTTATTTTAAAGACTCTGTTCATTTCTCCGTCAATTACTATGTGAAGATTATGTTAGATGGTGTATTAATACTTTATAGAGTAGAAGAATGAAATAGTCAATTATATGATTTCTTTTTGCTTGAATTACTAGATTATATGGCAGAAATTGCCCCTGTTGAGTCTGTAGGGGTGTCGCTGTATCAACGCCTTCATGATGCAAACCATGTACAGTACTATATTCTATATTAAAGTATAGGAGTAGTAATGGGTAGCAGCAAACTAATGTATGGATTGGCTTAGAATATTGTCTGGCTATGCTCACATTCAGAGTCAGCACTATAAGCTGCCTATTTAAGGCTATGGTCATCTAGTCTGGGACCACGGCCGCTATCTCTAATTCCTTTGAAAGCTTAAAACTGCCTTGCAAGGAGAAACGGACTCTGAGGGGAAAGAAACAGCGCTAATGTTGGGGTCAAAAGCCCTCGCCCAGCCACGGGTGTTTGTATTGGCTGAAATATTGAGTGACGACACACGGGAGACATGTGATATAGAATAGTCAACATATACATCTAGCTATTGAGCTGATTATGGAAAACAGCTCCTCTTGAATATATGAAGAAGGGCTGCATTTTCTTCTTTACAGTATATATAAAAAATATCTCACCATATAGAGTAGGAAAAATGAGGCCAAATATATATGGAGTTCCCAGGGTCATGACTCGCAGGAAGTTTTATTGGTAGTGATTACTACATGGCCTGACAGGGTCTATTCACTATTACTTGATTGACTACAGATGCAGTACTTTTGCTAACGTCCAACTAGTTGATGCAACCCCCACTTATAAAGAAATCGCGTGGCCTGCTCTTTCGCCTTTCCCCATAGTCTATTTTCAACTAATCTCATTATGTCTTCTTCCAACCCCGTCGAGACCGTCCCTGAGGCCGACCCTGAAGCTGCTCTTGAACCCACTCCTGAGCCTGCTATTGCGCCTCTTGATGAGCCCGCAGATGTAATCACTTCCAACTCATCTCTTTTCACCTTCTTGGTGTCTAATTATACAGGATGCTAGTAGTGAAAATGACTCGCTGTCCTCTGATCACTCTGACTATTCCTCGCTCCGATCGAGTATTTTCAATTACGAGTGTGTTTTGTGATGTCTACTTTCACTTTTATGTATTAACCATCACCTACTATAATTAGATACGAAAATGGTCGCCGATACCAGAGCTACCGCAAGGGCGAATACTTGCTCGTGAGCTGCTTCCCCAAATCGTATATAAGCCTACCCTGATTATTCCAGCCCAACGACGAGGATGAACAAGACCGGATGGATCTTATGCATCATGTCTACGGCATGGCTCTAGGGGGAGATCTGCATACGGCCCCGATCAATAACCCTCAGCGAGTTCTTGATCTGGGGACAGGGACGGGCATCTGGGCCATAGATTTCGCAGAGTATCTCACCATTCGTCTGGACCCTCTATCCTATACTGTGCTAACCGATGACCAGTCAGTATCCCTCGGCGGAAGTGATTGGGAACGACCTGAGTCCCATCCAACCTGGCTGGTAAGCAACATATCTGTAGTTTTGAGAGGAAGAGGCCATTATCTCTTACCTACTCCTCTTAGGGTTCCTGTCAACTGTGTATTTGAAGTGGATGATTTTGGGGCCGAATGGCAATACCACCGTGCCTTCGACTACATCCACGGCCGTGAACTGGCTGGCTCAATCAAAGATATCGATCATCTCGCCAAACAGGCGTTCGACAACCTTCGTTCTGGCGGATACTTTGAGCTTCAATCCTTTCCCATTGAGGTCTTTACCGATGATGACTCTATGGAAGAAAGGGGCAAATATACAGCTCAACTGATTGAATTGATAAGTGAAGCAAGTGAAATGTATGACAAGCCAATGCAGAATGTGGACAAATGGGGCGAGGCGTTGGAATCCGCTGGTTTCACACAAGTCACAACCACAATGATCAAGGTCCCAATAAGTCCATGGCCGACTGATCCCAAGCAGAAGGAAATCGGCCGCTTTATGCAGTGCCAATACAGCCAGGCCCTGGGCTCTTATCTCCCTGGGATCCTCACTACCGTGCTGGGATGGTCGCCCGCCGAGACTGAAGTGATGGCGGCAAAGGTGCGCCAGGAGCTGACGGATCTTGAGTTTCACCAATACTCCAAGTTGTATCTCATCTACGGCAAGAAGCCATAGTTATCATCAAATTATACCCAATACACTTCCCTTTGCCGGTAAGCTTCCTCTGGCTATCCTTATTCAGAGTCCGTGGCTCCGTATTTTCTCATCTTGACCCAACAGCCATCGCCACTCGAGACAACCAATGTGAGCACCTGCCTTTCCTCGCCCAGGGGCAACTTGAACGACCTTTCTGTCATGTCAATGGTTTCAAACACCTGTAGCAGCCTCACGATGGTAAACCCAGCTTCCAACAGAGCGAAATCCTGCCCTAAACACACCCTCGGTCCCCCGTTGAAGGGCAAATACCCCCATCCCACATTCTTCAGGGCGTCGTTTTCCCAGCGCTCGGGGCGGAAGTGATCAGCATCGGGCCCGTAGATGTCTTTGCGACGGTGCATTGCATAGACACAGTATCCCACTGCTTCACCCTTTCGGACCAGAATAGGAGCTGTCCCAGTGGGACCACCACCAACGGGAAGAGTTGTTGTCTTTTCCGCCGCTCTGGAGTTGACTGGCACAGATGGGTATAAGCGAAGGACTGTTGTTCGGAATTAGTATCTTAACAATTGAAAGCCAAGACCGTTTCCCAGAATACCTTCTTTGATAACGAGCGAGAGATATGGCAGTGTTTTTATTCGACTGATTGTGGGTATCGAGGCTTTTGAGCCAACGCCAACTGTATCCCTAATCTCGCACTGGAGTTTGAAGAGAACTTGGGGGTGCTGCACCAGCAGACGACTTGATATCGACACCATCAGTGTCTTTGACACAAAATGCCAGGTGGCTTCACTTACAGAGTCCATGTAAGGCAACACGCCGTTGTATCTCTTCCAGCTAACAAGAGATTCACACATTGATCCCTCAGAACCTTTGGATCGTTGGTCTCTTTGACGAGTGCATCGATGAAGACGTAGGGCTCTGTCCCTTTGGAGACTCCAGTGTCCGGCGTCCCTGCACAGTCTAGAGCCTTCTTGACTGCATTGTCGACAAAATCATGGCATATTTGACATGCGTTTCGGAACCTTTTCCCTCCTATAAGCCAGTAGAGGTCACCCAGCCGACCTCGCTGGGCAAGATAGTCCTGGCCGAGATTAAAGGCCTGTGCAAACTCGAAATCGCGGTCCGTTATTCCTTCCGACTTGAGAGACGCCAGATGCCGTCCGAATAATAGAAAGAGGGTGGTTTCGAAGGTGAGGCGGAAGAATAGGGGCTGCAGGTCCACCACACCGTCCTCTGGAACGCAGGAGATGAGATTGTCCACTGCCTCTCTCACCTGCTCAAAGTTGTTGAACCGGTTGGTCATGAATTGCGGCCGCAGGAGCTCTCGTGAGTGCCGCCACTGTTTGCCGTCTTGAGTGAAGATACCACTGCCCATCAAAGGCTCGAAGGTTGGGGGTCGCAGTCCCAGTCCGAATTCTTGAATTTGCCCAGTCAAGAGTCAGTAACCGTTTATATTGGATTGGATCCGGAGCACTGACCGGTGAATTGTGTGGATAAAATGGCTTCGATGTTTCTGGGCTCAATCGTGTCGATGCCACGAGCGAAAAGCAGCTTCTGCTCGAAGGTGTGTCCCGACTCAGCCACAACATCAAGAAAGAACTGCAGGATTCGCTGCTTGCGCTCTTGGCGAAAGGCCTTTAAAAGCAAATCGAGTCCCAGCGGCCATTTTGAATTCCATCTTCTCGGTGGCTGGCAGCCTTTTGCAGCAGCGAACTTTCTATCGATCTGCCGGCCAAGTCAGAAGATAGATTCGCTGTAGGTAGAGACCCAACCTTCCTACCCTTGATTCATAGAAGTGAATAAAGATCTTGTATATGAAGACAGCAATGAAAGATCCCACAAGAAGACTCCAAGTTGGGGGTAGCGAGGACACCATATTGACCGTGTACGATCTGAACAGAGCGTGGTTGTCTCTTCCTGCTTGGCGGCTGAAATATAGCAAACTAGAGAAAAATAGCTAGCTCGATGGCTCACAAGAGGCAAACAAAAGAAGCTTGTAGAGTGTCTGCCGGGCTCCGAGCCAGCCCGTGGCACGATACGAAGCACAACATCGGATTGCGTGGCAATCGTCGATGTCTCCGGCATGATAGGGTAAAAGGGACAGGCCGAGTGGAAGATAAGGCTGGGCTGTTTGCTTGTGTCACGACACAGGCGAAATACGGACTGGATGTGCCATTACCCCTGCTAATCCAAGGGTCAAGGCGTGGAGGCAGCCATAGAGAGGCCCTCCCGGAGTTATTACCCCTCATGCTGGCGTCTGGGAATAATCGCAATGCATCAGGCTGAGAATTGGCGTGCTGCAATTGATCACAAGATAAGGGGGATAATGGCCTTACAGTTTCAGCCTAGAGATGTTTTCTTAACAGAATAAGCATCAGCATCAGCATCAGCATCCTTAATTTCATGATCTTCACCATCTCCTGCTTTCTTTCAGGAACATGGATGGTTTGTCAATCGCCACGGGCGCCCTTTCTCTTGCGGATGTGTGTTGGCGCGTCGCCAAATTTCTGCGTGACATACCAGCCGCAATCCATGGCATCCAGAAAGAGATCGACGCATTGATCGTCGAGGTGGAATCCATGGAATCGGTTGCCAAGTCAGTCAATGAATATCTTTGTGATGAACCAGCCGCCGCAGGGCCGAGCGCAGCCAATATGGAAAACCTCCGCAAGAACTGCAGAAAAAGCCTTGAGACGTGTGAGAAGATCGTGAAGGATCTCGATTCTCTCGTCCAGAAGATCCGTGGTAGCCCCAAATCCAGGGTCAGCCCCCTGGATGCGCTGAGTAAAGAGTCTCGCAGACGTAAACATGCGGCAGACTTGCAGAAACTACGTGGCAGGCTCTCTCTTGAAAAGCAGAATCTTCATATCCTGCTCACTGGAATCAATCTGTTGGTAAGCCTGTCCTCACTCGTTTCAAAGGGTTGACCACTTTCTAGGTACAACCATCGCGCGCCAGGGGCCGCGTTCGATCATGTATCAAGTGGCCTGCATTCACAAATTGATGAATTCAAGCGCCGTATCGAGACCCTGGAGCGTCAGCTTCAATCCAGCCATGAGGTCCATCGGGACAGAGATGAGGATAACGCGACAATGGCTGATATCAGCCAATTCCAGAGTTCCGTCAAATTCGTTGCTGCTGCCATGCGTGCCGCAACGCCAGACAAGTCCTTTGACACTCCTCAGCCCGTCAAGAGCGTCTATACAGGTCGGGCCTCGTATATGGAGAGACTGAAGGATATCCTACTCCCATCCAACTCCGATCAAGCGGTACAGAAACAACAGCGCTTTGTCATCTACGGCATGGGCGGATCAGGAAAGACACAGTTTTGTTGTAAATTTGCAGAGGCCAATCGAAAAAGGTAGGGTATCCCGGTCAAGATCTGCAAGGAAAGCAAGCCAGCCTGCTAACCTTGAGCAAACCGAAAGCTTCTGGGGTGTTTTCTGCATTGATGCGAGTTCCCACGAACGAATCAAACAGAGCTATGCTAAGATCGCGAATTTTGGAAAGGTGGAACCAAACCACATTGCAGTGATGCACTGGCTCTCCAACTGGGAAAGAAGATGGCTGTTGCTAATCGACAACGCCGACGACGCGGAGATGGAACTGGATCATTACTTCCCCAAAGGCGACAGAGGCAACATCATCATCACGACACGAAATCCTGGTCTCAGGGGACATGGCAATGTTGGGCCGAAGTATTTCGAGTTCAAAGGCATGGAAGTTGGTGAAGCCAGTGATCTTCTGTTGAAAGTAGTGGAGATGAAGAAGCCCTGGAGTGCTGATGTTCTATCTTGGGCCACTCAAATCACGGAGAAGCTTGGTTTCCTTGCACTTGCCATCACAGTAGCTGGCGTGGCGATCAGAGACGGGATATATTCTCTCAGCACCTATTTGCCATCATTCAACCGGTATTGGGAGCAGATTCGACGGTCTCCCAACCCGCACCCGGACACCGAGTATAGGAAGATGTTTGCCACATTCGAAATGTCTTACCGGAAGATCGAAGAGGAGAGCAGCGTGGCTTCCAAGGATGCAATTCGAATCTTCCAAATGTTTGCGTTTTTCCATTTCAACAACATCCCGTTTGACATTTTGCAAAAGGCAATCGTCAATGGTGGGATTGAGAAACGCGCAGAGGAAAACGCAGATCAAGAGGCCCTGCGAGGGCCGTTGACTTGGTATCAGTGGTACAATTATATCCGCTTTTATGCACTCGATTTCATCGCCGCCACCGATCCCAGTCCTCCCAGCTTGCCGCCCTTTATACAGGAAGACGGGGAGTCAGGAATATTGAATGAGAGGCGAGTACGCTATGCGCTCAGTAGACTCACTCAAATGTCGCTCATCATGAAGAACCCAGAGAACGACAGCTTCTCGATGCACCCGCTCATACACCTTTGGGCGCGCGAGAGGCCTGGAATGAGCACCTCAAATCAGGCGCTGTGGTCAAACATTGCAGCCATGACACTCGCCCAATCTATTCTTCTCCCACCTCTTGGGAATAGTGAGGAGGAAGAGCTCTTTCGAAGGGACATTCTCCCTCATATCGACCATGTACGAACCTGCCAAGAAGCCATTGCGCGCACGATAAGACAGAACAGGAAGGATTTCTGGTCCCGGTTGGTGCAGTGGCTTGAGATTGAACCCAGTCTTGGCCGATCCCAGGTGATAATATACGCCAAGTTCAGCCGTGTCTTTGCTCAAACCGGTCGCTGGAAGGACGCCGCGGAGCTTCAGCAGTCTGTCAAAGAATACACCGATAGATTCCTGGGGCTGGGACATCCAGCCACCCGCCGTATCACGCTGGCGTTGGCATTCACCTACTGGAACCAGGGGAAGAGCGATCTAGCAGAGGATCTGCAAAAGGAAGTCCTACAAGCATGCAACTCTTTAGGGCCCGATAGCCATGAGACCCTGATGACCAAGGATGTTCTGGGCCAGACAAGATGGCAGCAGGGACGATACAGCGAGGCCCGAGAGTTTCAGCAAGACGCCGTTGACGGCCTGCTCAGATTGCACGGTCCGAAGCATGAGGACACGCTCAGTGCGATGAGAAGTCTCGGCCGAACAATGGCCAAGTTCTACGAAGACGAAGACTTGAAGGAAGCACAGCGACTGCTCCGGATAGCCTTTGATGGAATGAGTGAAATCCTAGGCCCGAAACATTTGAAGACGCTCGACGCCAGAGAAGATTTGGCAATGCTGGATCTGCTACAGGAACAAAACCTGTCCGTGGCGGCGGAGACGATGCAGCAAGTCCTTGATTGTCGCAAGGACAAACTGGGCAAGGAACATCCCTATGTGCTTCTCGCGATGGCGAACCTGGCAAGGGTTAAAACCGCCCTTGGTGAGCACAGTGAAGCCGAAACCCTTGTCCGCACAGGGCTGGAAATTGCAGACCGCAACCTGGGCGAAAACCACATCGGGACCTTGATGGGCAGGACGGTGCTTGGGATCATTCTTACCAATGAATCGAGGTTTGGCGAGGCAGAGGCTACGCTTCTCCAAGTCATGGAGAAGCAGCGATTTCTCACATCCTCCCGGGGTGACTTTCATCCTGACCGACTTGGCACGATGATTGAGCTGTGCCGGTGCTATAAATTGCAAAGGAAATATGATGAAAGCATTTGTCTGTGTGATGAGATCATCCAGGGGCTGCAACAGATCAGTTTGAAGCAGCATCCCCTTGAAAGAAAGACAGAGGCAGAAAAACAAGACCTTATTGAGAGAAAGCGTGTTGCAGAAGGGATAGAGGCCTAGAATAGTATAATAGACCATTTAGAGATCTCCTAATCATGGACGTTTAATATCTCGGGACTGATTCTCTTCCAAGATTTTCCACAATAATAACTATATATGTCATTATGACTCGCCTCTGACTTTCGTATAATATTACGTTGTTATGTCTCTACTAACCATCACCACCAAAAACACCATGGCCAGTCACTTTGGGGTGTCTGAGACCACCAGTGAATACCCCTACCAGGGGATGGAGTCCTTGATATATATCCTCGAGTCGAAAATGGAGCCGCGCAAGGATGACATGGCAGGAACAAGCACATCTTTCGTGATCTTCTCAGGGGTGGATGAGCAGACCTTTAAGCAATACTTCTCCAAGGCTCTCACTCGCCTTCCTCATCATTCGTTACAGTGCTATCTCCATACCGATAAACTTCTGCTGCTCCAAATGATCACTGCCGCTCATGAAACCGCACACACCTGGCTCCACAGCCAGACTTTCACCATGTTCGAGGAAATGGGCGTCACTCAACAGATTAGGCTTCTCAGTCGCGCCTCTGTTCAGTCAGGAAACCGCACAAAGGAGCCAGACCAGAGCTACGTGCCAAAAGTCCTCCCTGCTGGCCGGGCTGACCACTGGCCCTCTGTCGTCATTGAGACAGGGTACTCGGAGTCGAAAACACACCTGGTCAACAGTGCCCAGTGGTGGGTAGAGGCATCGGACGGAGATGTTAAGTCTGCAATCACTATTTCTATAGAGAAGAGGTCTAGGACAATCACCTTAACTCACTGGCAGCCCATTAGCCGGCCAACCCGAGCAAAACCAGACCGGGTAGTCGCAGAGCCCTGGGAGACAGTCATTTCGCAGAAAGACAACCTGTCTCCAATCAACATCAGTAATGGGACTCTTTCCGTTCCATTTGCCAGCTTTTTGTTGCGAGCTGCCACACCAGATTCAGCTGAGAGAGACTTTGGATGGACCAGCGCACAACTGGAGCATCTGGCCAGCGAGGTATGGGAGAGATATCCAAAGATCTAGGATAACATGGCTCTCTGCATGGAATACGCCTGTCTAGCTTATTAACAATGTATTCCACGCTGTCCACTGTGCGGAGAACAATAAACTGTACATATATTTATAACAATACAGGATATTTATTACATAAAATACACTTACCAGATGTATATGATCTATCTTTAGGTAGCAATTGTTATAGATATAGATATAAAATAATATAGTGGTAAGTAATAATAGAGTGCTCTCTAAATGCTTAACAATTGATTAGTGAGTGTTTAATAACTAATTTTACTAGGTTTAATAAACTATCTTTATAAAATTAACCCTTAATATCTTCCTACAGATAATTAAGGCCCTTATTTAATTCTTTTTTATTATATTTACTTTAAATAAGGTATTTAATAGGTTTTATATAAATTAAACCTTAATTAATACCACTTAGGAGTAGAGGGTTAAATGGCATCTATTTTATATACTAAGACTAAAGAGGCTTATCTTAAGATATTAGACTTTATTATAGGTTTATTAAGTAGTTTTTAATTATTTAAGGAATATTTACTAATTAATTATCTAGAAAATAAACTAGCTAATTTTATTAAGACTTAGGCACGGCATAAAAAATAAAGAAATATTTATTTTAGTTTAAATAAAGCCTACTTTAATCTTCCTTCTAATATATTTAATTATATTTAAAAATATACTAATATAGTTAAATAAATATATTATAAATTAAATATATAAGAAAAGTAGCTAAGTATTCTAAAAGTAATTATAAAGTATTTAATAATTATTTATTATTTAATTAAAATTATATTAATTAAATATAGGGCTTATAATCTTAATTTATAAGATATATAATAATATTATATAAATTAAGATTATAATATTTAATATTAATATACCTTAATAATAACTATAGGGCATTTATATTATAATATATAAAGATAGGGTATATAAATAATTCCTAAATATTCCTTAAGTGATTATATATTAATTATTTAAATAAAGCTTAATAATTATAATTAAATAAGAAGCTTATAAATAAGGATAATAAAGATATTATAGCTTTATTAACTAGTTAGCCTTTAAGATAATAATAATTATAAAGATTAAGTTCTTCTAGTTATTAAGGAAGATTATAATCTACTTAAGGTTACTTAAAGTAAGTATATAATTATTTATAAAGTACTTTCTAAATACTTATATTAGTAGCTCTTCTCTTTAGTAAGTTATACTAATAAATGCTAGTTAAAATTCTTATAATAAAGCTATTAATACTATTTAAAAAGAAATTAAGAAGAAGGAGCTAGTAGCTTAATTACTTAAAAAATAATTAATAAATAAATAGTATAGATTAATAATAAAGGAAATAGATATTATAGATAATTAAGGCTAATTAATTTTTAAATATTTACTAAATGCCTCCTAACCTTGAAAATTTTTATTATTAATAATTATATATATTATTATTTATATATTATTATAAATATATATATTATAGAGTAATAATAAATAAAAAGTTAAAACTTTATAATTATTTACTAAGTGTTTATTAATTAATATAAAATTAATTTACTATAATAAAAAATTATTTATTAAGACTAAAAAATTTTAATTTCTTTTTCTTCTTCTTCTTCTCCTCCTCCTCCTCTTCTTCTTCCTCTTCTTTACTCTCCTCAGGCGCTAAGACTAAAAGATTAAAAAGATTAAAGTAGTTATATATTAAGCCATTATAACAGCATTCTAGAATTATTTAGTAATTAATTACTAGTTATTTAATAAATACTTATAACTAGGACTATACTACTTTTATTTATAGCTATTATAAGGAAATAAATTATCTATATTTTTCACTAACTGACATATTTTTATTATAGAGGGCTAATTATTTAATAAATATCTAATAAGTAATTAATAAGTATTTAGGACTTACTTTTCCTTCCTTTATTAAGGGGATAGAAGGGTTTTTATTTAAACTAGCAGCAGTAATCTAAATAATAAAGGGGAGATTTATAGATACTAAGCTAAAATAGATATAGGTATAGATAGGGGGTATAGGGGGTGCAGGGGGCGCAGAGGGCGCAGAGGGCATAAAAGAGGGAGTAGTAAAGAAAAGAGTAGTAGAGATAATAAGGGTAGTAAAGGCAGCAGTACTATCTAGAAATAAAGTATAATAAAACTCTAAATAATTAGAGATTAATTAAGAGATATTTATAAAATAGCTACTTACTAATAGTTTTATCTTTTTCTTTCTATAGGATCTAGCCCTAGGTAAAACCCCTAATATTTAGAGTATACCCTTTTATATAAAGATAAAGATTATTAGTGATTAAAAATACTTTTTAAATATCTATTAACTATTTAATAGTTAATAAGATATATATATATATAACTCTACTTATAATCTAGTACCTAGTAGTACACCTTACTATAATAAATAATTATCTCCCTATTTTACTAAGTAATTATTAGATAATTCTTAATTAATTTTTAATTACTTATCTTATTAAATAAGGGCCACTAGACTAAACTATCTAATCTATAGGTGAGGTATTACTAGTATATAGCCTATAAATAATTAGTAAATAATTAAGAATTAATAGCTAGCTATTATTAAGAACTTATATAATTAGAAAGGAATTTAGTACTTATAATCTAGAAAATAGTTAATTTTCAATTAATAAATAATTAAGAACTATAAGAATTAGGGGGGGGGTTTATAATGCGGGCGGTGTGGATGATTATAGGAGTAAAAAATAATTACCTTAATATATAGTATTTAAGAATTCCACAGTGCATGGACGGCGGCTAACAGTGACAGAAAAAATTTTTTCTGCCACTGTTGGCTGAGGTCCGTGCCCAGTTGACGCCACCTATATCCTCCTCTCGGATGAGACACGCAGTTGCCTGCGGATGAATCATCTTGCGCATATAGTCCACATCTTTTGTTTTAACACAGGCAAGAAAAGCCTTGACTAGATTCACTGGGCTTAAATTTTGAATAGATGACATCGAAAATGAGATGCAAAGTAGGACAGTGGAGAGTAGGAATCTACCTTTAAAAAGTAAAGACATGTTGTATAGAATATTTCGCGTCAGTCTGTTGATATTTAAAGGAAAATACTTACACTAGTTACACTAGTAATGCAGTCATCATAATTAATGGTAAACTACCACTTAATAAAGCACAACAAGAGCATGACCCATGCAACCTTTTTCACCTTTAAGATGAGGGGTAATGGTCTCCAATAACACTACTGCTATATATATAATATTTAGTAAGGGCAGCACCATTGAGCAAAATGCTTTGGAGGCTGACTGGCTTAATACATTATGCTATATATAATATTAGATTTTCTATACATTTGTCTAGGCTAACAGGGATCTGAGCACTAGAAAATATAGCCTCTAGGGGCTGCATATAGCCAGAAACATATAGTTAGCATGGCTGAGCTTTATAGGTAAATGAATAAAACCAGAATATAACTAGATCTATATACCTAAAGCTAATATCCACGCATTTACTGTAGCTATTAATATATTGTATTCATGTCAAATACGTCAGACTTTAAGAGATATAGAATCAATTAGAGGTGTGTTTAAAGCTGAAATAAATTAAGAAGCATGATATCTATATCTAATGCTACAAAAGCTCTTTTTATGCCCAAGACCTATCCTTTGCCAAGGGCCCTGAACCAAATAGTACATTGCCACTAGGCGTCCTAAGAGCTTGCCGTTTGATCGCAAATAAGGTATATATTAGAATAACTTCTAAACAACCTAATACATGTGCTAGTACCTTAATATTCCAGGGGATGACTGCAGTGAAGAGCTAAATAATCAATATAACAGATACCGGCCGTTGACACTGGCAGGTATTGATATCCTATCTACTATTTAGTATTAGGGCTGTACGGCTTGTTCAACAAGATAATCACCTCCATCTCTGCCCTTGTCGACCCTTTACCCGCATGCAAACAGGACCATCCCCACCGAAGCCACTGATTGCAAATGGGCACTAGGTGTTGGATAGAATGATAATTACCTGTGTGGAGATGACTAGAGGGTTGTATTGGCCCTGAGGCTAGGGATAAGCTCAGCGGAATGATCAATGATCAAGCTATCTAGGCAGTGTCCTCTAACAGGTTATTATCAAGCAGATTCTCTGTTTAAGCACTAACTGAGCTTGAACCATTCCTAGTGTTTAGCGCTAGGATTAATATAAGGCTAGAGGTGTCTATAAAGTCCCTTCTGATACAAATAGTATTATGTCCTTAGTTAAAAATAGATATTCTGTGAGTAAAGCATCTACCTATATTTATAATGGTCTTGTATTTGCGCATATCAGCCTTTTAAATGTCGGTGGCTTCCAGCGCAAACAAGGACTTGCCGAATTCTGTATGCAAAAATGATGCCATCGTCATGGCATTTCGTGGTGTATTAATTGCCCCTGCGCACCGAACATCTATGAGGGTTTCCAAACGAGGAAAGTAACGGTACAGAAAAGCCCAGATATTGGCGGACCGGAGCAACTGTCCTGAGTCAGTGAAGTAAAGAAGATAAAGTTAGGATATCTTGAGTTTGCTTTACTTTAATGGATTCCACCTTTCTATGGGAGCTCAGAATATGGAATGATATGGGTACACTGAGTGCGTATATCTAAAATCTGCTCTTGCTCTTCTGCAGGGAGCTTATTAGCCTTAGTCTCATCATATATGCCTGTAATAACACGCTGATTATTACCTTGTGAAAGGCAGGTTGCCTTCAGTTTCTGTTGGCCACTTCTTGGCTGGCCTTTTTGCCAAGCCTGTTTCATGAGAGGTTCTCCAGAGCTTGACAACGATACCTCGGACGCAGTAGGTGTTTTAGCTCCAGTAGCTTTCACTAGAAAAAGAAGTGTTCAGCATAGGTGGGTAATAATGAGATAATAAAACCAACTCCTTGGGCTAGGACCCGGATCCCCTCGTCATCACGTCCCAGCACATCTCGTATCAAGTTTTCTCGTCCTTCCCCCCGAGACCATCTAGGCATCCTAGGATGATTTTCATTGTGTAATCCTGCTCACTCTTCTTACTATATGACTAGGCTCGTGTTCCAATCGCTGCGATTCCTGCAGCAGCAAGCACGTCAAGCTCAGGGTCAATCGGGTCCCTTTGGTCTGTTTCAAGACGCGCCACTTTCGCCTCATGGGCAGCCTTGGCGGCTCCTCTGAGTGGCTGTTTCCATTGAGTCACTTATATGATATCATATAACATAAATAGACTGGTAAATAGTCTAGGGGAGCGCAAAGATGTGCTTTGGAAGGGTATAGGAGTGAGAGTGAGAAAGGTGAGAGAAGAGAGGGTAAAGAAAACAACCACTCTCCATACTAGATATAGATCTTTAGTAATCAACATGGCTATAATTAAGTAGAATGAATATATGGTGTATTTTATCTCTTAAATTCACTACCCTTAGATATGACATACTTCACTGCTAGATGTTTCTCTAAGGGATGTTTATACTAGCTAATTATCTTCCACAAACTATTTCAACCTTAGTCTAGTTAACATGCAACGGACTTCATCTTTTCAAGTACGATCCTTATTTCCTCGGCAGGTCCAGTTGACTATGGTAGTCTGGCATACAGAAGATATTTCCTTGGCTATGGCTACTGGCAATTTTAGTGGTGGTTCTATTATAGAGTATATACTTGATTAATATAATCTCAATCTCTACCTGCTCTCCTACTCCTTTCTTCTAGATTCTTCAAAGTTATTACCCTAATTCTATCAATATCTACTCTAATCCCTAGGTAAGCTGACTATTAGCCCCTACTATCAACCAATCAGTAAGCAAAGAGATAATCCGCCCCCATTCAGGATTCCGATGCCATTGGCCAGGTCGGTTGTGTTGTCAGAGTGTTATTATAACGATAAGCCCATCCTCCGGTCCGCTCGTCAGCCTCGATTGATTTCTTTCTCTCGCAGAGAGCGACAATGATCACTCTGGTGGCTATTGCAGGCCTGTACCTGCTTTATAAGCTTGCCTGTTTCCTCCGCTTCTACCTGATCGGCCGTCGCACCGGGTTCCCGCTGTACATCGTCCCAATCTTCTCGCAGAGCCCCGTGTGGAAGGTTCTCGGGCCCATCTACCAGCCTGTCTTTCGCAGACATCTGCCTGAATGGATCGCTAACCGGCTGGATGTCGTGACACACGGCTGGGACTTTCGCCTGAAAAATATACTACATGAACAGCTGGGGAGTGTGTTTGCAGTCGTCTCCCCGGATGAATGCACTCTATGGTGTGTAGTGATTGAATCATTGTTTCTATCATTGATTGATTCCAGTCAATAGGATCGCTGATCCGACCATCGCGTCTACGGTCCTCCAACGACGCCAGGACTTCGTCCAGCCGCAGGTGGTTGCCGATGTGCTCGGTTTCTTTGGAGACCATATTTTTGCGGTACATTTACTCACTACCATTGATCATGATACAATGAAAATGATCAGAATGCTAATACCTATATACAGGCCAATGGAGAAACCTGGCAGCGGCATAGGAAAATCATCGCCCCCCACCTCAATGAAACGGTGATGGAAACCGTCTGGAAGGAGACTCGCCAGCAGGCCGACGCCATGGTCCAGTACCTGACCGAGCATCCTGAGAGCGAGACTCTCAACGGACTGCGGAGCATCGCGATCAACGTTCTCGGCGAGACCGGGTACGGGCAGAACATGCCCTGGTCGCCTGATTTCGCGCAGAGGCTGGACTCCTCCACTGACCACGTATCGGGGCGGCTGGCTTACTTCCAGACGATTGCGATGGTCACGGACCGGTTCATTCAGGCGGCGCTGATCCCGGGGTGGATGAAGACATTGCCATTTATGCCGCGACAGTTGCAGGTGCTGGGAAGGCAGATGAAGCGAGTGCCAGGATACATCCAGGAGATTCTAGCCGAGAAGAAACAGAATGCAGACAAGACACGGCATAGCTTTCTCGACATGCTGGCCCAGTTTGTCGATGACAACAAGACCGAGAATCAGACGACGGAGAAAAAGCTCTTCCTCTCCCAAGACGAGATCAGCGGCAATCTCTGGATCTTCACAGGTGCGGGCTTCGACACAACCGCCAACACGATGGGATACGCTGTGCTCCTCCTGGCCGTGTATCCGGAATGGCAGGCTTGGATCCGAAGGGACTTGGAAGGCCTCAAGAACGAGGAATGGAAGTATAATGATGTTTTCCCCCACTGCCAGCGGATAATAGCTTTGATGGTAAGCTATACCATACACTAGATACCATATTCTATGAGAAACTAATGATCAGTTGGAAACCCTCCGGATCTACACGCCTGTCCCACACATCAGCCGTTGCGTGGTCTCGCGCCAAACCATCGTCTCCAGCACAGGCACGCACGTCCTGCTGCCATCGCTGAATGTCTTTGTCGCCGGCCAGAGCCTGCACAACGACCCTGCCATCTGGGGCGACGATGTCCGCCGGTTCAACCCTGCGCGGTGGATCAACAATGAAACAAACACACTCATCCCGCCGCCCAAGGGTGCGTTTCTGCCCTGGTCTGGCGGTCCGAGGGTGTGTCCTGGAATGAAGATGTCTCAGGTGGAATTCGTCGCTTCGATAGCCACCTTGTTCAAGACTAAACGATGTGAGCCGGTCAATGGGGGGACGACGCTACAGGAAAGACAGCGGATCTTACAGGCTGTTATGGAGGATTCGGCGCCCAAGTTGACGTTGCAGGTTAGGGATCCGACACAGGTTAAGCTGAGGTGGAGTGATTTGTGAATTAATAGAATATATTCAATATTAGGGTTTAGGGTTGAATATTTAAAGTAGATTACAGAGTAGATCTACTTGTAGTTCTTATGACCTTACTTTATTCAGGCATCCTACAGGCATATTCTCAACTAATCAGTCTGAAGTCGTGCAGGATGGGATTATTCAACTAGTATGTGTCCACCTCTTCATAATAATATACTAATGCAATGATGAATAGTGATTGCGAACAAGGCAGTGTATATTCATTCCTTATCCGAGATAATGATAATAGCTAATCCAATAAGTGTACTATGTAGAGTGAAGGTGGAGATGGAGCTCTCTGTGGGTATAAGAGTGTTGGCTTGATGGTATCATATGCCCTGGCAAGTAGTCTATAGTAGTTGACTGGTGAATATAAAACCACACTGACTCTCAACCAACTAACCCGTCGAGTAGATTGGGGGCTTAGTATGGATTAAAAGATACTAGGAATATCTCACTTACTTAGGATAATAGAAACGAATGGCATTACTATGGATATTTCTATAATATAATTGAGGGCATGCTTGTTGTTCAGTATATATCGACCATCCTCTACTGTCTATCTATCTACAACTATTCGATTAGTGCAGCATACTTACTAAAAAAAGGATCACTCTTCAACCTGCCTAAACAAGTCTCCTCAACCCCTACCATCACCTCCATCCCGCCATCCGGCAGCGGGGGAAGCACGAGTTGAAGGCCATTGATACAGCCGACATGAGGCACACGCACCGCCTCGATCCTGCCCAGCATCTGCCCCCAGTGAGCAGTATACACGTCAAACGCAGCCCACGAGGACTGCACGCAGTTGAAGCCGGGCACGTCCAGAAACGCCGTGGGAACGAGTCGATCCACGTCTTCCAGCCGGTCGACCAGCGTGACCACGTCGTCTGTAAAGTGCTTGTCTGCGCGCAAGACCGCCTGGCGGATCTTGATGGCCAGATCGGCCAGGGAGAGCGACGCCAGCATGTCGCGAATGGGACACGACACGGCGATGTACTCGAGGAAGCAGCCGAGAGTGTCCCGATGGACGGGGGGATGGGTGCGACGGCGGCCGTCAATGGCGATGTTGAAGACTGAGACCGGGTTCTTGTCCTGCAGCGTTTCCAGCGGCGATTGCACCGCCATGACGGTGCGCCAGAGCAGAGCGGACACGGCATCGTTGGTAGACACCCAGGTCTGGTCCGAGGGTGTCGTCGCGTTGGCAGGAGACGCATCTGCCTTCAACATGGCCAGGGATTCGGGAGAGAGATAAAACACCTGGCCGCGGTGGTTGGGCGAAATCATCTTTGGCGGAGCTTCCGTCGGCGTGAAGGGCAACAGTGTGTATTCCGGATGGTCCTCAACTCGGCCATGATTCCTCCCCGACGGTCTGGTCACTTGCTTTCGGTCTGTCCAGATGGCGTCAGGAAGTTGGATCGGATCAGGGATATCTTCCCCCTGGGCAAGCCGGCATCCCTCCGCCCAGACATTCAACCAGGTATTGAAGGAGACACTGTCGCCTGCCATGTGGAGAATACACCAGGTCAGGATGAGGCCTCCAGGGATGAAATTGGCCTGCACAAGAGAGATAGGCAGCTGTTGTTCGCCAGCAGACGGCCACACGGCGCGACAGCACAGAGTGTCGGCATCCAGGGCAGCGACGGGGAACGACCTGGCCTTCAATTCAGAGTACGGGTAGAAGGAGTCGCGCAGATCCTTGACTGTGATGACGGTGTTCTCATCGTGTCTCTCAAACTTCATCACTCCTTTCTGGCCGCATTCTGTATCGGGGACAGCTCCACAGCCCACGACGGGGAGGCGGGCGATCAGCACGTCATATCCCGCCTGGAGAACGCGGGCAACATCATCGGGGTTGTAATTCTCTCCTGCCAGCTGGAAGGGAAAGACATAACGAAGGTATCCTTTGGGGCCGATCCGCTCCAGGGCCGTGAGTTGGAGGAAATCTTGGGCGTCCATTTTGCTGTGGAGGGAAAAGTGATGTTGTATGGGAGGAGATCTCTATTAGTCTTATTATGTTATTAGACTATCCTTATAATATCCCTGTTGTTATCCTTGCAATTAACCATTTTAATATCCATGTTATCCTTGTTATCCTTGTCATCCTTGTTATCCTTATTATATCCCTGTTATACTCCGTATACTGCCAATATCCCTGTAGTATCCTTTTAATTCCTCACTATGTTCTTTACAATCCTTTGTTCCCGGCTCTCTTAGTCTGTTAGAGAGGGACGGCTTGCGCGAGTCATGCACCAGTCTATTGGCCGCATCCCTGCAGGATTACGCACACCCTTGAATCTCAGGAGAGCCAACAGTTCCTGCGAGTCAGTTAAAAAGAGTCAAGCCCAGCTTGTGAAGAATGAGTGCGGCAAGTCCAGGCGAGGAGGCATGGTAGATCCAGCTATCCGGGCCCTCTTTGGGCCTCCGCCATCCGACATCAACCTCGCGGCCAGCAATGTGTCGGTCAACAATGGCGCCGTCATTGCCATGGCCTGTGTTGCCGTCGTGGCGTTGATTCTGCGCTTCACAGCTCGAGTGCTCCTCCGGAACGCCCTGCTGGCGGATGATTGGGCCATCATTGCAGCGCTAGTACGTGTCGCCTGTTATCTAGTCTTGAAGATGTTGTGTATACTGACGGAGACTATCTATAGCTCTGCATCGGTGGTACGACAGGGCTGAGTGTGGCAGGGGGCACTGTGGGTGCTGGAAGGCATGTTTGGGCTGTGACGTTGGAGGAATTGGTGCATCTATACAAGGTAAAGAAATCAATATCCTGTCATCAATGACGATAACCCTAACCCTAACCCTGAAGCTTCTCTTTGCGTATACCTTCCTGTATGCCTCGGCCGGCACCTGTACCCGTCTGTCCATCCTGTTCTTCTATCGCCGCATCTTCTCCCCGCTGGAACTCTCCTTGCGCGTGGCTCTGATCTGCGGCGGATTCCTGACGCTCGGCTATCCGATCATTGTCTGGGTGACAATGAGCACTTCCTGCCGCCCGCTGAGTTTCTTCTGGACGCAATTCAGCGGGACCCAGGGCGAATGCATCGACATCAATACCTTCTTCCTGGCGGCGGGGATCCTGAACATGCTCAACGACTTTGTCCTTCTCGTCATCCCGTTCCCACGCATCGTCCGGCTGCACATGACCGTTCAGAAAAAGGTGGCCATCTGTGCCATTATGGCGGTGGGAATCTTGTGCGTTTCCCTCCGTTCTTCTTGTCCATCAAGTCATACTGACATTATATTCCAGCGTCTGTGTCGCGAGTATCGTGCGAATCCACTATCTCTCCGTCTTCATGCACGCCCTCGATGTGACCTGGCTGATGGGCCCCGTCTTCATCTGGTCTACCATCGAGCCCGCAGTGGCGATTGTCTGTGCCTGTCTGCCTCATCTCGCACCACTCGCCCAACTCGCCCATCGATCCATCCTCGGAAGCCTTCATTCGGAAACCCACACTGGACCGCCGAGTAGACAGAGTAGACAAAGGCCGCTGAAAAGGAATGCCGACGACGAGGTCGGCCTGACAACCTATCCGAATCGGTCTCGGAGCACACTCAGGAACACTCAGAGCCGTACAACATAGACTTTCTTCATGTTCACTGGCTGAATCATTCTAGAAGCTGGAGAAAAATTCATCACGAATCAAGCTATTGCTGTGGTAAGCGTAGATGCGACGGACCGCCGGATATCACTACAATGCTTATCTGTTGCTGATCGTCGCTCACGGAAAAAGTTAATATTAAATTCAAGGCCATTATTACTCCTCCCGTTTTCTGACTATAATCTGACATACTAATTTGGCCCTATTTTCCCTTCTAGCAGTCTTTTTAGGCTCAATTTTGGCTGTTATATCATTATGGCTAACCATTATTCTTCCTTCACTAGGTGTAATATATTAATTGTTTACTCTGAACTGGAACACTTTTGACCCCTATTCCAAAACTACATCAATCGCCCCTAAGAAGAACTTGTTTAGATGCCTCAGCGATAGTGTTGGCGTCTGGACAGGATCCGTATCCTGAATCCCCCCACTCCCCATGTCTTGGCTGTGGATGCGGGAACACTTGCCCCGTCTACAATATTCAATTGGTGGATTATATCCACATGTGGGACATGGTTGGTTTTATCCTGTATATCCGCCAAACCTAAATAGGGATTCCTCGTTTTTCCCCGGCTGCTAGTGCAGTTCTAGGCTTGGCATCTACCATAGTAGGTGGTGATTGGCCAGTGCTAAGCGCATGCTATCCACATGGTTCATATCAGGTTAGACAAAAGCAGTCTATGGGGAAGAAACTAATACTAATTCATATCAGTGCCTTTCCAGACTGAAACATCTGTTCAGAAAGTACTGGAGCTAAGATATTAATATGGCAGGTGTGTAGGAGGCCCAAGTAGTGCTCATGAATATAATAAATAGGTAGGTCTCTTAGTCTATAGACTATATGCACTTATGCAGCTAATCAAGCTGCGCGAGGCTATGGTTAATTTTATAGAATTAAGGAGATAGCACACCTCTTAACCATAAGATAATAAGGATTATTTGACAAAATCTTGGGGGGCCACTAGACCGCTGAGCCACTAAAAATGTCCAGACATTAATTAGGGCTTTATATGGTCATATATTCTGTGACAGATTAGTATGGTCACTTATCCTATGATAGTTTATATAATACCTACTCTATGATGAGTATATATACATTAGTTCATAGTCTAGGTCTTAATAAGGTGATTTATACTTTATAATTAGTTATACTTTACTATTATTTATGCTTCACTAAATTATCTATATGATGCCTTAGTAGCCTCTTATATATTTACTTGAACTTTTTATAAGCAGAGTGCTGTTAGCTCCTTACCCTATATTTATTCTATATACATAATGGGGAACCCCTAAAGGTACTCTGGTGAGGAAACTGGAACACTTAAACTCTGCTATTTAATGATTATAAGTCTGGGGCGTATAATATAATAGTGTGTGATATCAGATACGCCGTATCTGATATCACTATGTGATGACTGGGTCCTACCTTGCGGTTGACTGCTAACCGCGAGGAGGATAGTAAGGTAAAGAAGGCTATTAAATAAAAGGAAGGATCCCTTAGATCCTTTCTTAGATCCTTTAGATCCTTCCTTATATTCTTTAGCCTATAATAGGGGTTAAGGAGTGAGCTCCCTAACTAGTATATAGAGTATAGGAAGTAATAGATAGCTAAAGGGTAATTACTCCTATATTAAGTTTTATATTTAATAGTATATCTTATTAAAAGGATTTATCCTATATAAGTAGGAGGCTCCTTTATGCTATTAAAAAAAATAAAGAAGCCTAATAAATAAAAATAATAGTATAGAAGAAAATAATTATAACTAAGAGGAAGAGATATAAAAAAGAAAAGATAAAAAAAAAGAAAGATATTTACTTAAGATACTCTAAAGTTATTAAAATAATAGTTAAAAACCACTTAGGAAAAATGCCTAATAAGGACTAGAATATTAATACCTTAAATATTAAAGAAATTATATAGTCCCTATATGCCGCCACTAAGGGCCACCCCTTAATAATAGTTATATAGAAACTAGTATAATAACTGTAGGTCTAGAACACTAAAAACTAATAATAGTTAGTAAAAGCTAAGATATAAATAAGAGAGATATAAGCTTAAAATAAAATCTTATATTAATAGCTAGTAAATATTTTAACTACCCTAAAACTAGGGGGCACCTCTTTATATAAAGATAAAAATATATTTATTATAACTAATACTATAAGGAGGATAAATCTAACCTTATTAAGTAACCTTAATAAAAACTCTCTTAAGCTAAGGATATATTAAAAAATCTCTAAAATTAACTAGATCCTAAAATATAATAAAGAATATTATAATAAAGGGGCTTATAAATGGCTCTAAAGGGTTAAAGAATACTTTTAAGATAAGGAAGTCCTTTATTAGAAGTATATAATAGAGAAAGAGAAGATATTAGTAGTAAAAGGGAAATTAAATAAGAAAGCCCTTAAATATTAGTATTACTATTAAAGTATAATTAATAGTAAGATCTAGGCGCCTATTAAGACCTTAAAGGAATTTAAGAGGTGAATTTATAAAAACTATATAAAATATTTTAATAATAAGAAATAATAAGAGGCATTTAAGAACCTTTTATAAGAGAAATAAATAATCTAAGTATATATATATAAATTTATTAAGATCTTTTACTATATTAAATCACCTCTTCTAGTAAATATAGTTATTTATTAATTTATTACTAGAAGCTAAAAAAATCTATAAGAATAATAAGTATATAAGGCCCTTAAACTAATAACCTTTCTAAAAGTTATTATAAAGTTTATCCTATTTAAGAAAGACACTATAGTAGTATAATATATTAAAGGAATAAGTAGAGCTTATACTAATATAATAGATATTAATTAGCTAAAAGTACTTAATATACTTTTAAGTTATCTATAGTGATTTTTCTTAAACCCTATAAGGGGCTATAGCCCATATAGATCTAGTTACTTTAAGTATAAAAAAATAAGATATCTTATATAAGACTATTTTATATAGAAGTAATACCTAAAGTAAGAAGCTAAAGAATAATCTATAATAATTAATAAAAATAATATAGAGGTAATAAAGCCCCCTAAATTTAAGGCTCTTATAGTTATTAGAAGTATTAAAGAGCCCTTTAACTTAAGAAATAAAAGTAACCCCTAGATATAGAGAAATTAATAAGTTATATATATTAAGTCTTTATAAAAGCTGACACTAATATTATTAACCTCCTAAAATCACCTTAGAAAAGGATTTAAATAAGAAAGATAAGAGTATATATAGTTATAAGAGCCTATCTTAATATAATTAAGAATAAACTAATAATCTTTAATTTATAGCTTAAATATAAGAACCTAGAGAAGATAAATATAGAAAGCATAATTAATTTAGGGTTCTTAAAAACCTTTATAAGTAATTATATCTTAAGAAAATTTATAATTAAACTAGTTATATAAAGTAGTACTAGGTGACTCTATATTTTACTATTTAATAATAAAGTAGTAGTTATTTATTAATATTATAATATTTTTATATAAATAGAGACCTAAAAAGGGATTATTAGCCCTTAAATTATTAATAACCTTAAATATAATATTATCCTTAGAAGAGACTAGCTAAATTAGGAAGACTTAATAATAAAGTAACCTTAATTATAAATAATATTAAGAGACTAGAATAGTAATTATATATTATATTTAAAGGATATATAATAGGAAATCTTAGAGAGGCCTTAATTAAATATTATTAATACTAGAAGGGCCCTTTAGGATCTAAGGAAAATTAAGAGTTATAGAATTCTCTATATCTTTTAATAAATAGCCCTAAGTAATAAATAAGAACTATATAAGAATCTAAGGATTAAGGTAATCTTATAGAAATATAATATTTTTTAATAAGAACTTATAGACACCCTTCCCCCTAAATATAGGATAATATTGTGATATTCAAAAGCTAATTCCTCTAGAAATCTCTATTCTATTACTACCATGGGTTAGAGAGAAGATATCTATATACCTCCCTTTAGCTTATTAAAAGCTGAGCAACCTAATAGTGATAGAACTCTATAAAATTAATTAATCTCTAGTATAGAGTAAAAACTCTATATAACTACTCTACTAGGGTTAAAAGATCTTATATTATTAATAAGTAGATACCTTAGTATTCCACTAAGGTGATTCTACTTATAGCTATATAGGAGTTTATAATATTATTTACTTATAATATTATATTCTTTCTTATTTAACTAGAACTTTATTTATAAAGTCCTAATCCTCCCTTTAGGGCCTTATTAAGATAAATCTATTATTAATAGGTAACTTATAGATTTTATTTAATAAGGGCCTATAATTAGTAAATAAAGACTTATTCTTTAATTACTTTATTAATTATCTACTAATTAATAGAGGGTCACCTAGTCCTAGATAAGGGTGTAAAATATATTTATAATTATTATTATTAGGTGACCTTATAACCTCTTTATTTATAATAAAAGATATATTTTTTTATTTATTTATTAATAATTCCTCTTTTACTTCTCCTCTTATTATTATTACTTCTTATAACTATCTTATACTAATAGCTTTTAATAATAAATTTAAGAACTCTAAGTCCTCTATCTAGTATTCTTATTATAGGTCTAATTATTCTTATTAATTATTAAAGGCTAAATATTTAGTATCTCTTAAGACTCCTTTATCACCTACTAAGAAGTCTTTATCTTAACCTTTATTAGGCTCTTATTATTTAAAATAAGTTACTAATTATAATAGTCTAGCACCTATTACTTACTATAAATTTATTAATCTAGAGAGTAAGATATAGTTAATAATAATAAAAATTAAACTTCTCTTAGAGGCGCATATAACCTCCTTTAATAATTATAAGCTTATTTATTTATTCCTTATTATTTATATATATTAGGACTTCTTCTAGAGTAGCTAAATATTAGTCTTAAGCCATATATTAAAGCTCTCTACTACTATTATTTTTAAATAAGGACTTATAGTAGCTAACCCTTATTTAAAATATACTT